GCGAATGGTGCATGCTAATAATAGTATATGTTGTTCAAGTGCATGATATTGTTTTTAAATAAAATTTTAATGTATAGATGGAGCAATACTATACAATTCCAGTATTATCTGAAAGAGTGAAGCGTGGCTCCTCTACACACGCACACTGAGTAAATCTAATAAGGCAGATTTAATGGTGATTATATTCTTCTGCCTGCAGACTGTTTATTGCTATTCATGTTCCGTTAACTGATCTTTATGTGGTTAGAGCGTTACCTTTAGCGTTATTCATACTTAACAAAATTTGAAGATGTTTTCAATCATTAATACTTCTGTTGTGTGTGAACCATACCAACAGATTAGAGGTATTCTAAAGGTTGAGAATGCGCTAAACATTCAATAATTTCCAGGTAGATTAATTTTTAAGCAAGATGTAAGGTCTAAATAAAAAGATTGAGCATTGAAAGAAAAATAACATGATTTATAATAATAGCAGTCTGGGAAGTATAAAAAGAGAAGCATAACCATACTTTTTTTTCTAAATAATTGTTATTTTTATTTATTCCATTGTTGGCGATTTATGATGTGATCTTTTTACTTGTTAACACCTCAATTTTAAAGTGTACACACAAATGTTACAGCCAGTAATAGAAAGTTTTACGCGTGTACTGTATTCATTCGTGTTACCAATACTAATATCCAAGACTCTAACAGGTGAATATCACGCTCGACCCCATTTTATATTTTTTCTTATTATTAACTACCGGTATTTTGGCAACCTTGGCAGTTAGTACAGATGAGTCAAAAGTGCTGTAATTCTACAATCCAGATGGTGAGCCTTTAGTGTACACCCAGGTGAATATAGACTTAGCCCATTTTGAGAACTATACAATTTCTTTTGACATATATTATTATACTATCCCACTTAATATATCATGGTTAGATGCATCTAATTTGGGTATCAATGACGAAGAAGATAACATTGACACGAACTCAACTTCTCACCTAAGGAAGCCTACTAATATGTCAGCAAGTGTGGCTTTTACACTTCAAGCGGAACAATGTGTATATGAATACTGGGATATTACTAATGGAGTATGGCAAGTTAGTTATAATCTCTGGAAGTTCACTCATTAGGGTGATTGCCGAAATGTGTATGGTAGCTATGGTGGTTTCTACTATAAGTATTATCCTGTTCAAGGGGATTGCAGCAGTACTATTGAGCTGAAAACGGTCGCTGGTGCTATCCAATATGTTATCAGGCAGTTGGAAGGTGACTATCTGTGTAAAACACACTCCGTAACTGTCAGTCATCGTGGTACTTGGCAAGAAACCATTATTGTAGGTCCATCAACTCAAGCACGGTATGGAAATATCGGATCGACAAAATATAAAGGTTTCTGGGATAAAGGATGTAGCAAACTTCAGTCCCCTTATAATTGTGACTCTAAGGAAGAGGGATCATAGTTAAGTTTTCCAAAATCTCACTCAAAATTTGTTTATTTGTTTTTTTAAAAATCCTAGTACATTAAAAGATATAAAAAAATAAAAAAAAAGTATATATCCTTATTTATATACATAAAAAAAATAAAAACATTCTAACTACCAGGATAGTGTTGTTCGTTTGATAGTTATCACGAACTAAGCTATTACTAACATACGTCAAGCTAGTTCCCTTGCAGTGGATGTAACTGATTCGTTTCATCTCTTGTTCATTTTCTTCTTTTAAGTAAGCCCTTCTAAATATAGTTATATAGAACCTTCTGGTTGCTAAATTCGTTCTTATTCTATAAATAAATTTGCATGATTCACTTCGACCATTAGTTGGCTTCAGCACTTATATAGTAAGAAGCCTGCATATGTCGCTAACCACACTTTACGCAGAAGCTATCATTTAAGACGGGCTTGGGTACGTATCTGAAGATTGTCCATGAACGCATAATTACTTGCATTCATGAGTTGTTATTCAAAATTTATATGTCAGACTTAATAAAATATTTCTAAGGACTGGTTCATTTCTGACTGTGTTAATGGGGGATTTTTCTTGCCATGTTAGGAGATGGCAAGAACCATCGTCCTTAATGTGGAATAATAGAATCTGTCAAGGATGATAATGGATGAGCTTGATTATACAAGAAAATAAACTCTCAACTACATTTTTTATAGAGATACACAAGAAACAGTAATTCATCTCTGGACTGTCCTTGGCTTCGGTATAAAATATAAATAACCGAGGAGATATCTAAATAAGGGTAAAGATATCAAACATTACAATGGCAAATCTCAGATAAAATTACACTGAAAAAAAGGAATCTGAAAATACTGAATGTTTTCAGTATTCATATTGCTTAGAAATTAGTATTATCAAAAACCTTTTCTAAAACATAAAAAATACATAGATCACCCCCTTCTTAAATCAATATTGAAAGTAGGTAGAGAAGTGGAAACATAAATCATGTTTAGATAATATTTTTTCTCTTTGTTTACTAATTTGTAGTTCCATCAGAATCATGACATTCTCATTTATTCGAGGGCATACGTCATTATTGCATTATTTTTCCTTTGCAATTATGACATAGTTTTAATATATTCCATTGTTGCTACAGTTCCATTATAATTATATGTTTAATACTTTTTTCACGAGACTATACTATCTTAATTAGTTGATCCGACTAAGAAATACAATCAATAACAACGTTCTAGTATTCAAGTTGATTAAATCAATATAATTCCACACAGTTACTACTGCCAAATGTATTGCAATTAACCACTCTTTTACGATCTTAGTAAATTAATATAGGTAACATTGAAGAATCTCAACATTGCCTTATTAAAAACATAATCTAACTAAAATTGGTATATACTATAAAAATGTAGTAACATAACACGTTGTAATAACTTCAGTCTTTGTTATAAGTCTAGTAATATATACGACACCATCTCTATTTCGCTTAAGTAAAAACTTAAACTTGTAAATAAACTTTTGAGCCACATATGACACTATACTACATATCAGGTTGTTTAATCTACTCACCATGTATTTGTTGATCTCTTCTCTAAAACAAAAGCCTTTTAGTATGGCGCTCGAACCATTTTTCACAGATATATACAATAAGAGATATTCTAATATATTTTATTTACAATTGAGATTTTACTATAAGAAACAGTATATGCAATAATCTTATAGAGAGGGGAATTATTTACTAAATCATTGAATGGTGGAAGAACAAATTGGCCCTCTTAAAAAATTAAGCTAAGTATTATTCAATTTGAAAATCAAAGCACCGCTCTTTCTAAAATTAACTTAAATACATATCGATCAGAATCTTTTTGATAATTATACTTATGAAATAGAAATACACAACATTAGTTCACTCACGATTTATCAGACCAAAAGTAATAAATAGACAAAAAAGGGTGAAGGGAACATCAAACCATAAAACTTAATGAAATAATAAACATGTAATTGATAAACTGAATGTCTTCCAAACATTGAATGTGAGTTCGATTCTTACTGTGTTCCTCATATTAATTAAAGGATGTTATTTATTAAAATATTTTAAATAATGAAGAATTATATAATTAGAATTTTTAAAGACATATTGATTTTTTACAGTTATATCTTTTAATGTATATTTTATCACTATATATTTTATTTCACAAATTACTTAATATTGTAAATATTTTAATGAATTATTCGATCTACCCAACTTGATGAATCCTAATTCTCCAGAGAGCAATAGTATAAGCTTATCAAGAACAAAGAAAGAATTAATAATAAATGATACGACGAAGGTCAGTAATCAAAGATAATAAAATTGGCTTATTTGACTTAGTCTGATATGAAGGGATTCTTGTATGAACAAGAAAACAACGTAATACCAAACATATATAAAGAGCATGAATGATGGAAGTGAAAAGCATCTATGTCCTAATTCTTATGTATATTATAATTCGGGTTTGAAAGAGAATCACGAATTATAATTTGTATAATATTACTAAATAACTTTTAATAAAAATAAAAATTGACAAAATGGATTACGCTCTACAAGATAACATAAGCAGTAATACAAACGCCTATCACAACTATAGTTGAATTATAGTTTCTATATTAGTAATATTATACAATGTCAGATTTAAATAATTATTTCATCAGCTATAGCAATTAAAATTGGGTACCAATGATATTGACAATATGAATACTCAGATTTTATATGAAATTATTTAACCTTGTGTTATAATTACTAAATTAATTATACGTTTTCTCCAAATAAATATTAAATATTATTGGTGTTCTTCTTCTACTTATTTGTTTTCAAACTTTCCTTTTTTTACAATATAATTGAAAGATAAACTTTATTTATTAACTTGTATAATTTAATGGTTAAAACATTTGGCTAATATTTTTTTTTTTAATTAATTATTCAATATATGTATAAATGTTCTGCTATCATTCTTTTTTGTTATCCATGATCAATGGGTAACAAAAAAAACCATTCTTGTTATGTAGTCATAATTTTTAGAATATGAAAAATAAATATCACGGTTATGTATTATGTTCACTACTCCTGTTTCACATACCGTTTTAACTCGAAACAAATGAGAAGTAGTTATTTCAGCAGAAGTTTCCGTTCGAAGCATTAGTTTCCAGATTTGATTCTGTCGCTAGGCTTTTCTTTTATTGTAATTGAGGTATCATTAAGTTGCGTCACTCTCAATTTATGTTGATAATAATACTTCATCCATGAAATACATAACCACTTCTTAATGATATTTTATGTACCTCTAGGAATTAATTTTGCATTTTTTTTAAAAAACATACCTTGGATATCAATATGTATAAAAAGGTAGAGTCGCATCAACATTGCCATATAATGATAGTGTCGGAAATAATAACCGCCAGAATGTACTGAGTTAATCATATATGAATATACCTGTAAGCATATTACTAGAGAAGGATTGAGAGTTTTAAACTCAACATGCCATACCAGGTTGCACTCCTTCTTTGTCTGTATTATTTATCATTTCTTATAGTTTGAGTGGTGCTTGCAGTTTTGATGAATTGGTGTATAATAGGGAGGGTCTTGCAACTTCATTTGAGAACACTCGTATATGTTAGCTAATCGCTCTAGCTTATCCCAGCGCCATGAAGAACACCCTTGATCCTTTGGGACAACGGCATTATTATAGCGACATCTACAATCAGAAATCAAATGTCTCCTGTCATGCACTAACCATTCTTCTCTACGTATGACAAACACTTCATCTGTCACATCTATGTTCGGAAGACGTTGCTTGTAGTCGATCTTATCGTCTATAATATTGAATATGATTGGCCTAAATATGCAACAAGTAAAAATAAACGGAGAATAATGTACTGGGTTGTTTCTAGCTAACATAAGGTTAGTAACATTGTCATAGATATTTCTGATATTATCATTTGAACAATTAACAAAGAGCATCGGGAAGTAATCTGTTGGCTTTGGTACCACATAGAGTTCAACAGCGTCGCGTTTGCGTAGATGCACAGTTTTATGCCAATCTTTTCCTAATTTATAGAAGGTACAGTCGTAGGTTAAAGGTATAATTTTAACTTTATTTTCTATTTGTTTTAACATACATTCGTGGTTTTCGGGCCTTCTTGACCACCTAGAAAACCCAAGTAATCTTCTTACATTTTCAGCAATAGGAGAAGTGAGAACAAGGGTATCACGCTCATCACTACCAACCACTAATAACACATCATAATAAAAAGGGCGAAAGTAAGGTTGTAATCGAATAGGGACTGGCCTAAATTTTGGAGTACATTGTTCCCCACAATAAAAAACATCTTTTCCCTTTATAGGTTGATCATTTGTTACAGATTTGCCATATTTCATCATCAAATTGGATATCAATGTATCAAGCTCGGAATTATTGAAACAGCCAAAAACAGGTTTTGTTTTAAAATTAGTTCCTTTGAGAATTATACTATCATTTTTTTGAATTGTATCCATTCTGAATGAGACGCGCTCGGTTGGTCTGTTTGTTCTTTAGATTTATCCATTAGGTGGTTAAATATTAAATGTATTTATATATATAATGGTACAAATATATAAATAATTATAATAAATGAAGAAAGGGGAGCCTAACTAAAATGAGGGTCTCCTATACTTCCCTGATTTGTTCTCCCATGTCTCAGTGATGGCATTTAACATATGCAGTTGTCATATGCGAATAGACGAACTTGATCTGATATCTCCCAAACCCAATGTATATCATCATACGATCTGTTGACTCATTTCTCCTGCATCTACTGGAAACGGCAACTTTCCTCCTGTCGTCATCCTGTAATTTGATGTAAAATGTGACACCTTTCTTAAAGCGGACATTTACATGCGCCCAACAACGGCGTCAGCTCACTGAAAAAAAACAACGGAGTTTCACTAAAGCACAGAAACGTCCGTACAACGATGCAGAGGTATTTCAGACACCCCTTTCTGATGAGAAAAAAAGGGAAACGCAACGAGGGTTGGTGCGTATAAACAAACTGGATCCACTGTAATACGCACTAATATCTGTCTAACAATCAGCAATAGGTTCCAAAGTGAATCAGGTGACTGGCACCCTGATAACTTTCTATATGAACTTATTGGACTGAATGTGAACTTCATTACAGTAGATTATTTGTGAAATGGGAGAAGTGTATGGTAAAGTGCCCTCTAACTTCATGTAGTTTGAGCTAGCGGCCTATATAAGGCAAGCTGTATAAACCCAATTCCTTATCAACTGTGCACTCATTGCAAAATGTTCTGAAACGTAATTTTCTCTCCCTTATGTTTTTTATTAGCAAGGAGCGTTTAGGGGTGTTCTATTTCTCATATCCAAAATACAATTTCGGTAAGCGGTAAAAACAGAAATGGCCCAATATAAAATGGACACTAAGATTTCAAACCATTTAAATGTTTCCAAATATCTGTTTACCATTTATCGTTAGTAAAACAATACAATTTGTAAATTCTATTGGCCCAAATAACTAGATGTTTCGACTAGAAAGTGTGGAATACTCTGGGATACCATGAGAATATAGCTTTGTGAACAGGTCGTGCACTTGTTTTAAAAACTGTCAATACTGATAATCAATATGATATTTATTTTAAGATAACTGTATGTCATGTTTTGTCTTTTCAAGGTCACTTCCTTATTAAAAAATGCCATACAAAAACGGCTTGCGTCAGTGACAAATTAGAAAACTTGTTTAAGAATTGACGTATTTAAACCCATATAACGGTTTGGAAGTATAAATTACAAAAGCCTGATATTTGCAAAACTTAACAATTTTAGGTTCTACTAATAGGTATATAAAAGGAACGGATAATATTTAAAACCTCAAAAACATTTCGTTTTGTCAGATATCTAAGAAGTTGTGTGCTCATATTAAAATGCAAAATATACAAGGTGCTTTTTGTTTTACGTCGCCTGCACTCTATACTGACCAACGTAATATGTCTGCATATGCATTACGTGATGGTAAAATTAAAGACGTCACCCCAGATGATTGGACAACTTTGTTTAAAGATGTATTGATATCTTATGAAGGCGCTGTTCTAGTAATTTCAAAGGAAGAAGAGTGTAGCGATCTTAATGATGCATTGAAGACATACGAAGAGTGGTGTACCTCGAGCGTTAATGAGAATTTAATATTGGAGGATAAAAAAATGAAATGGGTCCAATACACAAACAGCGGAGGTGATTCATTTGAAAGTTTCAAATTTAGCACCTTGGTAAAGGGGCAAATATTAGTCCTTTCAGGTGCATTCCCCGATATAATTGTTAAATTAGATGCAATATTTGGCTTGGAAACTATTACAAACAGCATGCAATGTAATTTAATAATGATCGCAGTTCTCAAAGTTCTAATGGAAAGGACTCTAGAGTCTCTTTTTTGTATTGAAAAGGATATAATAGAGAAAGAAACAGAAACACGGAAGGTTGTGCTAATGAAAAATTCATTACATGAAGAGTATATGGGCTCCAGAGGAAATTATCTTGTGGAACTGTCACATACATTGTTTAATGCGGGTACGACTTTGCGTGACGTAACAGAAAATATTAAGTATCTTTGTACAAATGATGCTTCTGAAAATGTTATTAAAGGTTCAGAGATAATAATCAAAAAGGGGGAAAACAAAATTACTCAGTTAATGATTAAATTACGAGAAATGAGACAAACGGTAGAAGAAAATGGAACAAAATTCTTTGATTCTGTAAAGTGGATCATTGATGCTTTCCTTATGGCAGCAGTTGCTATCGGGGTGGCTTTCGCTTGGTTTCTCCATGATAAAGAAAGCAGACCAAGAAAATACACACTAATCGCAGTATGTGTTGTTGGATTCATGGGAATGATATTTAGGATATGTGCCTGTGTTCTTTGGGAACAATGGAGCTTTAGGTGGAGAAAGTTTTGAGAAAGTTAAGAAAGAGTGAGGTTCCACAAGGTAGATATAAACACCTATCTTTTAGAGAGGTAATGCATGTGGTATTTCGTGTTTTTTATCCTAATTCGTAATATGATCTTTGACTGCGAATTTTTTTTTTTCTTTCTCTTTTTACTGGATCTCTAAGATTTATTTTAACGATCAAACACGCCTCAATCTTCTTAATTATACATAATTGATATACAATTATCTCAGAATAAAAACGAAATACGCGTTTCTTCGACAGCTTTTTTTGTAAAGTTATTCTCTATTAAGAGCACTCTATTGTTCTGGTTGGAGACATAGTTGTGATTTCTATCCCTTGTGGTGAAAAGATATTCTAAGAAGAATCATATAAAAGTGAGTTATGATTTTTGAAAGAATAATAAGAGTAATAAAATAAGGGAATTACTTGTAGGTTATGCATCGCAACAGAAACAATGTAAAAGGACGTAAAAGTATATTTCCGAACTCTCAATAACATTTGACACTTAATATTTTGTAAAACTAATTTGTTAAAATGTTGGCAAGGCCGTTCTTAGCGACAAATGTCATATCCTATCAATAGAGATCATGATAAGGTGGGCGGTGGAATAGTTGAAGGAAGGAAGTTAACAGAAGTTGAGTAAATTATCTAGAAATCAGATAGAATAGTTGCAGCTGCCTAAATACTTATATGTATATTCTATACATACTATAATCATCAAACTAAATACAATTAACATATTCTGCTAATAATTTTGCTTCTTCGGCTCTGAATTTATCTCAATAATTATTTTGCGCATACAGCGAATAATAATCATTATTACTTCCCAGAGGAAGTTTCAATAATAAAAGAAGTGTCAGCTTTAGCCAGTTTTTCTCGAAGAAATATAAAACGTAAATGAAGTAATGGTACAAAAGTAACGTAATGTACCTCGAAATACCTAATAAAATCAAACTCCGATACTATAGTACCTGCTATGCTGCCTTGAGGAGGAACTCTTAGAAGAAGATAAGTATCGTGAAGAATATTCGAAACAGGGTAGGCTTAATGATTTAACGTATTATATTGTTAGAGGCGTGCACTTCAGTTTCAATTTTCTGTGGAAATTGAAGCATTCAGACTTGGAATTGAACCAGTAGATCTACAGAGCCATTTCGACCAGATTTTTCATGATCAATAGCTTGGAGGACGATTTCATAAAGAAGTATATTCTTACTTTTCTGCGGTGTTCGAACATCCCCAAGAAGGAGACATGCTTGAGACTACTAGATGTTGCCACAGACTACAAATAGTCGATTAGATGCGTAGTCGCACTAAACCATTGGAACGATGTGTTTGTTTCCTGTGATATTCAATGCGTTAGTAAGTACTTTTTGAATATACTTTACACGTACAAAAAAAAGGATATGCTTGATCTATTGAGGGATAAAACAGAGGTAAGAGAATTTATAAGACTGGACGGTCTGGTTAAACTGGGTGCTTCGTTGTATTAGAATGATTCATCCTAGTCACTAGGATATACGACAACAGATTTCTGTTTTAAACAATGTGCGCCTGAATTCTTACGAAGGAATTACTCTATTAGAACCGAATCGCTTGAGTGGAGTACCTGGAGGGTCGAATTTGGAGGGCCAAATGATAAGGAAGATGTCACAGGTATTGGATATGTGAAGGGTCAAAATATTGAGAGAATGATTCACCAGAATGAAAGGATGGAGGAACTGTATATGTAGAAACGTCGACAGCTCAATAAGTCGTGCAGATAGCAGCATTGGTTCAGAAAATCCCCTCGATGTCTATGACATAATCGAAGGTCTTTTATAATCCTGAGAACTAGGTTAAATAGCAAGTGTTGCATATGTTGATTGTAGAAAACAAAAAGCTTCGTATAACACAGAAAAAAAGATCGTAACCCTTGAGATTATTTTGGGCCAAGCCGATATTGGATATTGTCATTTATCTATTGTTGATATTGCACAATTTATTGCTGTCTCTGCTATAATTGGGGAAGTATCTGTTGAAGATTTTGCGTTAGCACTTATTGGGATACTATTACCTATTTTGTAGAAATTACAAATAATTCGAGACTTTCTGCTGTATTCAAACCACGTAAAGCAAAATTTGATAGAAATTTTGATAAATTGGAATAATTTATGAAATTCAGAGAAATAATTGAATAGAGATGGTCTAAAAAGACATTAGTAATTTTTAATTAAGAAATATTATACAATGGATTACAAAATTTTAAAAAGGCCAGTTGGTTTTATTTAACATGGTATACATATTGATAAATTCATAATATTAGTGATAAAAAAACATACATATAATTCATCAATCCCAGGGTAACATACGATGAGAAATTTTGTGAGCTTTTGTTGTAAGTTTGAAATTCTTGAATCTATATTCCATGTATTTGGAATTTATAACTTCAAAAAACCAGTTAACTATCAAAGGATGCTCAGCCCTCCATTCTGGACCAAACATGGAGGTAAAACCCTTTGAAAAACTAGCTGCTGCAATCAAATCAGCCAGAGTGATGTTATCACTTGTCAAATATTTATGCAAAGCTAACTTTCTTTCAAAGATTGGATACATAGCTTCTAGTTTCTTAGCTGCATTTGAGGCTGTCTCATTGCTTATTGGTGTCCCCTTGATATCATTGAGACAGAATAATACCAGTGTGCTAAAGAAATCTGATGTACAGAAGGAACAGATCATAATAATTTCACTTTGGGTTAAATAATCATCACTAGATCCCAGTAATTCTGCTATCTCAGCTTTGTTGCCACCTTTATGTATAATGTAATTTGTAACTGCCATCTGCTCAAAGATTATCGAGTCATCCTCAAATAATAATCCAGGGACCCTTCTTACCGGAAAATTGGATAAAAACCCCTCTGTATCCTTTGTTGCCTCTACGATTTTGATATTCAAATTAAAATATTTCACTAGACATTCAGCTACTACTGGTCTGATAAACTCATCATGAGTATAAAGAACTGTTGTGTTTGAATTCATTTTAGTATAATGGATTGTTATGTCGTTGTAATTTGCTTTCCACTGGATTCAAGGTTGCAAGTTTATGTAGTACACATAAGGAAGAACAATGTTCACGTTAGAGAAAAATCATCAGTTCTCTATCTGTTTATATACAAGAATTTCCCATTAATCACCAAAAATATATTCATTTTTTTTTAAGATTCAATTGTTTGGACTGAGTTAAATTCAATGGGTTACACCGTCTCCTATCAATTATTAAATTTCCCTTAAGTTTCGGTAGAATCATTTTTTTTGCTTTAATTGTAAGTATCCTTCTTGTCTCCTATCAAAAAAAAAAAATAATAGTAGGCGTGGCTGGAATCTTACATAACAAAAAAGAAATTAATTTGAACTATATCGTTCAATTTAGTGACATAGCAGAATAACAATACTACGATTCTGTTATAATCAAATCAATACTAACGGGAATATGCTGGTTTCTCCGTTATTAACGTAATGGAAATAAAACTGATAACAATTATATTAATTTTTTCTTTCAAATATAGATCAGGAAAGTTACTATCATTATACATACATTTATTTAGGAAATAACTTAAAAGAAGAGAAAATGATAAAAAAGAGTTAAGAAAATGAAAATTTATCCCGAATTATTTGTCTGATTTCTATACAAATTAAGCGGCAAAGTGCTTTAGAATTTCATCGGCAGCCTTGATACCAGAGACAGCCATGGCACCAAATGTTGGGCCCATTCTGTTTAGACCATGTAGAGTAGCACTTTCCATACCGGCGAAATAAACGTTACCGACACCTTTATATTCACCCGACATCTTAACAACGGCAGCTTCAGCGTGGTTCATATCTAGACCTTTCATTCCAGCAACGGTTTGATTGCCGTCAATTTGAACGATTCTCTTAGCAGTAAAAGCACCGAATGGACCATCATGGCCAGTGGTTGATAGTATGACACCGTGCTTGGCAGAAGTGTCACGGGAACCATCATCTTGGTAACCAGCCAATTCAATGACATTAGGATCCATACATGATTGTGTGTCATGATTCATAGTGACCAGAGTCCAGTTAGTGACAACACCGGCAGCAGTAACTTCACCATTATTACCAGCTGGTCTAGTGACTAAATCTTCAACAGCAGTTGCATTGAATAATTTAAAGTTAGGGAATTTAAGAACTTCTGATAGAACAGTTGAAGTAAACAGAGCAGCATGTTTAACAACGACGTAATCACCCTCATCTTCGTATGGAACATTAACTTCATCCAGGAACAAGTGTGCCGGTTTTCTCATAATCATGGCGGAAAATAATTGACCACCTAACCAAGCACCACCACCTGGGGAAACATTGGATTCGATACAGACAACTTTTAGATCTGGTCTATTCTTACAGATGACATAAGCGGCAGATAAACCGGATGAACCAGCACCAATAATAATAACATCAGCAACGGCGTACTTGTCCATGTCCTTGAAGTAACGAGAGGTCATAGCTCTTGAAACGGTGGATTCACGAATTGGTGTAAATTTGAAGTCAGACCAATCGTTGGTCTTGACAACATCTGAGAGGGCGTGATGGATAGTACCACCAGTTAGTGATAATTGAGAGGTTTCGGTGGCAGTTTGTGTAGTAGACATAGCTAAAATTTAAAGTGGAAGGGTGCTGTTATATGAAATCAGTAAAAGACTTTTTTACTTTGGTTGGATATAGTATTATAAGAGAGAAATAAAATACATTGAGGATAATGGACTGTGGATAAAGTAATTAAATTAATCCTGGTTTATATATGATGAAAAAGTTTGGTAAATTCTTTGAAAATTGGCAAAATAAATTTCATTATCACAACATAACCTCTTTTTTTTTTCAAAATGATTTTATTGTGAAGTAAACTAATTTGCAATAAAAATAGCTCTTGTTATTCGTTGGCACTAATATCAGAGAAGAACCCACTTCGATTATGAGGACTTTTACAATCTATTGGATCTCCTTCCCTCTATCCTGAATATCACACTAGTTTTCTACTATTTACTTTGATTTCCAATATATTAACTTTCGTAATACTAATAATGTTACTTTATCAAGGGTGCGCCAAAAATGGAATACAATAGACTCTTTCAAATATTTAGTATGACGTTATTAATTATCTTAACTATTTATCCGTCCATATTGCTAACATAATCTCACTATGTATGCACTTCGTCAGCAAAACCCCGAATTCGTTTTACCTTGTTAGTGACCGCGATGGCCATTTACTGTTATAATTTTCTCGGCCGAGAAGTAGTCATAATAATTATTCAGGATCACTTGCAAATATGCAGTTTGAGGGCTTTGTAATATATTTGAATTAAGTTATATCCATTTCAAGAGCTCGTAAAATGAATAACGAAATCGTTCACTGTTAGAACAGAGTCCCATTCTATATTGTACGATAAAACAACGAGCTTTTTGGTAAACTTTTCTTGTATTACGTTTTACTACCTACAGTTCGGAACCATTTCATTAATACATAACATATTATCTAGCCTGAAATTTTATTTATGAGATGAAAACTTCGTTTGTCAGACAATAACATCACCACCTATCCACATGTCAAAAGATTTTAAATTTTATTCAATTAGAAAGATATAAAAAGTATGCAGTTTCATTACATATTATCATATGTATCATTATTTTGTATAAATTATGAATTCTTGTTCACTACACTCAGTAAAGCCCAAATCCACCACCACCGGGAGTCTTGATTATCACCCTATCACCAATACTTACATTTATCGTATTTTTACCGGTAATATTAATTGTAGCATTAATGTCACTTCTGAACCAAGTATTTTCTCCCCTTTGACCATCTTCACCTCCTTCTAGGCCATGAGGTGCGGTAACACGTCTCTCTGATAAGATAGATGCCTTCATAGGTAATCGGAATTCAACATCTCTTATTACACCATTGCCACCAGTGTATTTACCTTGACCACCAGAATTCTCACGGATACAGAACTGTTTGAGGATGACAGGGTATCGTCTCTCTAGGACCTCCGTATCTGTCATACGCGTATTGGTCATATTTGTGTGTACTGCACTAGTACCATTCCAACCTGGACCTCTCCATGAATCACATCCGGCCCCAGAACCACCACAAATTGTTTCATAGTACCCAAAACCTTCGTATTTCTTACCTGTCACTTTGTCAACACCACCACCTGTCCCAAATGTAAAGTTGTTACAATCACCTTGTGAATCAGCTTGAATGTTCAAAGTCTTTAGGATTACATCAGTGACACGTTGGGATGTCAAGACATTTCCACCCACAACAGCAACTCCATTACAGGGGCTTAGGATAGACCCTTCCGGGATAATTATGGTAATGGGGCTCAAACAACCTTGGTTTAACGGAATTTCTTCCCCCACCAAGCACCTTAAAGAGAATAGTATAGCAGAATTGGTAATTGCCTTCGGTGCATTAGTGTTACCATAAATTTGTGGAGACGTACCAGTGAAATCGAAAATGTACTCTTCATTTGCAATATTTAAATCGACATTTAAAACTATTCTTGAACCATCGTCCATATAATCATGTCCAGAAAATTTGGTCGTTCCAAAATGTTTAACAAGTTTACCCAACATCTTCCTAATTGTAGTAGATGCATTTAATTGGATAGCATTCATATATTTTAGAATCATGGGATATTTGTACTCCTCTACTAAAGAATTAATTAACTGTATACCTTTTGTATTGGCTGCAACTTGTGCTTTCAAATCACTAATATTGTCAGAGATTCTTCTTGCACCCGAACATCCTGGATATTGTGCAGGTTTAGTCACAAACAAATCATAGACCAATTCTTCCTGGAATATTCCATCCTTTACTAAGAATTCGGAGTATATTGCAGCACCTTCTTCGTAAAGCTCTTTAGAATCCGGTGGAACTGAACCAGGAAGTATACCACCAATGTCGGCATGGTGTGCTCTGGATGCAACATAGAACAATATGTCACCAGTATTTGAAAATGCAGGAGTTATTACAGTTATATCAGGTAAATGGGTACCCCCAACATCAGGGTGATTAGTAAATAAAACACTTCCCGGTTTCAGTTTACCTTTCCATAGTTTCGCCTGTGCCATAATACACGTTGACATTGAGCCCAAATGAACCGGGACATGAGGGGCATTAGCTACCAGATTTCCCTCTGGGTCAAACAATGCACATGAAAAATCTAGCCTTTCCTTAACATTCGTTGATACAGATGTCTTCCTTAACTGTGTTCCCATCTGTTCGGCAATATCCATGAACCTATGACCAAAAATAGATAGTAGGATAGGGTCAGTACTTTTTCCGTCATTCTTTTCTGATATAACTGATTTATTCAACAGTCTAATCAGAATATGAGACTTTAGAATTACTGCTTCCGCATTATCTGGAACAATGTTCGTTTGTGTTTTATCTGCTAGAATTACAGGACCTCTGATTGTTGTGCCCGGTGTCATTTTATCTATAACACAGATTGGTACTTTTTCGTATTTATCTTTAAAATAAACTTCTTGTTGGAAACTACAGCTTTTATTGGGGTTCGTTAAATCAAGGTTAGTTAAATTGCTTAATTGTTGTGAAATAGATTCCTGCACACTAATATTGGATTTACCGATACATCTAACACGTATATCATCTATTATAATATTCTTATTTGTAAAGACGAATCCGAACTCTCTCTTATGATTTTCGGTGAATGCTTCTTCAAAATTCCATTTGTTACTGTTTTGATGAATCATTAAAGCAGTTTCTGTACCTTCGTATCTTAAATTCAAATATCTCTCTATCTCGATGTCTTTATCCGAAAACCCTACTTTCTTAAGCTCCAAAACAGACTTCAATGTTAGCTTCTTGAAAATATGTTCTATTTCATAGATTTTGTTTGCATTGTTCAAAATTATAGAGCATGGTTCTTGATGGTCTTCTACAACATCAGCCAGGTATATACCGTATGCGGATAAAATCGAGGAGTATCTGTGGATAATTACATTGTCAATTCCGAGGGAGTTTGCGACAGAGACAGCGTGTTGTCCACCTGCACCTCCAAACGAAACAAGTGTATGTTTGGAAACATTGAAACCTTTGGCCTCAGTTAGGGCTCTAATAGGACGAGCAATTCCTTCATTTGCAACCTCTAAAAATCCACATGCAACCTCCTCCGGAGACAAGTTAGACTTCAAGTCTTTGTTAATAACGCATGTTAATTCATTAAACTTTTTAGCAGTGATGTCTAAATCAAGGGGTTCATCCTCATTCGGTCCAAAAATATGAGGAAATAGCTGGGGCACTAGTCTTCCTAGAAAAAGATTTGCATCAGTTATTGTTAATGGGCCTCCCTTTCTGTAACATGCAGGCCCAGGGTCAGCTGTGGCTGAATTCGGTCCAACTTTGAATAAACCATTTTCCCATGATAAAATAGAACTGCCACCTGCAGCAACAGTGTTGATATCTAGTTGGGGAGATTGTATTATAATGCCAGCGGTTTTAGTTTCGAAAATATGCTCAAGCTTTCCTTCACCGTATCTGCTTATGTCTGTAGAGGTACCACCCATATCAAATCCAATTAGTGGAGTGTTGTTCGTCTCATCAAAACATGTTCTCGAATAGCCAACAACACCTCCTGCTGGACCCGAAAGAATTGACCGTAACCCTGAAAATTTGGATCCTTCGACCAAACCACCATCAGATTGCATAAACTGAATACTTGTGTTAGAAGAGTTCGTAAGACCCTGAGATATACTATTTAAATATTTTTTTATTACAGGTGTCAAATAAGCATCAGCAACAGAACTATGAGCTCTAGGCAAAAATTTGATCATAGGTGAAACCTCCGATGATAAAGAAATGTGTGTAAAGCCCATTTCTTCAGCAATTTTCCCTACCATTTGTTCGTGAAATGGATATGTATATGAATGGGTAAATGCAATCGCTACTGATTTTATGCCTTTTCTCAAAATACTGTTCAGTGCTTTTTTAACTTCGATTTCATTTGGAGCTTTTATCACTCGAACAATTTCTCCACTCTTCCCTTCATAAGTACACTTTTTCCCATTTGGAGTACTTTTATAAAATGGTGACTGTTCTGAGTAATCTTCTAACGTTACCCTTTCGTCGATTTCGACAACTGTCTCATATAATGGTTTAGATTTCTTAATATTTAAATCAAAAATTTTTGGTCTTGTCTGGTCTCCGATTAATAGAGAATCTTTGAAACCCTTTGTAGTAATGAATGCACATGGTTCCCCATTCCTCTCAAGAGCACAATTTGTAGCCAATGTAGTTCCCATACGAATACTTGCGACATTTGAGATATCTAGTACCTCACCTCGAGGTATTTTCTTATTTTCGAAGATCTCCAACACACGCCTAATGCCTTCTAATGGTGCATCATTATAATTCTTGGGGTCAACAGATAACAACTTGAATACCAAGTCATCTTCTGGCTTACCACTGCCTTTATTAGCAATAACGTCAGTGAACGTTCCTCCGCGATCTATTGCGATTCTGTATCGTTTATTTGTTCGTTTCATAGGTGAAAATATAGATCTGTATTTTGATAAAACAGTATTGAACAAATAAACAGATCTATATAAATAACACAAAACCTTAAATCACTTACAAAGTGTGCGTGGTTTAAGTATTTCTATTAACCGTGAGGAAGGTGTATCGCAAAAGATACGTTTGAACATGTTCTCAAAATGAAGCGGTATAAGTTCGATTCGTAATCCGATCGTTTATTTAGTTACTTAGTCTATATATTTACTACGCCATTTTCTGAGGGATGACTAAAATGTTGATAAGTCAAATGTCAATCCCCAATGATAGATGGACGTAACTAATGATAATTCTACAAATCTGCATAAAGAAATGAAGTTCAATAGATTTTTTCACTACTGTTAATGTTACATGATGTTATGAACGGTTATTGAGATTTTACAAAGCAGTTCCTTAGCTGTTCATGTAAGCGTCTAATTCAGCATCTAATTGCTCTACACTTTTTGGTTTTTCAACTGTTTTTTTTTTCTGAGATTTTTTAGAGTTATCATAATGACTGCCCAGTGATCCTCTGTTATTTCCCCTTCTTCTTCCATAATCACGATCTCTTCTGGTAGTATCTTTTAGAATAAATCTATTTTGATTACGTCCTTTGTTTTTGCTGCGAATATCAATTATTTCAACGCTAATATTTTCACCTTCATGTACTTGGAAATTATTATATTTGGAAACAAAATCTTTCATCTTTGTTAAATCTTTTAATTCAAAAATACAAGTTCTGTTTTCCTTTGTATCATAAAATTTAAGAAATATTGGTTCATCGAATTCATTAATCCAATCCTCTATCATATAATCAGAAACATCCAGTGGAATCTTATCAATCTTGACTCTATTTTTAGGTGGTGATGGGTTCTTTTGAATAAAATGCGATTCAAGTGTGTTTCTTTGATCTCTATTGCGGTATCTCTGATAAAAAAGTTTGCTTTTGGCCCTATACAAGTATGATGATTATCTTTCAAAGGATATAATTAGAGAGAGGTGAACTATAGGTGCTTATCGTACTCTCTACGCTAATATATTTCGAAATTGAAGTTCATGTATAGGTTAAAAAACAAGGTTAGTAATTGTGTTTTTTCTGGTAGTTTTGTAATCATAATAAAAAATTGAATACATACCGTTACATGATGACGAGGTTTAGTCTCCTCCATAGTTACATCTTGTTCAGCTAAAGTTTCAGAACTGTTGTTGTCGTTGTCGTTAAGTGTAATATTATCTTCACCAATCGAGTTAACTGATGCGATTGGTTCATTTGTAGTATTTAGAATTTGCTATGTTCAAAAGTAGGGATGTTTCATAAAGACTAAACGTTAGTAATAATTATTCCTAAAGAATATGATGGGATTTGAGATAATCAGTTAAACTCATCTCATTAATGCATGAGTAACTCTACATAAAGAGTACGTAGAATATACTCTAAAAGATATTAATCCATGGTACCGCTAACATACATTGTCATTCTCAGACGTATTTGGTAAATCTTGGTTCATCTTTATATTAATCACGGAATAACAGATACACTTATATTGGTGTTCGGAACTGTGAAACACAATTTTCAAGAATATCTAGTTATATATATATGTATATATATTTTCCTGGTAATTTGTATTTTAACTAATCTTAATTTTCGGTTCTTCCTGAAAAATTAGCCTTACTGGCCAGCATTGATTTAGTTGTGTTTTGTTTTGTTTTGTTTTTTAACAACGAACGCACTATAAATTTCAGACACCCGTCTTTTTTGGAGATTTATTTTTGAGAGGAAAAAAGGGTCAAAAAGTTTTCAAACTACTTATTCGTTAACAGTGATATTTTTATTAAACGTAATAGAATATCTTTTTATTTAAGGCGATTATTAGAGCTGTCAAACAATCTGTTATGGCAGTAGTCAATTAGTAGGTCAGTTCGTGTATCACCCGCTTTTGAGACCTGGGTATCTCTGTTTCCGATTTGTTTCCAGTTTGTTTCTAGACCCTTAAGTATATAACGATGTTCTTGTTGTTTAAATTGGGAAGTTTTTACCTTTCTTTCACTTTTATCGCTGGACAGAACAATTCACGCACGTTTTAGTACGGGGATTCTTTCTGTTTTCCTTATTGTCTGACGATTTCCAGTTGTACGTACGTACTGTTTGTTGTATTCGGATTGTAGAAAGGAGATTAATGTGAGCCATGTCCCCCGCCAATACAGCCTAAGCTATTAAAAAGGCCAACCCACCAGCGAGAGAGGGGTCGGAGCAGACAAGGAATAATCAGGAGCTTCGCAAAAAAATTGTGGATACGAGCTATAAATATGAGAAACGAAGGGTAAGTACAACTAATTAGGTGCACTAAGTTATAGGGCATAATTTTGAGCGAGTTTACAGATTTCTTGCACAAATAAATAAATTGGTGAAGAAAACACCACCACTAGGGAAAAGTTTAGGGTATACTTAACGTACCTAAGCATTTCATTTCGGTTACAATGACGTTATATAGTCCTTGACAAAAGTGAGTGCCAGTTTTGTTAGAATATTGCTTCATTCAAATATCAGGTAAAGAAAGAGAGAGATGAGATGTAATTCCTGTAAACCTTGTTCCATTTTCAAAACCTTTCGATAACGATATTTTATTTTGAATTAAATGAATAAAAGTATTTAAACTTTGTTATTGTTGAATAACAATTTTAAATTGTCGGCTGTTTAATAGTAACATTTCTTGATCATTAACAATTTACTTCAAGTAATAATCCCTCAAAGAAAGAATGAAAGCCAATAACATGTAGTTAATATTATTTTATGAATAAGTTTTAATGAAACAACGATATATCGGTCTTTAATGTCATAAGTCTAATAGAAAAAATAAATATATAAAAACATGCCATCAATTGCAAAAATATTTTACGTATTTTATGCAGTAGCAACAAGTGTGTGCAAGAATGTTCAGGTAGATTGAAGAGCATTTCAAAAAACTTTAAATCTCCTCAGTTGAGCTCAACATTGTGAACCTTATTTAGCTTTGGTTATGTACCTACGCAATATTTTAAGTTAGTATATTAAATCATTCTGTTTCGTACAGTTAGACTACTTTTTTTTCTCCAGCATTTCTTCCTTTCCTCAGTAAATATATTTCAATTTGTTTTTATCTGCACAGATTGTACAAAAAATAGAGGTCTCCTCAATTATATTTTTGGATGTTTTTGTCTGCATACATTTAATTTATACGTTTTATTGTTTGATTATTTATTTGTACCTTTTTTCCGCGGAAAATCAACCAGAAGAATTAAATATTTAATGTTTTTTTTTCTTTACATCATTTGACTAAGCGCTCTAAGATAGACATTTGGTAAATAAAATACGTAGTGATTAGATTTATTAAAATACCGTACAGAAATTAAAATGTGACACTTTCTTATAAGGTCAGAAAAAAAGCGCACTTCAAATATAATTACTTTTCTTTTTAATTATTTTGGGAAAAATGCTACTATGTATGACAAATACTGAAAATTAAAATGTAAAATGTTGTGTTTTTTCCAGTAAATATTTGAATCCTCTTTTTCTTGTAATGTTGTTCTCCACTTACGGTGATAAGTCAACCATTCTCATACTAATGAATGCATTTAAGTTTTCTTAAGAAAATTGAGCGGTTAACAATAATAATAGAAGAAGCCAATTTTTCAAACTGAATAACTCAAATTTAAGGCAACAAAAGCGTTACTACAAGATATTAAGAGAACGAAAACTTAAAATTATACTACAAGAATGTGATAATAAAAATCATAAACAAGAAGCCCAAAATATATTAAAGAATCATTTATCCTGTGTAAAAACTCTGGGTGATGTGGATATTTTGCAAAGAAAAACGTTAAAAGAATTTAATGGATCCGTAAATATAAAACAGATTCCGGCCTTCTACTATTCTACTGTTTTTCAAAATATTACGGGAAGAAGTCTTTGTACGCTGACATGTTGGCGTTTGTTTCTTTGTTTTTCTATTCCCTTCTGTTAGCTATACCTTTAGAGCCACATATCAATGAAATCATAGATAAAGTAAATTCTGATAATAATGTAAGAAATAAATAGAATGGTGTCAAGAAAAATTATTTCAGTTTTAACTTACATTTAAAATCCAGTTAGTTTCTTGAACAAATAAGCACCAGAGTGTATATGGGATATTGAAGTAGGGTATCTTATTGTATCGTAATTTCAAAATAATCCTTCCTAGTCAATGCAATGATCATAACATTCTCAGCCACAGAACCTTCAAAGAAGAAACAAGAAATGATTAAAGGGTAAGTATACCTTTTTTAGCCTTTATCTGGGATTCATAAAGTTACATATTCTTCTATAGTATAGGTCACGATAGTTGAGTTGCCGCACATCATTGTCCGTAATTCAGTTCCTTCTTGCTCAGGAAAGATCGTAGAGTGTAATAAATCCACAATTAATAAAAAAGGTGAGTGCGGCCAACCAAAAGTAAAGCTGTAATATCCTAGTATTATTTTAAATACATTCCCTTCTTGTTGTCAACATTCGTATTGGCAACAAGAAATTCAACGTATCTTTAAGATAGGTAATGATAACGTTCTTTATTAGTCAGTGTTCTAAAAAAAAGGTTTTTATCACTTTTTTAAGGAAACTTCTTCCGACAGCTTAATAAAAAATGATAAGCATAAAAAGCAATTATGGGAAATGAATTTAGCCACTTTATAAAAGTTAATAAATAACCCTTTAAGTCTGTGCGCTGCGTGCCTGTAGTTGTATAACCCTCTCTTTTGAAAATATTTTCTGACGTGGCATGTTTGTAATACTTGTATCATAATAATGGTATAATGGGCCAATAGATGGATGCAACAGAAAGAAAGGCATCCACGCAATAATAGGGAAAAATAAAAATGAAATTTACTTGGACAATGTAGACAAATGGTACGGCATTACCTTATCAAATCTCAAAGAATAGAGCGTAGAAAGATAAAGACTACACACTTCATGATCTCAGCCAGACCATTAGAAACATTTTTAAACTTCTTTTGTTAATTCATTTTTTTTTGTTCTGGTTTGAATTCCCTATTCTGCGTTGTTTTTTATCTTTAGATAAGATAGTTGCGGGAAGCGGAATCGGCCAATGTTAGGTCCTGCATACTTTCTCCATTCTTCGTTACCCAAAATATTTATTTTAACTGTCAACGACTAAAATGTTAGATATATTCTATACCGGATTATTGTGCGGAAATGGAATGGATTGGATTTGCGTTTTGTTTATTTGCTTTTAGCATTCTTTTTCCTTCCTGAAATTCCCGTTTTTTGTTTTTCTTTCCGTCTTCTTCCGGCCTCAGGTCCTTTCTGTGGTTCTCAGTCTATTGGTTGGATATTTTTCTTTTTTTTTTGCGTTTGGAAAAGAAATAAGCGCACATCTTTAAATAGTATCTACATCGTGCGTGTTATTCACTGTTCGACCAAAACAGCAAACTTTATATTAGTTTAATTAAGTGTTCTGCAAGAATTTTGGGAACAACCAGAGAACATTCCACACATAGAGGGGATGTATCTCCCATAAAATTTTGTCATTTACCGATTTATTTGGGTGTATCGCACTATATTGAACTTGTTATTTCTCACTTCATTCGTAACGAAACTTTCGCTAACTCTGTTGTTTTTCTGGGGTTCTTTGGTTTTATGGTGAGGATTGCCATTTTGATTAAAGAAAAGCAGACACTAGAAGTAGAAAATTGTATATCACTATGAGATATTCTTATGATATAGTAAATGGCGTAAAAAAATTGAGTTAAATTTCTACCGAAAAGAGGGAGCGTTACGAATAATCTAAGGTTTTATTCCTTCGATTTTATGAGAAACAATTTATATGTTGTTGTTACTTTATTTCTTTGATATTTAAATTTGCTACATCACCAGGACAAAAAAATTAGAACGTTGAATATCTATATCCCGATGGTTTATTCTTTCGTTTCAGTGTTTCAAATAAAAAAGAGTAAGCAAAAACTCTACTTCTTGATTATTTTATTTTATAATAAAGGATATGTAAACCCTCCTAACTTCTTTCAAGGAGAAATAGGAAGCCAAAAATGAAGTGATTCAAATAAAAATTGATCTGCTATTTCTATTATTGTATACATTAAAAGAAATTTGATGAAGTAACGAATGATATGTCGTAGAAATGTCTTCATTTTGTGATTGTTAAAGCATTTCAAGTATAGTTCTCAATTGTTCTCTGACATACTGTAGTGAAACTCTAAACTTTCATTTTCTTTATAATTTTAAAGCATATTGACCGTAGTACTTTGGGAACATTTTGTATTAAGTATATCATATTTTTTTGCCCATTAAACGGCTGTTAACAGGCAGGAGACGTAGATGAAATATTTCAATTTTCACCCTCTCTCTTTCTTTCTCTCTCCCTTTATCGTGACAAATTTTTCTTGTTTATTCTCCTCTCATAATTTCTGGACGAACCATTGCTATTGCAAAAAACAAAACTAAAAGTTATAGAAGACATTTGAGTGAGAATTGGCAGTAGTTCATCTTTGATGTTTTTTTTCCTTCGAGTTTAATAGCAATGTCAATCGCTAAATGCACTTAATAATAATTAAAATTTTAGTTTTTAAGACAAATCTGGCATAAATACTACACCTGCTGACTATAATTCTGAAAGTAATGATTATCTCATTCTTCGGCTTAATCCTTCCTTCTGCAATCATTTTACCTCATATTTAATATCAATTATTAAGGAATATTCCTACTTTCATATCCGAACACTTTGTTTCTTCGGTAATTTGTTCCCTACTTTTGGAGTTTTGATCACTTTTTTTTTTGCCTTGCTTTTGCAAAATAAACAATACTTGTTAATTGCAGTTGTCTGTTCAAAATTTGGTTTCACCTTTAAAACTAAAAGCAAAACATCTCAAATATATTCAACCCTCTTGACCAACAGGAGTAGAAATATTTTGTATGTGTGTGTTTTGTTTTTTTATTTGCTTATTCCTCGCAACTTGAACGAATGAATTTCCTTTAGTATTTACTTCAGAAAAATTTTAGACATCCATAACGCCATAAAACCTTTTGTCTCCATATATAAGATTGAAGAGGTGATTGAGATGGTTGATGACATAAATTTATTTTTCCCCAATTTCTGAAGCTAACTCATTTGTTAAGCTTAATTTCTTCTAAACTATTATTCAATCTGTTTTATTTTCTGTATCACATTCAATTATCGGATATATTGGACGTATTATTTTTTTTTTGTTAATATACAATTGCCATTTTTCTTTTATTCATCAAATAAGAAAGTATATTCGATTCTAAATTTATACCATATTCTATTCTGTCAGTATTTTAAGATTAATAGTACTGTGTTCCAATTAGTTATATTTGTCTTTTCCAAGTTATTTCTATTCTCTCTCCCAGTGATATATTTCTATTAATTTTTTTGTCCCTCATAGATAACAAACTTAATAATTGAAACGAAAAAAAAAGTAAAACACAATTCCAAGAAGAAGAATTTAACTTTGCATTAAAATAATAAAAGATTTAGTATACCTTTTGTGTTTTTGGAGACAACTTTGTCATATTTCTTTTAATTCACGTCTACCTTGAATTAACTAAACAGAACAATAATATAAACAATAGTTATCATAAAATTTAAAACAATAGTGACTAGGGACAATTGAATTACTCTTTTCTGATTCATTGTTGAATCGTACTTTTTTTGTTTTTTTGTTTTTTTGTCTCTGGCATATTACGTCCTTTTTAGTAGTATCACCGATAGCTTCTCTTGAGAGAATTTGTGAATATTTGTGAACAGTCATCATCTCATCCATTCTTTATTGTTATCATTTTTATACGTGGGTATATTTTTCCTTTCGTTATTGTTAAATTAGTACATTCCATTTGTCCGATTATATCTAATCCAAGGTCAAACGTATTATACTTGAAAGATTAAATTTTGTAAATTGCATGAATCTAGGATTCTGTTTTTGTTATCCACTCGACTTAAAAAGGTATTAATAACATTTGCACAAAACCTAAAATTTCCACATTTTATTTTTTTTTTGTTCAGTTTCTAATTATAGTACCCCTATTATCAGCATAAAATATTTTCACAACGTTAGTAGCATTGTAACTGTTTATTATCCATCCTTGAATAGAAAATATATCGATGGATCTATCTCATAAGAAATATATTTCTCAATAACATAACAAATTATAGTAAGGTAATTAAAATCCCCTGTCTGCGTAAATTAACATAAATTTTAAGCAAAATTTCAGTATCTCTATTTTATTTTGTTGCATTTCCATATAAACTGTATTATAATTAGAATTACCTTGTTTAGATTATACAAACTGAATTTCCAGTCGAACCCCAAAATTGTATTTAAACTTCGACGATAACAAATATAACTAAAAATCCAAAATATACCCAAGATAAATATGGATGTTTCACAACAAAATGAGTTGAAAAATATATCATCATCAGCAACAGCCAGAAAAAAAAGAAACAGAGTTCCATTGAGTTGTACTATTTGTAGAAAGAGACGATTGCGATGTGATAAACAGAAACCATTCTGTGCAAATTGTCAGCAATTGAACATATCTCATTTGTGTCATTATATGAAACAACTTTGGGCAGAAGATAGGGAGCCGTGGTCAGAAAATGATGAAATATCATTTTTAAAAGTAAAGTCAGATAACCTAAATGAACTCATTGACATTTCGACAACATACAATACCCATCAACATCTTGTACTAACTAGTAATGGGTACATTCCTCATCATCCAAATGAAATTGAATTAAATTTTAAAGCAGAGGCAGTCGTAATGGATATTCATAACACCATTGGGGATAATAAGTTTAGATATAACCCATCCAATAATCCAGTAACAATCCTGAAGTCAGATCCAAAATTGAAAGAAATTTGGGATAATGTAACGAAGTTACATGAACAACTAGACGATAAATTGAACACTACATCATACAAAGCTGGCAAGGACCTCGAAGTGAAATATAAACAGAGCAGGAGTAAACAGGATAAAGATCTTAAAGTGTCATTTAATGAAAGTTCGATATCGGGCCCCAAAAGTGATATTCCGAGGGTCAGGAAGCAAAACATGCAAGGTTTGTCGAAACCAATAAGTGAATCAATATCTATGTTAGTCGATAATGATGGTAGCCTTGGTAATTCTGCAGGTCCAGGTTCCAATGGCGATAAGCGAAATGTTGGTCTTCAGCATGAAGATATTAATGATTTAAGAAAACGAAATTCTGTTGCAAATATGTTAAACGACGATAATAATGGTGGTACAACTCTTCCTGAAGTTGATCCAAATTATGCCATAGAAGTAAATTCAGATAGTTCATCTACAAAAGCTACGAATAAACCAGGGAGAGGACCGATTGAAGATGGAACACCAATTTCTAAGGAAGATATTCTAAGTACGTTACTTCACTTCTTACCGTCTCGACTTGAAACTGAACTACTTCTTCAGGTTTTTTTTAAATATCTTTATCCTAGTATGCCATTCTTGGATTCAAAGAACCTCATGATCCAATTCCACAGGATATTTTCATATGCCAATGATTCGACAGAAGGCTCCCAATTTGAGAATAGATTATTGAGAATTTCACTATCCAATTATAATGATTATTGTAATTTTGGTATTATTATACTTATAATAAAACTAACCGAGATATCATTTGCTTCTAGTGGGACAGGGGATGATATATTTAATGATGATGTTAGCAATCAGCAACCTGAGCTCAGCCCTGGTTCCGAATTATTTAAACAGCAGATTCCATATTATGTAATCGTATTGATCGAGAAAGAATTTATTAAGATTGGAGATTACCTATTTGGCATATTTGTTCCATTACCTCTCATACACTTCGCTTTATTATCCAGAGTTTATTGTGAATCTTCCAACGAAGTCGATAACGTATTCAGGTCGTGTTGTTCAGTAGAAAATATAGTTCAACTAGCACTTAGTTTTGGGCTAAACATTGACCCAGATAACCATTTTCTATTAAATGAACAAAAAGCTAATAATAATAATACTAATATTCCACCAAACATTGAAAGGTATAAACACACGTGGAGGAAGACCTGGTATTTCATAATATCGTTAGACGTAAGTCAGTCACTAGATTTCGGAAAAGCACGTCTGTTAAAAAATTTGAGGGAGGTCAGTGATACTAAGCTACCCATTTTCTCTAACGTTGATTACGTGAAAAACATTCAGGAATTGATAGTAGTAAAGAATTTTACACTATTCTTTGAGATTGATTTAATAATCATTGGTATTTTAAACTTGTTTGAGGATGCTAGGTATCATAATGTAACAAAATTGAAAATTGATGTAATTATAAATTCTTTGTTGGACTTTATTTACGGCCGGAAGTCGAGTAAAGAGACATTATTAACGTTAGATAATCTAAACATATTTCCGAAACAAGAATGCTGTTTAAGAATACATATCTCAAATGAAACTGACGAATGTTATAACCTTCCGGATATTCAATACTTACTCCAGGTAAAATCCAATGCATTGAATTTTACAGAACTCGAACGAAAACTGGAAATTCCAAGAACATCTATAGTTAGTTCTATTTTCTTTGTAAAGCACGTTATTCTGAGACATCTGATCTTTGAACTTAATTGGAAAGGGTTCAGTTATTTCGCATCTAACCGGTTATCTGAAAATCTAAGCTATTTCTATGGGCAGGAATTATTCTGTTGGACGAAAAATATATTAGAAGATATTCTCTTTTTCTTTAATAATACCTTGAAACATATTGGTATCGCCAAGAGAATTACCACCCCAGCACTGTTACAATCAATATTCTCCTGTGTACAGTTTCTAACTATTTCGATATTAAAGGAACTCCAGACTAATAATGATAAAAGCTTTCTTTTATTAAATTCTATCACGAGATTGTTGGAAAAAATTTCTAAATATAATAAACGTGCACAAGTTGTATTTGATTTTATAGACAATTTTAACAAAATCTACTTAAAAGATAGAGATGAAGCTAATGTTGCGATAGTACATCCGAGTGCGATACAAAATGTGCAAGAATCGATTGAACTGCCACCTAATAATCCGCAACTTAGTTACTATGGGCAACAATATATAATACCACCTCAAAACATTATGCCAGACAGTATTAATACGTTTCAACCTGGAACAGCAATATACAATGTGCCTACTCCTCAAGATGTTGCACTATATACAGGTCCCATTTTACCGCCTTTTCCGGTTACTAATTATCCCCCCAATCTGTACAACAGTAATGACCAAATACCATATTCTCAGCCCACTCAGTATTGGATCAATAATGGCGTTGAACATCATCAGATAAATCCTGCTTCAATGGCACCGCCTACAATGCAATATGTGTCGCCATATTTCATACATGGAGTTCAACTTCAACAGCAATCCTTGCATTCTGGTTTATCTTTAAATAACCATATCTCTCCTTACGTTTATAACCAAGGAAACGTTTACGTTTCTAATATCCAGCGTTCACCCCCTGTAGGTGACGTTGATACTAATTCATCTGCTGCGCAGCTACCCCGACAAGGGCACCAAAATTTTCCTGGCGAAAATAATTCTGAATGATAAAAACTTTTTTCTTATTTGTCACAGTGATCCAATTAAACCAAAACAGAAGTACAGGGTATCATTCTCTTTCTAAAAATTTAAGAATACAAATGTATACTGAGTAAGTAGTTGAAAATAAATGTCATCTTAATTGAAAAATTTATGTATAGATGATATGCAAATATAAAAATATTCCGTTTTCTGAATCTTCAAGAATTCACGATTCATCACTGCATAAAAGCTATCGATTATGTATTAAAGATAAGAGTATATGATATACTATAGAATGTACAGATCTATAACTTAATAGATGTCTTTAAAAATATTTGAGAATCGTTCGTTATGGGGCGAGTACCTCGAGTTTACTTCACTTAGCCATTTTATTGATTTAGCAAACTGTTTTAATGAAGGTTCCACAAGAGAAAGATTTCCATAAGCGATTACTAACCTATAAGCAGCTTCTTCACTTTCTTGGTATTCCTCTAATTTCCCAAATTTCGTATTTATGGCATCAGAAACTATAGGTACCATATCAATTTTGTTAACGGGATCTTTTACTACTAATACTGAATAATTCAATACTAAAGTAGACACAGCTAATGCCAAATTTTGCGCCTGACGTTTTGTTTCGTTTTCGAATACGTTGTCCATCGTTTCAAACACTGAGTCATACATTTTGACAGAACCCATTAATTCAATCCCCCATTTTTGGTTTAAAAAACAATTAGCAAGAATACGTGTCGTTAACATCTTAATATTAATTTCTTTAGAGTCCAAGCCTTCTTCAATAAATTCGCTTATATCGTCAGCATTTTCTAGTTTGTGAACAATTAATCTTATTATATCGTAGGCTGGCGTTTTTGTAGTCCATGATGATTTAATAGTAACAGCATAATTGTATAACACTTGTATATTCCCTTCGATATCATAAAGTGCAGAACCAATAGTAGCACAGTCTTCGTCATTAAATGTTTTCTCTTTTTCGTTTAATTTCACAATACCATTTAACAAGGCGTCGGGGTTAAATGAATCTAAACTTAAGAATTCGTTAACCGGTAGAACTTTCATATTATCTGTATTTATCATTGGTGGTACATTCTTAGTTGCTTCTTGTTTTGAACTACTATTAGGCTGATCAAAGGAAATGCCGTTTGTATTCTGAAGAATAAAATTTACGATTTGATCTTTATAGTTTGATGGTAAATCATAACGTATTATAAATTTATCTGCAGCTTCGTAAGGGTTATCTCTAATGTTAATCGGAAGTTTTAATGGTGGTTGTCCTTCTTCGACATCAACATCAAATACATAATCGTAGTCCTTACCTTCAAAGTTCACCTTCTTATCGCTTCCTGCACTATTAGAACTTACGACTTCGCCAACTTTGGACCAATTTGAATTTGAATATTGGTATGCTTCAAGAGAACCACTTGGAGACTTAACGACGACAACTTGGCCCTCTTTATTACCTGGTGTCTTTAATACATCCGATGGGGATAACTTTGATTCATCGAATTCCATTGATTGTGAACTTAATGAGGTATTTTCAACTTCCTTTTGAAACTCTTCTAAGGCATTTGGGGATGCAAAACGATTCTTCTCGGTTGAAAAAATTCTAATGGTATTATCACTACAACCTACAACAATATCATTATTTGGGAGGATATCAAGGCACCAAATAGAAATTGCTGGTAGTCTAATAACTTGTTTAGCTTTACCCGTTGTAGTATCCCAGATTCTTAATGATCTATCCTCACCACAACTAATCAACTCAGATGTTGCCCTGTTATATTTAATATCATAAACAAAACTTTCATGTCCCTGTAGAGAATTAATTATTTTGCCATTTTCGTTAAACAACTTGATTGTAGTATCATTGGAACATGTAGCAAAGAGGAAATCATTTTGACTACTTGGAATAAAATCAATTTGCCTAATAACGTCTTCATGAATCCCGGCAATAGTCTGTATAGTTGTTTCTTTATTCCAAATCTTGATAGTTTTATCTGCAGAGACTGTAACAAATTTATCTTTACTATTTGGTAAGAATTTAGCGTCCCATACAGCTGCTTCGTGACCTTTTAAAGAATATTTCTTTGATCCATTGGACCAAACAATAGCTGAATTATCCCATGACCCACTAATTAATTCAGTAGTCTCAATATTCTCATTTAATGAACAAACATTTGAAGAATGACCAACAAGGGTAAATTGAGGGTCCTTAGTTAATGAACTATCAATTTTACAACCATTAATTAAAGAATCCTTCCCAGCAAAATAAATGATTTCATTCACCGAATCATAAGTGATCGAATTTAAGAACATATCTGTATTATATAATATTTCATTTGTCCATAAATTGTCTTTATTATCGGAAATAGACCAAAGACGTACTGTCCCATCTCTAGAAACAGAGGCTAACTTATCATTATTAATAGCTACAACACCCTTAACATCTTGATCGTGTGCCTTTAAAGTAGCACTCAATTGAAACATGACTCTTAGATCTCTAATTATTTAATTAGTTCTGCAGTAGTTTTAATTTCTTCGAACCACTTTAGTTTATTTTAACACGTTATTGAATTGACCTTTTGTAATAATATAAGTTACTACCCTTACGGTGGTAAACTATTTATTCAATACTGATGAAAGAAAAAAGAAAAAAAAAAGAGACTATTCGGTTCGGCTGAAATTAAACATTATATTTTAAACAGACTTGGAAGTAGTTTTAAATGAATCGATCACAACTATGTTTACCAGAGAGAAAAGGGTTGAGTAGCCCTTAGTACAAAAGTTAAGTACAATTAAGATGTTATTCAATTTTAAAAAAAAAAGTAATGTCTGTAGCGAAGTTAAAGACATAAAATTGTAGTCGTTGATGCTTTAAATCCTTGTATTAATGATATACAACGATAAAGTATATTAATATTAGATTAGCGAAATTGTTTCAAAAATAAAAATAGAATATTTAATATATTCCTAGGGGCATATTATCCTTTGAGTAAGAATATTGCGTTGTTTATAAAACATAAAATAATAGCATTGTGTTTTTTCAATGACGAAGTGGCATTAATTAGAACAGAGAAGATATAAAAAAGAAAAAAACAGGAAAACTGTTTGTAGAAATTATTTGTACTATACACTTCATTAATTATGTAAACTCCGTGAATATATATGTGTGTGTGTGTGTGTATATGTATTTACCATGTTAGTAAAAGCTATTTCTTAAAAATAGTTAATTTTCACCAAATATTTAACATTTAGTTCATTTTGGTTCTTCTTGAAATACTTACAAACTATGTCTCCCAGTAAACAAAATTTCAAATCTGTAATAAAACAGTTACAACTCCTACAATTACAACAAAAATAAAACTGCACTCCATCAGTCTAATAACTTACATACCCCTACAATAATATTGACTTTAGATCAAGTGTCATACACCACACCTTCTAATATGTATCAAACATCACACACAAAAGCTAATACTTGGCACGCACGACATCACGCCCGTGTGTCCCGCCTTGGGCCACCAAAAGCGCGGTGCGTTGCTTTTCGTTTGAAATTTTTCATTTTAAACGACGACGACGACAACAAAATGCATGAATCTCTCTGCCTCTGCGGTTTCTCGAGAACAAAAAGACGAAGAAGAGAGGACCCCGCGACAAAACAAACAAAACAGTCAAAAAATCAACATTGTCTCCTATATTACAAGCAAATATTTGAGTTTACAGATCAACAATACTATAGAATCTACAGTTTTTAAGATCTAGCTGTTATTTATCTTCTTTGGTTACATCATCTATCACATATCAAAACAATAAGAAAAAAAAGAAGAAAAAAGTTTAACTGATAGAGCCTTAGTCGTGAAAGAATATGTCCTGTCCTTTATTGTTTGCTCAGTCACCTGAAGGTTTATTCTTTAAACCTTCTGTGGGTACTGCTACACCAAGTACTCCAGAAATTGCTATTTCTGTCTCAAAATATGATTCTACTGTAAGAGTTGTCGATACTGAACAATTCCCAGTTCAAGGTAATATTACTAAGATTGCCGCATTATTAGGTTTCATTCAATTGAAATTAAATAAATATGCTATTATTGCTAATACTGTTGAAGAGACAGGTAAACTTGCAGGCCATACTTTATACAAGATTATTCAACATTCTATTGTCCCTGTATCAACAAATCAAGTTGTAGATTCTGATGAAGCTTCATATCTTTCATTATTAGAGACTCAATTAACTAATGCAACTTTATTTTTCTCTTATACTTATGATTTGACAAATTCTTTACAACGTAATGAAAAGATTGGTAATAATTCAACAAATACTTTTAATTGGAAACAATGTGATACAAGATTCTTTTGGAATCATTATTTATCTCAAGAACTTAGAGAATTAACTGTTCAAGAACCTCGTGTTGATAGATTTATTCAACCAATTATTTATGGTTATGCTAAATGTGTTGAAACTATATTGGCTCAAACTCCAATCTCTTTAGCTTTAATCACTAGACGTAGTAGATTTAGAGCTGGGACAAGATATTTCCGTCGTGGTATTGATGATGATGGGAATGTTGCTAATTTTAATGAAACTGAACAAGTATTAATTACTTGGCCAACAGGTACATCTGAACATCAAATATTTTCATTATTGCAAACAAGAGGTTCCGTACCTGTTTATTGGGCAGAAATTAATAATTTGAAATATAAACCAAATTTAGTCCTTGGTGAAAATTCTATTGATTCAACAAAGAAACATTTTGATCAACAAATATCTTTATATGGTAGAAATTATTTAGTTTCTTTAGTTAATCAAAAGGGTTATGAATTACCAGTTAAAGAAGCATATGAAAATATTGTTAGACAACTTGATAATCCTGATGTCCTTTACAATTATTTTGATTTCCATCATGAATGTCGTCATATGAAATGGCATAGAGTTAAACTTCTAATCGAACAATTACAAGATGCAGGTTTGAAAAATACTGATTGTTTTCATAAGATTGTAGATTCACAAGGTCAGACATTAAAAATTGTCTCTGAACAAAATAGTGTCGTTAGAACCAACTGTATGGATTGTCTAGATAGAACTAATGTTGTTCAATCTGTTTTGGCTCATTGGGTATTACAAAGAGAATTACAAACTGCAAACGTTCTAAAGGATGAAAATGATCTATGGGAATCCGATAAGAAGCTATTATCTTTATTCCAAAACTTATGGGCTGATAATGCCGATGCAGTGAGTTTCTCTTATTCTGGTACTGGTGCTTTAAAGACTGACTTCACAAGAACGGGCAAACGTACAAAAGCTGGTGCATTTAACGATTTTGTTAACTCAGCTTCTCGTTATTACCAAAATAATTTAACAGATGGTCCAAGACAAGATTCTTATGATTTATTTTTAGGTAATTTCCAACCAACCACTTCCTCATTGGGTAGATCTCCATTCTCAGATAATAGACCAAGTTATATTCAAACTTTACCAACTATAATTTATGCTGCTTTAACTGTCTTTGGTGCTACAATTTTCTTCCCAAAATACCATTTCACAAGTTTCAAGAATTTAATGTTTTTCTTAACTGCTACCATTGTATTAACATTATCAGGTAAATTTGTCATTAAGAATGGTATGCAATTTGTTAACTGGCCAGATTTAGTTCAATTGAAATTCTTAACTACCGAATCAACTTCCACAAAGGACAAAAAGGATAAAGATGTCAAGTATTTACCAAGTCCATCCTACTATAAACCAAACAACCAAAGAAAATCAGATTGAAGGATTCAAATAAAGGCCGTTGAAGAAATCTCGTTCTATCTCTTTTTTTTTATCTTGCACCACCCCTTCTGGTGTTTTACTTACGTTTTCTTTTCCACTTAATGAACTTACCTAATATATATACATACAGATATAGACTTAACTAACTAATTTTTTATAAAAAAAAAATTTAAAAAAAAATATCAAACTTGTTAACAACATGAATGTCATAATTTTCATATTATGGTATTACGTACAAACAGTATCAAAAATATATATATAAATATCTATTTAAGCAGTCAATTCGTCGATGAACTTTTCAACATTTTCTGATCTCATTAGTGCTTCACCAACTAAGAATCCGTGTACACCTTGTTCTTTGTACTTTTCGGAGTCTTCACCACTGGTGATACCAGATAAGGCAATCAACAAAGTGTCCTTTGGAGTAGAGTCCACAAGTTTAGATGTAGTATTCAAATCAACATTAAAAGAGTGCAAATCTCTATTGTTAACACCAATTACTTTAGCACCAATAGAAATTGCTCTATCTAATTCTTCTTTAGAATTGACTTCTACTAATGGTTCAATACCCATTTCTTTGACACTATAAGCGTATAATTCTTTCAATTCATCTTGTTGTAACATTTTTACAATTAATAGTACTGTATCAGCGCCTGCCAGTCTAGCCTCTAGGATTTGATATTTACTGAAAATAAATTCTTTTCTTAAGACACATGGTCTAGCCTCAGGGTTACTCTTAAATTCATTGTCTAAAACTCTTCTAACATTGATTAAATCCTGTAGAGTACCTTTGAACCAATGTGGTTCAGTCAATACCGATATAGCTGAAGCACCAGCCTTAGCATATTTCAAAGCTTGTTCTGCAGCAATGGCATCAATACAAATATTACCCTTTGATGGAGATGCACGTTTCACTTCAGATAATACTACAGCTCTCTTTGATGAGTTTTGTGGCACTTGTAACCTTTTATAGAAATTTTGTACTGATGGAGCTAAACCTAATTTAAAATTGCTCTCTAAATCTCTCATTGTAAAACCTGGGATCTTTTGTTGTTCTTTAACATCGGTTTTCCTTTGTTCATATATACGATCTAAAATAGATTGATTTTTTTTTAAAGTTGAAAAGGTTTGATTTTTGGCATTTTCTTCCCAAGTACCACCTGTAACATTTAAGATATTTTTCATCATTAAGTGGCCTTCTTCTGTAAGGATAGATTCTGGATGGAATTGAACACCTTCAACAGTATATTTCTTATGTCTAACACCCATAATAACACCTTTCTCGGTTCTGGCAGTGACGTCTAGACATTCCGGTAAAGTAGGGTCATTACCAGCAAGGGAATGGTATCTTGTGACAGCAACATCCTGAGGGACATTTTTGAAGAAACCTTTGTTGTCATGTGTAATAGTACTAGTCTTACCATGAACGATTTCTCCGGCATAAGTCACATCACCACCAAATACATCGATCATACATTGTTGACCCATACAGATCCCAAACACTGGAATCTTACCAGTAAAGAATTTAATAGTATCTCTAGAGATACCAGAGTCTGTACGTGGATGACCTGGACCTGGAGAGATTACAATAACATCTGGGTTAAGAGCCTCTATTTCTTCAACTGTTATCTTATCATTTCTGAAAACCTGGACATTTGCCCCTTCTTGGCAAAGGTACTCATATACGTTCCAAGTGAAAGAATCGTAGTTGTCGACTAATACGACATTCTTAGAAGTAGTCATTGTGTGTATGTGTGTATTATCTTATAATAAATCTGCAGTTAATATTTTTGCAAAAATTATCTTATTATTACTCTCACTATAATATAATATATATACAACTGGTATACTATTTATATATACATATATATATGATTTCAAATAGTGCAGATCAAATATATTGAAATATGCTCTCTTTTTGATTTTTTTATAATTTAAAGGATAGCTGACACATGGAATGTCAGAGTTCCTCTCATCCATCAGAGTGAGTAACGTAATTAGCTCGCCTGCTCTCGATGAGTCAAATTTTTCACTTTTGCCTATCAAAAAATTGCGGGGGTCACGTGAATCCCTGGTTTAAAATTTTATTCCTATGCGGAAGAAAGTATATAAGCATATATCTGCTCATAGTGAACATTAAAAATAATCCATATTTCATTACAACCCATTCATGAACCTCTTCCAGTTTTTGTTTTACGGATTATCGCATATTTCTTGTTAGATATGTATTTTCTAACACATGTCATCATACACGAGCGGGTGAATATTATTTTCATCCTTTAGTTAACTATGCACGCCAAAAATTCGCGAGTTCTTTGTTGATGATGGAAAAAAAACAAACGAAATAAGCCAAAGCGTGTACATATTAAGAAAATGGGGCAGAGTGAACTGATAAGTTATTACTTGGATCAAGTTTTGTGAATGTAAATTAAGTTAGAGAAATATCAATTTTTAAGAGAAACAAATACTATTTTTTTTTGTATTTCTGAGTACAGTTGTTATTTAAATTGATTGTACATTGGTGGGTTTTATCAATTAGTAGATAAAGACAAAAAACGAAAATATTGTAACACGAAGCTAAGATATGTCTGGTATCATTGAAGCGTCCTCTGCATTGAGGAAAAGAAAACATCTAAAGAGAGGGATCAATTTCACAACTATGGTTGTAGGTCAATCTGGTTGTGGTAGATCCACTTTTATTAACACCCTGTGTGGCCAACAAGTAGTTGATACATCTAGTACTGTTTTATTACCAACGGATACATCTACAGAAATTGAATTACAATTGAGAGAAGAAACTGTTGAATTAGAAGATGATGAAGGTGTAAAGATTCAATTGAATATTATCGATACGCCTGGGTTTGGTGATTCATTAGACAATACATCATCATTTGAAGTTATTTCAGATTATATTCGTCATCAATATGATGAAATTTTATTAGAAGAAAGCCGTGTAAGAAGAAATCCTCGTTTTAAAGATGGTAGAGTTCATTGTTGTTTATATTTAATTTCTCCAACGGGACATGGTTTAAAAGAAATGGATGTTGAATTTATTCGTAAACTTGGTAGTTTAACAAATATTTTACCATTAATTGCAAAATCTGATTCATTAACACCAGAAGAATTAAAGTTAAATAAGAAATTAATTATGGAAGATATTGATAGATATCAATTACCAATTTATAATTTTCCATTTGATGAAGATGATGTTTCACAAGAAGATTATGATACAAATACTTATTTAAGATCTGCATTACCATTTTCAATTATTGGCTCAAATGAAGTCTATGATATGGGTAATTCTTTAATGGTACGTGGTAGAAAATATCCTTGGGGGATGCTTGATGTTGAAGATGCAACAATTTCTGATTTTGCAATTTTAAGAAATGCATTATTAATTTCTCATTTACATGATTTAAAGGATTATACACATGAAATATTATATGAAAGATATAGAACTGAAGCATTATCAGGTGAATCAGCTCCATTTCCAACTTCTATCAATAATAATAATGAATTAGTAACAAGTCCCATGCCACATGGAGACTTCCAAGGTAAACCAATGTCACCAACTTTACCAAGTGCTACTGCATCACCTGCAATTAATGGAAATGTTAGTGCACCTCGTGATACATATCTTGCACGTGAAGAACAAATAAGGTTAGAAGAAGAAAGATTAAAGGCCTTTGAAGAAAGGGTTCAGCAAGAATTAATAATGAAGAGGAAAGAATTGTTACAAAGAGAGCAAGAATTGAGAGAGATCGAAGAAAGATTAGAAAAAGAAGCTAATTTAAAGAAAGAGACACTTGAATGAAGTTCATTGTGACCAGTAAAAAAAAGTAACACAGGTCTACTTCTATAACTAACATTATTAAAAAAAAATAAAAAAAATCACACACACACATATATATCCATAAAAAAAATATTTTTACTACATAACTAACTTCTCTCCCATCAAATGGACGAGTGAGATCAAACAATACAATAACCATCTATTTACTCATGACTTAGCCTTTTTTATGTTGTTGATGATGATAGATGCAAGCCCTAATCTAATTTAAGTACAACTAAAGAAAAGGGAAAGCAAAAATTGCTAGCAATGCGCAAAAAACAGCAAGTGCGAGGGAGAGAAAAACGAAATATTTTATCTTTCTCTATATATAAATATAAATATATATATATGAAGACAGGAAAACATTTCTTTTCTATGTTTTATACATGTGTAAGATTTGTTGATAGGTAAAAGAAAATACATATGCTCATCACTATTATTAACTTATGGTGATGTTTATGTGTGTGTGTGACGGACTAAAATGTGAATATGTAATGGCATATTCAGATGAATAAGCCGTACATACAGTTGTATATTTGTATGCTGCTAAATGATGAGTAACCAGATAGGGACAACAGATAATACGTTTAAGTGACGAGGAAAGTCTATATAGTCCAGTTTTTAGTAGAGCTTGGACACCACTCTGATTTCAGCAAACATATATACTCAAAGTTGTATGGACATAAGTAGAATATATATATATATATATTGATGTACAATGTGTGTGTAGCGAACTAGTTAACACACGTCGTATCCAGTGATCTCTGAGTGATACCTTCTTGTACTGTTACCAATTTAATTTATGCCGTTCGATTCTCCGTTCGATTCTCTGTGGGTTCAACAAATGAAGCGACGGCCCTCAAAGGTGGTGGCAAAAAATTGAGAAACTTCAAACGTTGCGGAAGTGAGATGGATATGGGAAGAAAAACGTTAACAACCCTTGTAAAACTTAGTAATCCTTTAGCCAAGAGCTAATCTTAATTATTATTTTGCTTGTGAATTAAATAAGAAAAGATTACATAATATAAACATATTTTAAGTGTTCATTGAAAATTTGGTTGTAATTGCGATATCTATTATAAAAAGGGTCCAAGACTTTAATCTGAAACGAACTCAATTAGCAAGTTTTCATTTATTTCATTTTTAATAATACAACTTAAAACACATTTCAAATTAACATAATAGAAGAATACTATATTCTCTTTTTTTGTTTTGTTTATTAAGTTAGTCTAATATAATCGTTTAAAGTAAAAAAGAACACTCAATATGAGTACTAAACCAGGTGAAATCGATGAGAGTCTTTATTCTAGACAATTATATGTTTTGGGTAAAGAAGCCATGTTAAAGATGCAATTATCAAATGTCCTTATTATTGGTATGAAGGGTCTTGGTGTAGAAATTGCCAAAAATATTGCTTTAGCTGGTGTCAAATCCCTTACTTTATATGATCCAACTCCAATTACTATTCAAGATTTATCTACTCAATTTTTTTTCTCAGAAAATGATATTGGTAATAAAAGAGATATTGTCTCACAAATTAAATTGGCAGAATTAAATGCTTATGTACCAATTCATGTCCTAGAATCTATGGAAGATGAACATCAATTACATGATTATCAAGTAGTTGTAGCTACAGAAACTGTATCCTTAGAAGATAAAGTTAAATTAAATAATTATGCTCGTGAACATGGAATTAAATTTATCTCTACAGAGACAAGAGGTTTATTTGGTAATGTCTTTGTAGATTTAGGTAAAGAATTTACCGTTTTAGATATAACTGGTGAAGAACCAAAGACAGGTATTGTTTCTGATATTGAACCTGATGGAACCGTTACTATGTTAGATGATAATAGACATGGTCTTGAAGATGGTGATTATGTTAACTTTACAGAAGTTCAAGGTTTAGAAAAATTAAATGATGGTACACCTTATAAAGTTGAAGTGTTAGGCCCATTTGCCTTTAGAATTGGTTCTGTAAAACGTCTTGGTGAATATAAGAAAGGTGGTATTTTCACTCAAGTGAAAATTCCACAAAATATTACATTCAAATCTTTACAAGATAATTTAACTGATCCTGAATTTGTATTTTCAGATTTTTCAAAATTCGATAGATCTAGTCAATTACATTTAGGGTTCCAAGCATTACATCAATTCCAAGTTAAACATCAAGGTGAATTACCAAGACCAATGAATATAGAAGATGCAAACGAACTAGTTAAATTAACAACCGATTTATCAGTTCAAGAACCAAACGTTTTTGGTTGTGAACAAACAAAAGTAAATGAAAAATTGATTCATGAATTATCTTTCCAAGCTAGAGGTGATATTCCCGGGGTCGTTGCATTCTTTGGTGGGTTAGTTGCACAAGAAGTATTGAAAGCATGTTCTGGTAAATTTTCTCCATTGAAACAAATAATGTACTTTGATTCCTTAGAATCATTACCAGATTTAAAGAACTTCCCAAGAACTCCAGAAAATACAAAACCAATTAATTCTCGTTATGATAATCAAATTGCTGTGTTTGGTCTTGATTTCCAAAAGAAAATTGCTAATTCAAAGGTTTTCCTTGTTGGTTCCGGTGCTATTGGTTGTGAAATGTTAAAGAACTGGGCCTTGTTGGGTCTAGGTTCCGGTGATAATGGTCTAATTGTAGTTACTGATAATGATTCTATTGAAAAATCTAATTTAAATCGTCAATTCTTATTTAGACCAAAGGATGTCGGTAGAGATAAATCCAGTGTTGCAGCTGAAGCTGTCGCTGTTATGAACCCAGATCTCAAGAATAAGATTAAGCCAATGACTGACAAAGTCGGCCAAGACACAGAAGATATATTCAATGATACATTCTGGTCCCAACTAGATTTTGTCACAAATGCACTAGATAATATTGAAGCACGTACTTATGTTGATCGTCGTTGTGTCTTTTTCCAAAAGCCTTTATTGGAATCTGGTACTTTGGGTACTAAAGGTAATACACAAGTAGTCATTCCAAGATTAACGGAATCATACTCTTCTTCAAGAGATCCTCCTGAAAAGTCCATCCCATTATGTACTCTACGTTCATTCCCAAGTAAAATTGATCATACAATCGCATGGGCTAAATCATTATTCCAGGGCTATTTCTTCGACACCCCAGAAAATGTTAACATGTACATTTCTCAACCTGATTTCATTGATCAAACTTTAAAGCAGAGTGGTGACGTCAAGGGAATCCTTGAATCTATTGCTGATTCTCTACTAAAGAAACCAGAAAATTTCGAAGATTGTATTAGATGGTCTCGTTTGGAATTCGAGAAAAAATTCAGCTATGATATCAAGCAATTATTATACAATTTCCCTGCTGATGCAAAGACTTCTAATGGCGATCCATTCTGGTCTGGTTCTAAACGTGCACCAACTCCACTTGAATTCGATATTAATAATCCTGAACATTTTGGGTTTGTTGTTGCTGGTGCAAACTTGCGCGCTTTTAACTACGTTTTGCCAAGTAGTGACAATCTAAGAGGCTCTCCTGATGTTGAATTATATAAGAACGTTATTGGTTCTATGACTATTGCTCCGTTTACACCAAATGTCAATCTTAAGATTCAAGTTAATGATGAGGATCCAGACCCAAATGCTGGTAACCCAATGGGCGATGAAATTGATACTCTGACTGCTTCTTTACCAGACCGTTCTTCATTGAAAAATTTCAAATTAGAACCGGCTGAGTTTGAAAAGGATGATGATTCTAATTACCATATAGATTTTATTACCGCTTGCTCAAACTGTAGAGCATTGAATTACTCCATCGAAGTCGCTGATCATCAAAAGACCAAATTTATTGCGGGGCGTATCATCCCTGCAATTGCAACTACCACCGCTCTTGTAGCTGGTTTAGTTAACCTGGAGCTGTACAAGGTGGTTGATGGTAAGACTGATATCGAGCAATACAAGAACGGTTTCGTTAATTTAGCATTATCATTCTTCGGTTTCTCAGAACCAATTGGCTCTCCAAAAGGAAAATACAATGACAAGGTATATGACAAGATATGGGACAGGTTTGATATCCAAGGTGATATAACTCTTGGTGATTTGGTAGAACACTTCGAAAAGGAAGAAGGTCTTGAGATCACTATGTTATCATATGGTGTTTCATTATTGTATGCATCTTTCTTCCCTCAAAAGAAATTAAAGGAAAGAATGTCGCTACCAATTTGCCAAGTTGTTAAGCTTGTTACTAAACAAGATGTTCCAGCTCATGTCCGCACAATGATTTTGGAAATTTGTGCCGATGAAAAGAACGGTGAAGATGTAGAGGTTCCATATGTAACTATTCATTTATAATAAATCTATAACTATGTACTAAAATAGAAAGTATTATAAAATCGTATCAATAACTATATGATGCATTTCCAATAATGAGCAAAAATTACTCTAAAAATAAGTAAATTTATATAATCATATCGAGAAATTTTTAAGTCAGCTAAATTTCAGAGGTAATACGGAAAAACTCGGAACCCAAAACGTTCAAGTCGTAGTATGTACCTTTTTCTACTACTCCTCCATTCTTTAGAACAATAATCTGGTCACAACATTCCATCATGGATTTATCGTGTGTGATAGAAATTATAAGGGTACCTGGCAAACCGTGTTCGACAATTTGCCTTATCTTTTCTGAACTCTTAGCATCTAATGCTGAAGTGCTTTCATCTAATATCAGAATTTTTGGTTTTCTCAAAATAGCTCTCGCAAGACACAATCTTTGCGCTTGACCACCTGAAACCAAGTCCGTTGATATTCTACTATCGAGTCCTTCTGGGAGTTTGGAAAGTATTTCCGATATTCCAACGAACTTTAAAATGTCACTTAATTCTTTATCGGTAATTTTAAAATTTTGATTACCGTACATTAAGTTATTTCTGAGGGAATCATCTATTAGAACTGGTCTTTGCTCAACCATTGCTATATGAGACCTAAGTGCCATTGGATTCCATTTATTAATATCTGTATTATCGATGTATATACATCCGTCTTTAACTTCATAAAGTTTTGTTAATAATAATGCCAAAGTTGATTTACCTGCACCTGATTCCCCAACAATTGCAACACTTTTATTATTATCCAACTTAAGATTTAGTTGATCAAAAATTGTGACACCAGGTGCTGAAGGATAACAATAAGTTAGCTTATCGATCCTTATTAATGTGTTACATTCTAAATCACCAATTTTTGTAACTCGCCCTTCAGTAACTGTATCTTCATACCACATTTGGTCTTCTTTTAGAATTCTGTCAATCCAACTTGCAGCTCTTTGACCTCTTGCTATATCTGGAATCTGGTTAATTAAACTAGTACACGTCATAATAGTGAATAGCAATAACGTAAATGTTTCAAACATTTTTTTGGAAGAGTATTCCCCTATTAGAACTAATTTCAACCCATAGTAATATAATATCGCCTGAATACACATCGTTAAAGTGTTGGTTATGGAAATACCCATGCCTGTTATAATACTACGACCTTTGGCAATTCGTCTCATAGTTGTTTGGTTGTGAAATTGATTGTTTAAGAAATGTTGTTGCAGTTGTAAACATCTGATCGTTTTGATACCTAGTAAAACCTCGGATTGTCCATTCTCTAGCTTAGCAACCGAACTTTTGTAATCAGTTTCATACTTTTGCAATGAACCACCATATAAACTCGAAATTATTATAATGAGAGGAAACATGGATAGGCAAACCAAACTTAACTTCCACCCAGAAACCAATGCCCAGATGAGGCCGAATAACGAAACTATTATGAATGTGGACATTGCACTTAAAAATTCAGAAACTAATGATCGCAAATCCCTTAAGTCATTCATCAAAAGGGCCGATAGTTCAGAGGGTTTGTTACAATCAAGGGAGTACCAATACATGTTTTTCCTCATGATTGCATGCATTGTATCATTTCTAATATCCATAATCCAATTTTCACTACAATACCCTAATACAAAAGACTTCAAAAAGTTAAAAATACCATCTGCAATAGTTACACCGAGGACAATAAACGACCACTTTAGTAAGTAATAGCGATCATTCTGAGAGCCAGGTACTATCCCGTTAAGAAGGAAACTAAATGTATAAGAAAAAATAGGATTCGTTGCCCCAGCTAAAAGAGAAGATACAATACCGCCAAGTAGTAGCTTTTTGTCCCTAATAGTTTTGATCATTTGGGATATAATTATTTTTAACGAAAGAATTTGCCTTTGGTCTAAGGCCTCTTCATCTCCAATTTTTCTTGAATTCTTGTCCAAATATTTTGGTTCATTTTGTTCTAATTCATATTCTTCTAGTAGCAAAATATTCTTGAATGATTTTTCTTGAAATGTCGAGGACCTGTCTGATAAAGTCAATGGAGATAGCATATTGGGGATAGCCGATTTGTCTGTATTGCATACAAAAGATGAAGAGCTTTGAGGTGTCAAATAAGTGTTTTCGTCACCAGATACTTTATATTGGTTTTGGACTTCGTTCATAATGCAAAATTGTCCTGTCTTATCCAACATCAATTCATGTTTGGAACCTTCTTGAGTTACCGTCCCTTCTTTCATTACATAGACATAATCATCATCTTCTATGTCGGCAAGATTGTGAGAAAGAATAATAGTTGTCTTTGTGTGTCTCCAGTTCTTTATAGATTTCATTAGCTTCGTTCTATGTGAAATATCTAATGCTGAGACTGCTTCGTCCAAAATTAATACTGGAGTATCTCTCATATAAGCTCTTGCTAGAGCTACTCTCTGTTGTTGACCCCCACTTAAAGTGATTCCTTCACTTCCAACTTTGGTTTCTAGTCCATTTGGTAAACCCTGGATAAATTCGTCTAGGAGAGAAAACTTAATAGCTTTATCTAATCTTGAGTTCAGTTGAATGTTTTCTGAATCATCTTCAAAATCTGGTGAACCTAACAAAACATTGTTTCTTATTGTGTCGTCGAATAAGGTACAACGTTGTTCCACTACTGTAATATGCTCAAGTAATTCATTGTGATCAATTAAGCCAATATCCTGATCACCAAGTAATATCGAACCACTGTCTAGGCCGTACAGTTTTAAGAGTATGCTTGAAAGTGTTGATTTTCCCGAGCCTGATTTTCCAACAATAAATGTTGTCTTCTGAGCTTCAAATTTTAGTGATAAGTTATTTAAAATTTGATTTTCTGGGCGGCTAGGGTAAGTGAAGTTTATATTGTTAAAACTTATTGCAGAATGCTCTAATAATCCACTTACATTACCAACTTCGGGTAGGGATGCCTCTACATCATTGTTCAATTTCAGAGATATTTCTAATTTTTTTATCGCCACATCACCTTTCTGTAAAAGAACAATCTGGTGAAGGGTATTACTCAAAGTAGATCCTAACATTAGGCATGAATGGAAGCATGTAATAACATCTGTAATATTTAGTTTCCCCTTTCTGACCATAGTTGCACCAAACCAAAACCCTTGAATGAACATACATAGCGTTAAAAATCTGAGAATGGCGGCGTTTGCTGAAACATAGAGGCACGCTTGTATGAAATATGTATTACAAAGTCGGGAGAGATGCATGAATTTATATTGTTCTTCATCCTTTGTGCCGTATAACTTAACTAGTTGTGCTGAACTCATTACAAATGAGATCTCTTGAGCTGCCTTGGAACTTTCCGTATTTTCCAATTGAGTATATTTGTTAATTAATCTTGAAAATACCACAGCTAAAATTGTGATAATAGGTGTACTGCACAGGATAATTAATGTCAAAGACCATGAATAGTAAAATGAGACACCAATTAAAGAGACGACAGCTACCATATTTTGAAATGTTATTGCAGATGCCTCTGCAGAACTTGATCTAACTTCTTCGATACATCTATTTAATTGAACAAAATCTCCCAGGAGATTTTCATTTTTATCATACCATTCTGTTGGTTTATTGATGTAGGATTTCAACAATCTTTTTCTTAATCTAGAACTTTGAATTTCTCCTAGCCACATCCAGCAGGATATAGATAGCCACATTATGGGTAGACTGGCAGCACCCAACGCCATTATGGACATAGAACGTCTTGTAAGTTCTTTGAATACTGAGTTGGACAATTTAAATTCTGATAGATCTGTTAATAAGTCAAATAATCTACCTGTTAAGATTGATGTAATTGCAGGTACTAACCCATTTGCAACAGTAGAAAAAATTATCAAACAAATAATATATTTATCCTTGGATGGAATGATATTCACATATATATGAGTCCAATCTTTGGTAGGAAAGCCCATTTTTTAACTAACTTTTTGAGGGGGTTATTATTGTTTTCCTGTAAATGACTAACTGTAGATTCATAAAATAGCCTTATGAATTAATGCTAATTACCATCTTGTAACATGAAAAATTCTTCAAATTTTGCATTATCGTTAAACCCAGAACATACATACATACACACACACATATATATATATATATATGTATGTATATCATTTGGTTGTGTAGTGTCTCATCTTATCTCATCTCAAACATTTGTGGGTCTATTTTTAAGAAGAGTGATTGCTTTATTATGAAACATTACATATATTGCATGTATTTATCCGAATACGGTAATGACACGATACGGCAACAGAATCTTTAGAAGAAGACGCAGTGAAAAAAGACCGAAATAAACCTCAATAATGTCATCGAAATTTTTCAATAAAAGCTTTTTAGAGAAAGCAAGTAAGATATATGTAATACAATTGGTCTCACTATTAATGGTATGGAGATTCAAAAGGGTAGCCGTTGTGTGCTTAATTTTGAATACGGGGAAGATAGAATAAAATATGCTCGTATGCCGTTTTTGAAATTTGGTTGATATACAAATTGTCTAAGAAGCTAGCTATGAAATTTATAATTACGATGTTATATACAATGTGAATAAATAATGCCTTCTTTAAGAAATTATATTTTGTTATTTCATTCAAAATAAAAGAAGCATTTTCTTAAATACTACCGTTAAGTTTTAGAAAACCAATGGAAATTGAGCTTATGAGTATTTGTTCTGAAACTCTATGTATCATATTTAAAATATCTATTGAATAGATCAGCTTATTGAGCCAGTTCTGGATATTTTTTAACCCAATATGAATTTTCAGATTGAAGATATATGAGATATGCTTTCTCTCTTGCAGTCTCTAAGTATATCAATTTCGATTTATCTATTGCGTCCTTGGCAAGTAAAGTTGAAGCATCTTCAACCGTATCTGTTTGGATATCTATTTTTCCATCTTTATTATCTTTTAGTAACCATTGAAACAAGGAATGGCAATCTGCACCATCATAAAGTGCATTATGTAATCCAGATTCCTTAAAATAGGAGATCATGTTGTAACATACTACATCCCATGATTTATCATTTGAATATGGTCTGTTGTTAACAATTTCAGAATAAAATTTCATTTTATCTTCCTGAGACATACGGAATTTTAAAAATATTGCAGTATTGACAAAAATGGAAAAAATTATCGAGAATATTTGAAGATATACATATAACATTATCAATAATGCACTTCCTGTCTCGTTCGAAACGGTAACACACAAAACAAATGATAAGAATGTACAAACCCAGCATATAACAAACCATTTGTACTGAAAAGCTGTCACTATCCCAAATGTAAATCTAGACCGAAATTTATCACAGGGAAGTTCTAATCTTGCTTCCCCGAAGTCCATACCGTTATCTTGCACTATTGATGTCGATGTATTTAATTGTTCATATTCTAATCCTCTCATAATTGGTGTATGGTGTTTGATTATGTCGTAATGTAATAACTTTAGAGAGTTGCCACTTTATGTCAAGCTCGTATTCAGATATTGACTCTCCTTATAAAATTAACGGGAATGTTGCTGATAAAAATAGAAGGTCGCTTAAGGCGGGAAATTACGGGGACACAATCGAGAGCAGTGTATCGATGACTTTCAGATATAATAAAGCACAAAATATGATGAATCTAGGTTAGATGAACGATCTGGAGAATTTAAAATAATATAAGAAAGATGGAACTTGGAAAAGTGGAAATTGAAAAGAATTTCTTATCTGTTTTACTCACTGCGATCAACCTCATTAAGTACTGATGACTGAATCAGCCACTTTCTCGACTTTGAGTTATTATCAATAGGTGACATTCTTTGGTTTATTCCAATTATAAGTAATTAAATTTCTTGGATATGAGCTCTTGGAGGTGTTCTCTGGGGTGGTAGGATTTACTTGGCCAGGTGCTTCACAAAATAAAAGTAAATCAGTGATTTTTGGTATACGTTGGGAAGAGCACCTTGTTGTTTTCGTAGTATCTATATCCAGGAATATAATTCACCATCTATTATTTATATTATTAGGAAAAACTCTAATTTTTTATTTGAGTGATAATATAATTTAATTTTATCGATTTGATGTCTTTATTAATATTTAAAATAGCTTCAAAGTATAATAAATATGTAGACTATACATTCTGGTTCATAACATGTCTATGAAAAGACACAATGCAATGTTAATTGATTTTATTGAGAGATGTTTATTCAAAACATTTCTTCTATAAAGGAGAATTTAACCAAATTTTACATATAAAGGATTCGAAATCTGAAAATTTTCTTTGTATATATGGTATTATTTATCAATATAACACTAAATCTATATTTTAGGCAGCAAATTCTGGATACTGTGACACCCAGTATTTATCTTCAGATTCTCTAAACGCATGTACTGCTTTTTCTCTGGCAGTTTCCAAATATATTAACTGCGATTCTTTTCTTTGTTCATTATGAATTGTGGCACTATCATCAAATTGGTCACTGTTGTCCGTGCGTTCCAAAATTTCTGTGGGATTCTGGGTTGCACTCGAGGGTTGATCAGAGCATGCCTTAGTTGTTGACGGGGATGTTAGCTTTTTAAATAAGTCGTAGTAATCTGAGCCATTAAATAATGGAACAATACAGTTTCGTTCTCGGAAGTACAAATCCATGTGATATCCTATGACATTCCATGTGGCTACATCAGAGCAAGGTTTAAAACGAACTATCTCTGCATAAAATTTCATCTCTCCTTCCAATCCCATAGTTCCGATAATTGCAGTAAATGAAAATGGTATTAATATTAAAGCCATTAAGTAAGGCAAACAGAGAATACTCATGATCAGCAAAAACATACGTGGTCCTTCGGGAACAAAAAATAATGGCACAAAAAATAGCATCAGGTAAACTATAACTAAAAAAATCACACCACCTATTATTGACTTAAAGAATGCTAAATAGAATGCTAGTCTATCTTTGTACTTGTCGCAGGGGAGTACCACATTTTCCTCCTCATCGTTATCATTTAAGGGTTCTGTAGCTTGGTATTCATTATCTTTCATTACGATAATCTTATCACCTAGTATGTATGGTTTCCTTATATCTTATAGGTATACAAGTATTCGAATAGTTGGAATATTATTGTAGTGTAAAAATTTTAACAAGTTGCCCCCCTCTTATAGCATTTATGTCATTGGTTGCAACTTCAGGATATTTACGCCTCGCTGCAGACTACAAAAAATGAGTTGGCGCATTCAAATTGTAATGAACCTTGAGGTCAGTGGAAGAAGGCATATCAATCGGCCTATTCAGTACTGGAACGACAAGATATGATATAATGTCCTCAGAACTAGTGAACCTGAGGTCAGCTTATGTCGATGAGAAGATGCGCATGGGTTAACTTTTCCAATTATCGTGAGTTTGTGGTTTAACATCACAAGAAGGCGTGCTTGGCATATATATAGGTTCTTATTTATTTGTATTTCCACTATACAGCAAGCTCCGGGTATCTCTCTAACCAATAAACCTTTTCAGTGTCGTTGAATACACGAATTGCATTATTTTGGGCTTCTTCTAAAAATAGTATCAAAGGACTATTTAGTTCCTCATAGTTGGTCCCTGTCACTGGAACAGATACTGTTGTTACTTCTGCATTTTCTCCCATGGTAGTAGGTAGATCATTTCTCAAAGTTTCATTAGTGGAGCTTGTATCTATAATATTTTCATTATTATTATCATTGGATATAGTAGAAGTTGTGGCATCATTTGGTGCATGTTTCTTATACTGTGTAAGTCTTTTAAATAAAGTAAAATAGTCTTCACCGTTATACAATGGGAAATACGTTTGTTGTTCTGCAAAATATTTGTCCATATGGTACCCAATTATTTTCCACGTCTTGGGATCTGAACTTGGTCGATATTTCACGATTTCTCCATAGAATGTCATTTTACTAGCCAAAGTGATCTCACGTAAAACAAAGTTATATGAATCTAAATATCCACCAAAGGTGATGAGGGCTATAAGATCGTAGACACCAAATATTGCGCAAAATAATAACCATCCATCGTTATTAAACCAAATTGGAGTAATTAACGCACACAAAAACACAAATAATAGGATATCATACCATACTATTTTCGAAACTCTCCATACAAAGAAAGTAAACCTATTCATAAATATGTCACAGGGAAATAAAACATTCTCCTGTTGATCGTGCAAAGGCTCAGAGGCTTCGATTGAATAATCTTTGTGAACACCCGTCATTTATTTTTTGAGGATTGGAATCTTTCCCTTTTTGCACTTAGGAAATGATACAATTCAAACGTGTTGCTTATTTTCAACAGTTCGATGTCTCTCTCTTTATATATGGCCGAGTGAAAATGTGTTGCAGGCAACACACCAACGTTATATATCAAGATTAAAAATGAAGGAAGATTTTGGCAATATGTCAAAAACCATTATACATATTGTCTAATTGTTTTAAGATATAGGAATGGTATCTTGTTCGTACATATCCATTATCTTATGGATTTTCATTGTGTAATTGATGAATGCTATTAAGGGCCATCTAATTAGGAGATATTTTTGGTCAGTGATATCGTAATTTGATACCGCTTATACAAAATCTGTGAAAATGCAATATATTAGTACTTGAAACAAGGTATTGTTTTTGCCTTTATTTCTGCGACTTGCTTTTTGCCTCCTTTTTGTGTTTATCCATCGTGGTTAAATAGTAATCGGGAATATTATCTTAAATTATATTTATATAGTATAAATGTGCAAATACGTGCTTAGAGCATTCGAGAACGTGATAACATCATAAAGGAAACACAAACACATGCAAACATAGACAATATAGTATGAAATTACCTTGGAAGGCACCATGGATGTTGAAAAAATATCCAGCGACACCAAACAAGAAGGCATTCGCTCAATTAGAGCGTACTGTGATGAACCAATACCTTACTGATAAGTACAATAAATTACTATCTAATTATAATGTTTTCTACTTGTACCATTTATATCATGCGAATGCTGATCATCAAATCGACAAAAGAGTTATATGGGGGACTCATACAGAGTCCTTAAATGGAAAAGTATTGGTTTTAAAGAGCCCATTAAGTAAGGCCATTTTTCGTAAATGTTTAGATCCGAAACTAGCATCTCAAGAAGCATCACATTGGAAGGGAAACACACATATTGGGTTCCAATCGATATCTACTCTTGACCAATTGTTATTAGATGAAAAATGGACAAAATTTGCATATTCTGATAATGTGATTAAGCCATATGGAGTAGGGATACGGCTTGATGGAGCTCAGCCTATCGATGGACTGAATGAGATAGAACCAATACTTGAAGAAGCCCAGGATATGTATAAAAATCTTGGTTACGAAGGTTTATTAGCCATAGCGAAGAGACATAAAGAAAATTCAACAACAGCGACTTCTACAAATAAAACTGTTGCAAGGAAGTTTCTTGAGTCGCTTGCGAACATACGAATTACCAACCCAATTATGACTTCAAATTCCAAATGGCTGATGTTCACAGATAATAACCATTAATCATAATCTCGGATCTTTGATAATTAAGATGGATAATACATGTAAATAGTGATAATGTATATGTTTTATAGATAGTTATTGGTATATTTATTCAATTAAAGATAAAAGTTACCCTACAAACCGGACAAAGATAGCACTATATAAAAATTCCCCGTTCTAACAATTTGAAAATTGTAGATTGATTAAATGAGGAAGAGACTCTTAAAATATAAGTATCAGGAAAGGTGTAGTGGTGTTACTATTATCCAGAAGTAGAGGGATATATTAAGCTACCAAAGAAAGATTACTAAGAAGGATGCTGGCGGATTTATGGAGTATGCTACTTAGTGGTGGTGTTGCTACTGCAACAGCAGGTGCTGTGGCGGAATTAACTCTGGATCCACAATTAAAATATTGGGTATTACTTCCTATCTCTGTGGTAATGATTCTGACTGGGATCTTACGTCAACAGGTGTCTGTATTAATTGGTTCAGGTGTAAAAGGACAACCCCGAGTGAAAAATACAGAAGCACAATACATGATGAAGGCCCAAGTATTACTTGGGAACGGATCAAATATTAGTGATGAATCATTCCAAGAAAGGAAAGAATACCTCTCTAAGACTTTAGCAAGTGGTAAATACGTTGCAAGATCTAAGGCGGCAAAACCAGGAGAGACAGTAAATCCATTCAATGACCCAGGTACAGCAGACGCTATGATGAGTATGGCGAAGGGAAATATGGCTAGTTTTATTCCACAAACAATAATTATGTGGTGGGTAAACCATTTTTTTGCAGGATTTGTTTTGATGAAGTTGCCATTCCCTTTGACTCTACGATTTAAGGAAATGCTACAAAGTGGGGTAATGACAGCTGATTTGGACGTCCGTTGGGTGAGTGCAATCTCTTGGTATTTCATTTCAGTACTAGGTTTGGACCCTGTTTTTAACTTATTAACTTCTGAAAATACGGATAACCAATTGGGTATGATGCAAACTCAGACTCCACAGGGAACTGATATGGTGTCTCAACCGGCTCAAGTGGAATCACAGATGAAGGCTCTTGCCAATGATTTAACAATTGCTCAGCATGAATGTTGTTTTGACAACGTCGAGGCAAGAGTTTTACGTATGTACAACTAAATCCAAATCCTTGAATAAATATCCACACATATAAGTATATATAGAAACAGGATATACGACCCGATTAACGTTGCTCTTGGCACAGAATCTTCCATTTTTCACGTGACCTCTTGAAATTTTTCAGTTTTCATTTACATTTTGCTCATCGCATTTTCAAATAATTTTTCATTATGTAATAATATAAAGAAAGAAAGAGAGAGGTACTTTCATATAATAACACATTCATATATTGAGAAGAAAATACATTGATAGTTAAAGAAACCTCAAAGCATTGTTTAGATATACAGTGGCTACCTTTACACTATAATAAACATTTTTATTTATATTTTTTATTTGAGCAACTATGACTTTAAGCACCGTTATTTGCATTGGTATGGCTGGGTCCGGTAAGACCACATTTATGCAAAGACTAAATTCACATTTACGTTCTAAGGAGCAACCACCTTATGTGATTAATTTAGATCCTGCTGTTTTGAATGTTCCATATGGTGCCAATATTGATATCAGAGACTCTATCAAGTACAAGAAGGTTATGGAAAATTACCAATTAGGGCCTAACGGTGCCATTGTGACTAGTTTGAATCTTTTCAGTACAAAGATCGATCAAGTCATTGGTTTGGTAGAAAAGAAACAAGATGGTCATACACATTGTATAATAGATACTCCAGGTCAAATTGAATGTTTCGTATGGTCAGCCTCAGGTGCTATCATTACCGAATCATTTGCGTCAACTTTCCCTACTGTCATTGCTTATATAGTTGATACGCCAAGAAATTCTTCGCCGACTACTTTCATGAGTAATATGTTGTATGCGTGTTCTATCCTTTACAAGACTAAATTACCAATGATTATAGTGTTCAACAAGACTGATGTTAAGAAAGAAGATTTTGCCAAAGAGTGGATGACCGATTTTGAAGCATTCCAAAGTGCCGTAAGAGAGGATCAAGAATTGAATGGTGATCTCGGAATGGGTTCTGGTTATATGAGTTCTTTGATCAACTCTATGTCTTTGATGTTGGAAGAGTTTTATTCCCAATTGGATATGGTTGGTGTTTCCAGTTACACAGGTGATGGGTTCGATCAATTTTTAGATGCAGTTGACGATAAAGTAAAAGAATATGATGAATTTTATAAAGCTGAAAGAGATAGAATCGTTAAGGAAAAAGAAGAGAAGGAACAAAAACGTAAAGAAAAATCATTAAATGGGTTAATGAAGGATCTTGGTCTTAATGAAGCCAAGAAAAATGATGGTCATGAAAGTGACGATAGTATAGAGGTCATTAGTGATTTAGAAGAAGGTGAAAACGATGGTATACTCGAAAGAGATGAAGATGAAGGTGTTGAACGAGAATACACATTTGCTGGTGATGAGAGAATGACAGGTGAAGTTAACGAGGATAAAACACCAGATTTACAAAAAAGATATGCCGAAGCATTGGCGGCCACCGCAAAGAGTCCAAGCAGTGAAACTGCAGAGAACATAGCTCGTTACATTAGGGAGTGAGAATCTTGTGTGTATATCTATACGCACATATATATATATATATATATATATAGTTATGTACATTTCTAGCAATGTGTTAAAAATTCAAAATAATTGCTTTTCATGCCGAGAAACCCCTTGCAAATACAACAATTGATTAAAATAAAAATAGCATCAAGATATAATCGATTCTATCTCTAATGTGACTTCTTGTTTTTTTAAAAGGGGCCTCATCCCATTCTCGCTCTCCCTGTTTCATACTCCTTCTATATCCCACTCAGGCAGGATACTTATTCTCCTCATTTGGTAAAAAAAGTGAATAAAATAAACAGAAAAATGCGTTTCTTACATAGCTAACAATGCGAACTCAATTGCGGTACCACCACGATGGTTACTACATTTTACGATAAATACTCAATTGAGTGACACTACAGGCAACGTACAGTAAGAAAAAGATATACGGTGACGAGCGTGCCTGCAAAACCGTTGCCAGGGATATTAGAAAGCCCACAAAAGCAACCAGCAACATGACCAACAACACATGAGAACCTCCGCCCATATCTGAGAGAGTAAAAGAGCGAATAGCAGCAAGTTTTCACGTTCTTTTCTTTTTATGAAGAATATCCAAAGTTGGAAAAAAAAAATTTTCAATTAGTTGAAAATAATTAAAGGTAAATTCGTCTACGCCTAAATCTGAGGATTAGCTCATCGCTCAGAGGTGAAAAAAAAAATTTTTCATCCTTTCAGTCGAGAAGCTCTACAATCTGCTTAATAATTCAAAGCTTTACAGACTAGGCTTTGTCGTCGAAATGGAACGAGGATCATTTGCATACACCAATACAGATATATATATATATAAGGGAGTAATGGGACTTAAAGTTTCAGGTTTTCAATTCTTGTTCTTGTGATGTATATGCTTCCTTCCCTTCCTCCCTTTTTTTTAGTTAGTAGCATTATCTCCGTAGATATAAATAAACCAAACACTTATTATTCTTTATAAAATATGTCCACTAAGCTAGAACAACATTATCAAAAGGTCATTGACGAAAAGGACCTAGAACAACTAAGAGATGTCCTTGTCTCCAAGGACTCTGAACTAGCCAACAGATTCAGAGCTTTATTCAACCTAAAGTGTGTTGCTGAAGCCTTTGAAAAGGACCCTGAAGATGCTAACAAGGCTGTTCAATACATTGCTGAAACATTTGTTGATGATTCTGAACTTTTGAAGCACGAAGTCGCTTATGTTTTAGGTCAAACCAAGAACATGACTTCTTGTCCAATTCTAAGAAAGGTTATGTTGGATGCTCAACAACAACCAATGGTTAGACATGAAGCTGCTGAAGCTCTAGGTGCTTTAGGTGATTTAGATTCTCTTGATGATTTAAAAACCGTTCTAGAAAAGGATCCACATCCAGCTGTTCAACAAACTGCAGAATTGGCTATTGGTAGAATTAACTGGGCTCACAGTGCTAAGGCTGAAGAAGAACAATTACAAGAATCTTTATACAGTAGTACTGATCCAGCTCCACCTCTAGCTTTAGACAAAAACTACAAGGTTGCTGAATTACAAAAATTATTGACTGATCAAGAAAAGCCAATGTTTGAAAGATACAGAGCCATGTTTAGACTAAGAGATATTGGTACTAATGAATCTATCTATGCTTTAGCTACTGGTTTTGATGATCCATCTGCTTTATTCAAGCATGAAATTGCTTATGTTTTCGGTCAAATGGGTAACCCAGCCGCTGTTCCAAGACTTGTTGAAGTTCTAGCTAGAATGGAAGAAGCTCCTATGGTTAGACATGAAGCTGCTGAAGCTCTTGGTGCTATCGCTACTCCAGATGTTGTTCCAGTTCTAAAGATGTACTTGAACGATCCAGTTGATGTTGTTAGAGAGTCTGCCATTGTTGCTCTAGACATGTACGAATACGAAAACTCCAACGAATTGGAATACGCTCCACCAGCTGCTGCCAACTAGATTAGCAGTATTGTATTTTTTCATTAGAATGAGGAAAAAAAAACAATTACTGTTATTTTCCTCTTTTCTTTTTATTTATATATAGATAGATATATATTTATGTGTATGCATCATCTTTAAATCAGCATAATTTTAATAGGTTAACATATTATTAATAACAATTGAAGACCTTCGTTAATATTGTTTATGGTTGGTTGAGATCATCGCAAAATTTCCGGTCAGTTGAAATTTAAATATTTTTATTTTTTTAGATGAAAAATTTCGTTCTTTATCATATATGATAAGACAATATATAACCATAATAGACTAATAAGAAAGTAGGAAAAGTTAACAATTAGAAATCCGTTCACATTGACTGTTTATTTACATAATAACGAAACGAATTGAAATTAGGAAAAGAAAAGTTCTGTTACTTTAATTTAAAATTGAATTAATAAAGAATGGCAACTCAAGATATAGTATTTGTTACTGGTAATGCTAATAAATTAAAAGAAGTTAAGATGATTTTATCATCTGAAAGTTCAAATTTTAATTTAATTAATGAACCATTAGATCTTGAAGAGATTCAAGATGTTGATTTAAAGAGTATTGCTATGGCAAAATGTAAACAAGCATCTGAAATTTTAGGTCCAAATAGACCTGTATTTGTTGAAGATACCGCATTAGTATTTGATGAATTTAATGGTTTACCAGGTGCTTATATTAAATGGTTTGTTAAGAGTATGGGATTATCCAAGATTGTTCAAATGCTAGATTCCTTTGATAATAAAAATGCTAAAGCTATCACTACGATAGCATTTGCAGATGGTAAAGGTAAATTTCATGTATTTCAAGGAATCACAGAGGGAAGTATTGTACCAAGCCGTGGTCCAACTACATTTGGGTGGGATTCAATCTTTCAACCAAAGGAATCTACTAATGGCCAAACTTATGCTGAAATGGCAAAGGAAGACAAGAATTTAATCTCTCAAAGAGGTAGAGCTTTTGCTCAATTGAAGACTTTCTTAGCTACCGAGCCTCTATAGAGAAACTCTCAGATGACTCATTAATGTATACATATATATACATATATCTATATCTTTGTACAGAACAGCAGACAACACTGCGCAAACAAACAAATATACCATACATACCACGGAGTTACTCATCTCAGGGAAATGTGTCATATCCATATAGTCTCACTAATTCAAGTCTGGTATTCCCCCCCCCCTCTCCAGCCTTACTTCTGTTATTTGGTAGATCAAAAGAAGAATAGCTTGGGTTCAACGAGTATGTCTCTCTGTCTCTCTAAATTTGTTGCAGTTGTGACAGTAATGGCAACACGGCGACAGCGACGGCGAAGAGAGCAAACAAAGTGAACAGCGCAAACACCGCGAGAAGCGAAAAGTTTTTTTGTTTTTTTTTCAATTTTTCGATGAACAAAGAAATTAGAAAAGATTTTGAGTGAGAGAGAGATACATATTTTTTTGGTTGTTCTCTCTCTCTGTTCAATAGATATTTAACACTTGCACTAATTCAAAGTTTAGTCATAAACTGTATCTCGTTAGTGCTGCAAGATATACATATATATAGATAGATAGATTAGAAGATTCTTCCATTAGGTTTATCCACATTCATTTTGACGATATACATATATATATATATTCCTCTAAACTAAAACTGTTATTTTATTTGATCTGTGCGGAGACTTCAGCCATAGCATCACACTTTAAAAGAAGAACAAGTTAGAAGACAATATAGAAACGGTAGAAATTGTTCAGAAATTGTATTTATTATTAAACTATTATACCCTGTTAGAATAGAAACAAACTTTTCAGTAAAAAAAAAGGGCATTTTATTTTCAAACATAAGATAGCATCGAATAGAAGAGAAGAAAAAAATATTTCGTTTGTTTGGGTGTTGTTGTTCTTTTTGCATAATTTGTAACAATTAACTTTAAGAAACAAAAAGGAACTAGTTACCTATTCAAGAGCTTTTGCATATTTCATTATTTTTTTTTTTTAATTATATTTTTATCACTTGCATTTTAAGTTTGATTTAATTGCATTAATTTTTATTTTTTACCTCAATATGTTACAAAGAATTAGAAATGTTATCTCTGTGGCGAACGATTCCACTTCAGATATAGATACAAAGAAACAAGCATTGAATTATTTAAATGAAGTGAAAGATGATCCAAATGCACCTCAATTATTTTCTTCCTTATTAATAGACCCTTTATCAGATGATATTACTAAATTTGTATCTTTACAAGTTTTATGCGATATTGTTAATCAAGCATCTTTATTAAACAACAAAGAACAAATTATTTTCATAAAGACTACTACAATGAATTTTATACGAGATCTTATCACTAAAGATTTAAAAGGTCAAGAATATTTTAGAAATAAAATTGCAGAATTAGTCACTAGATTATTTTATTCAACTTATGGTGAATGTAATGGAAATCAATGGAATACATTTTTCAGTGATATGATTTCTTTATTATCAATAGAATCCTTAGTTAAATCTGTCTCTTCAGAATTTTCACCATTAGGTTTAGATTTTTTCTCTAGAATTTGTGGATTTATTAATACAGAAATTGCTGATCAAACTTTTGTAAGATCAAAAGATATTCAAATTAAAAATAATAGTTTAAAGGATTCAATGAGAATTCAAGATGTCTCTATATTAGTTACTATATGGTTAAATTCTTTAAAAAGTATGATTCCTCCATCGAATAATAATAGTACACAGACTCAAATACCCCAAATTAATACTGAAATCTCTATATTAATATTATCATGTATTGGATCGTATATTTCATGGATTGATGTGAATTTAATCATTAATGAAGAATATATATCTGTCATTTACAATTTCTTAGATTATCATGAAACTCAAATTGCTTGTTGTCAATGTCTTTGTGAAATTATCTCTAAGAAAATGAAACCTGTTGATAAATTAACTTTATTAAGTATGTTAAGTCTTACTGATAAGATTACAAAGATTGAACAGGATGATTTAGAAGTTTATGAACAAATCGCTAAATTAGCATCATCTGTTGGATTAGAACTCGCAATTATCTTAGATCAATGTAACGATGTATCACAACAGGATCCAACTTATAATGAAACGCAACAAGTAGCAAATGCAGCTGATCAACAGATTTTATTACAAGTCTCACCTTTAGTACTAAAATTTATGGTTTATGAATATGATTCTGTAACTCAACAATGTTTCCCATTTATTACTCAATATTTAGCAATATTGAAAAAATCTTTTGCTCAAGGTGGTAAACCAGGTTCAGCAGTTGCAATGGCCTCGAAAAAACAAGCTTTAACAAATGGACATTCTAATTTCTTATTTTCATTACTTGAAGTTATCTTTAAAAAAATGAGAATAGATGAAACAAGTGATGAAGATTCTCAAGATGAAATAGATGAATTTAATGAAACTATTAGATCAAAGATAAAGACTTTCCAAGATAGTATTTGCGTGATTAGTCCGACGGTTTATTTACAAAATATTACAAATCAAATTGAATCTTTACTTCTTTTAACTAATTCAAATAAAGATTGGAGAGATTTAGAATTAATGATTTACCAAATACATAATTTGGCAGAAAGTATCCGTAATAATTTATTTGGTGTTAACAAAAATGAAATTTCTACTTCTGAACCCGCACAAATTATGGTAAAATTTATGGATGCTCTTTTACAAAATCGAACTATTTTCACTTTCGATAATTCATATGTACAAATTTCCTTCTTTGAGTTAGTCGTTAGACATAATAATTTTTTGAACAATAATAAAGACGAATTTGCTCTCTTAAATATTTTTTGCAGTGATTTTGGTATGTTCAATAAGAGAGAAAAGGTTAGGATAAGAACTTGGTATTTATTTACTAGATTATTAAAAATTACAAAACCTAAACTCTCCACAAATATCATCAATGAAATAATAAGTAAACTAAGTCAACTATTAGTTATCAAGGTAGGAAATGTTAGCCCAGATGGAACCGAGGATGATACTACTTTCAGCAATCAAATGTATCTTTTCGAAGGTATTGGTTTATTAATTGGAGCAAACTCAGATCAGAATTATGATATCTTAGATAACGTACTTACTCCCCTCTTTAAGGACTTGGAGACATGTATTTCATCTCAAATTCAAACTCCTGAAGTTATACTTCAATGTCATCATATCCTAATGGCTATTGGGACGTTGGCAAGGGGTGTTCAAGGTGGATTAGTTCCAGAAAACCAAGTTAATAATGTGTTAGTCAACAAGAAATTAATTACAAAATCCTTGATTGAAAAATTCTCAAATATAGCAGAGGTTGTACTTGTTACATTTTCTTTCTTTAACAAATTTGAAAACATTAGAGATGCATCAAGATTCACCTTCTCGAGATTGATTCCAATATTGAACAGTGGTATTGTTCCATTTGCAAATAAACTAATTGCGCTATTCCTCGAATCTGATCTTAAGGTGCTGGAAATGAACGATTTCCTTGGTTTCTTAGGGCAAATGGTCCATATGTTCCATATTGATGAAGGCTGTTATCAATTATTTAACGATTTATTAACCCCTACCATTGAAAAAATACACTCTTTATTCTCTCAGATAGAACAAGAACATAATACAAATCCTGGGGTTACAGAGAGCAATCCTGGTAAGAATATTGTTATTACCGACACATTTAGAGATAAAGTATTGTTGAAAAAAGCATATTATTCTTTCTTACAATCATTTATCACTAACTCTGTGACATCACTATTATTATCAGAAAAAAATTTCAACACTCTTTCAATAATTTTGACCGATTTACTTACTTACACACCAGAAGATGTTCAGGAAACATCGGCAATGAAGTTAGCCTTCAACGTCTTAGTTAATTTTGTAAAATATTTCGGTTCAGGTAAATGTACGGACCCTAACGACACGCATGCAGCTAACACGAACAGAATTGAGGGACTTAATGAATTTTTAATAACGAAGGCTGTTCCACTAGTTTTTGAAATTCCATTTAGACCTGAATATAAATTTAATATAAAAGAAGGTAGTTACAGAGTGATGGCATGTGATCTATCCCGTCTGTTAAAAGAACTGTACGTTCAAAGCAACTATGAGGTAACTGACATGAACTCAAATCCTTGTTTGAAATATCTTTCCGAAATCTATTTACCTCAAATTCAATTCCCAAATCAACTAATAATGGAGTTGATAGAAGTACTTGTTACTTTAAACCAAAAAGCTTTTGAAAAATATTACGTGTCTCTAATTGAAAAATTGACATTATCTTAAACGCACCATATTCAATAATGAACCTTGCTCTTCCTCTTATCTTTATCCCAATATCTTGAATATTTCAAATATTCAAAAAAAAATTCTGCATAACCACTGATATCCACATATTCATTATTTTGGTTTAACCAAACGCGATGCATATTATTTTAACCATAAATATATCTGGTACCAACGGCATATATAAGTCATATAATTTATTTATTTAACTCCACAAATCCTTTTTTTATTAAGCCTTTCGATTTTCAGTTTGCCGGATAAGTAAGGTCCATGTTGTGGGTCACACGACTCTCGTACTTTTCTCGTATGAAATTTTGAAAATTGTTTATTTTATATAAAGTATACATTATAGATAATTAGTGGCTAAATTATATAAGTGGCTATACTTGAGATATTTTAATAAGTGCATTCAACAGTTGAATACGTTCATTTGTACCATTCGTCAATTTAGAATCAGCATCAAACAGAATCATAGAAACTTGGTTCTTAAAATTGGTATCAAACATATCGTTTGTAATGTAATGTTCGTGTAATTGATCGACCACTGAAGCCCCGGACCATCCATCTTTACAGAAATTGTTAACATATTGTATGATACTGTTTACATCTTTACTGGCAACTTTCTCGACTATTTCTTTCAGTATATGGGTTGGTACTATACCAGCTAGTTCTTCTAATTGCCCAGGTGTGATTTTATTATTGTCATTATAATCGCTTAATTTGGATGCGGATTGTAATAACGTTATGGCTTTTCTCAGATCCCCAGCCGATATATCTAATATCTTTTCCAAACTGCCTTCTTCATAAGTAACTGATTCTTTCTCTGCAACGTATGATAGCCTGCTTAGTGCATTGGAAGCATCTAATGATTTAAATCTGAATTTGGAACATCTTGAAGCCAACGGATCAATGATTCTAGTGATATAATTACAGATCAAACAAAATCTGGTAACACCTGAATAGGTTTCCATTGTTCTACGTAAGGCACTTTGAGCATCTGCAGTCATGGAATCGGCTTCATCTAAAATGATAATTTTATAAGGAGGACAAGGATAATTTTCTAAGTCTTCTTTAGACACCTTTGAGACAGTTAGACGAGCAAAATTTTTCACTTTCTCCCTAACAATTGAGATACCACGTTCATCTGATGCATTTAACTCTAACACTCTTGATTTCACTAATCTTGGACCAAATAACTCTTTGGTTAAGGCTAAAATTGTGGAGGTCTTACCGGTACCTGGTGGTCCGTAAAATAACATGTGTGGTAAGTTGGCAGATTGCAATGTTTTCTTTAGGACGGTAACAGCATGATCCTGAGCTGCAACGTCGTCCAATTTCTTTGGTCTGTATTTTTCAACCCACGGTTGAGATTGCTCTTGATCGGCATCGCTGGATAGTTTTCTCTTCTTGTGATTCTCTAATTCTTCAATTTTTGACATTTTTAGTAGATGGTACTTTAGGTTCTGCCAAATGTTTCACTTTAGTAACATAGAAGCTCAGATAATATGCACATAAATATGGAACTGTTCATTGAAAAATTTTGATGGTTAAAAAGGTTCACTCGCTTTTAAAAGTGATGTCGCGTTTCGCGACTTAAAGTTGAAGAAGCGACGGATCTGTTCGGAGCGTCCTATCCTAAAGTCTTTGGAAGTCACTTTTCTAAGTTTTATTCATGCCTATAATGAATAATAAAGCTAGTGTGGAATTAGTTCTTTATTTCTCGTCAGAAAAAAATTGAGCTCTGTATCTGTTCCTAAATATATATATATATATATCTGTGCTCGATTATTTCAATGAACCTCTATTCTATGCAATTCTTATTATTAGTGTGCATTCGGAGATGTTCACGTCTGGTAACTCTCCGTCTTATGGCATATATATTCTTAGGCGTTAGCTGTTCCAAGTTAGTACCAAGAGAGATCTCTCGTTCTTAAACACTCTTCTGTTTAGGTTTAGTACTATTCGTCATTCTTGATTCGCTCAACTATTTAATCTTCGTTCGTATATCTGTTCTTTCTTAACCCTCGTATTCCCATGAATGTTGCTCTCAAATGAGGCCTAACATTTCCCCTCTAAATCGCCCTTTTAAATGCGTTAATAACAGTAAGTATAAAAAGTTGAGGTCTTCGATACTACAATAGTCATAGTATGACTATTTTGGAATGAATATACGATTGTCTGAATGTGTGTGTATCTATCTATATATATATATATAGGGAGAAATATTTTTGTCTACCAGAATGGGCACCAACCAATGTAATGTTGACACAGATTCTCTATTGACGTTGCTTGTTGGATTAACATATCGACTTGCTCTGGTACGTCTAGTTGTGCCTCTGCGATTATATCATTACCAACAAGTTTCGCTGTAATTCTTCTTAAAACAAGAACTGATCTGGCATTCCGCATTTCGTTATCTTGCTGTTCCTCCATCTTGGTAAATTCCTCCTGGGTTATGGCTCCTTTCCTTAATAAATCATTCAAATTTGTGTCTGGAAGCTCGATACCTGTCATTTCCATAATCTTTTCGCGAGATATATCGAAACCCCAGTGAATCAAAGGATCGAATGCAAAAGCTTCTAGAATGGCCATCAGTGACTCTTTGTTGTCTCTCAGTACTCTCATTATATTTTCACATGTAATTCTAAAGCTACCTTCTACTCCACTAACTTCCATAGCATTTGTAAGCATCCTTGTCAATCTAAACGGAACCTTTTCTGGGAATTTATCTCTTAGTATAGCCGCTTCAAAACAGTCACCAAAATCTATATGTACCACTTTACCTGTGTATTTATCCAGCATTAAATTACTTGGATGACGATCACCAAGACCAAGAATATAGCCAACAATTGACATAACAGCCAGTGATCTAGTATATGTAGTACGGCGTTCTAACCATGACTCTGATGATCTACTTTTCAACCACAGTACGTCGGCTAAATCTTTACCTTCTGTATTATCCATGGCATATTCAAATACCTCGACTTTTTGTAAAAGTGTTAATATATCATAATCAGGAGCCATTTGCAACATTACCCAATGTTCAATGTTCAACGGAACCTTATTCGTTTCTCTGTAATCTCGAATTAATACGTGGAAAGTATCACTGTTTGGAACCCAACCCAGAATACCAGACTTTGGAGATAATGGGATCGCAGGGAATTGCTGGATATCCAAATGTCTTCTAAAACACTCTGGATCGTTTTGTAATAACGAATTTACAAGTCCAAATAGTTGCATAACCAAACTATCTTGTCTAATATCTTCATGACCTTTCAGAGCATATTGATAATCTCTTCCATCGGTACCTTTAATTGATATTTTACGCGGTCTTTGTTTTGATGAAATGACTGGAACAACAGGTTCAAAATGTGAAATTGTGATAACTTCTTCGCCAACTCGGTATGTACCAGGAACAGTTAATTTCATGTTCCTTGCCTTCAATAATTTGGGAGAAACATGTTGCAATTCAAGCATCTCCAATTCAGGAACTAGTTTGCTGATCTTTCTAAATACATTGTAGTAAATATCCCATGCCTGGTTCAGGTTGCTTAGGTCGTTCGAAAGCTTGTATTTTTTTACCCATTTATAAGCATTACCTAGATCTCTCCCAAAATGATTCTGGAAAGATATTTCACGAAGAGTTTCGGGACCAGCCTGTAACAATTCATGTAGTGGTTCTAACGTGGCAAACATCTTTTCGATATTATGTTCACCAAAATATTGTCGACTTGCATTTTCTAAACCTTCATACCACAATTCATGCCATAGGACAGCAATACGGATCAATTCATGACTAACTAATTCAGCTTGATCTACTAATTCTGAACTGTGCATTCTCATATTTTCAACTATAGAAAGAGCGGCTTTTTGTCTGGAAACTGACTCAGATTTGATTGCAACAGTCAATGGGTATACAAGCTCTTGTGGATGAACTTTCCCAAGATTTGATAGCAATGATAATAGTGACCTACTAACAATTATATTTTCTTGGTGAATACGGGATATCAGTTGCGGTAGGACTTCCAGCCATGTAGCAATATTAATTAGTGTAAAACCTTCATGCATTGCTTGTGTAGCCTCTGGTAGTCCACCAAATTTAAACCACAATGTAAGTAATCTTAAAGCATCTTGTATGGAATTTACTCCTGATAACGCAATGGAGTGAAAAAACCCCTTCATAGCTGGAACGACATGATGTTGAATTAATTCGGCAGAGTAGTCGTTTTCATCAATTTCAGTAAATGTTGTGGAACCTATTAGATCCATTCTTGATTGATTAGTTTCATCCACTACTACATCTTTCTTAGAGGTTACAGACTGTTTTTCATCATTTGAAGCCTCTTTTCTCTTTGATCTTGACACAGATATAACCTCGAAATTTGCAAGCGCCCAGTTATGCCATGCTTTATAGGATGATTTATCAAAATGGGTTGCTAATAGGTATGAACCTAAAATAGAGTTTGAATCGACAAGACGCCAATTTGGTTCGAGAGCAGCACGCCATTCTCCTTGCTTAAGAAAGCATCTCGATAGTAACTTTGTATAGGCATGTACATTTTCTGGCGATGTATTACTCTTTTCAATCACACGTTCGCGAATCATATTTGTAGGGTCCAATCCCAAATCCATCGTCATTTTAGAAGTGAAAGTTATCAGATGACTTAGTGCCTCTCTTTCAGAACCCTCTGCCCATAGATATTTCAACTGGGCGTACACCACAGGAGGTGGTGCTACTACAGCATATGGTTGATCTGGATCATCCAAATTGTCCACAAGCATGTTCAGTACAGTTTTTGCCATTCCCATTCTATTCGATTTTCTGCATAAATTGGCAAATTTGACCCAACTATTTATATCGTCTTTTGGTTTGACGACAAGTGAACGTATCAATAAAGCTTGCTGCCAGACATCTACATTTTTCTGTACTCCTAGTAATCTCTTGTTCCATGTATCTTTCATTTCTTCTTTTTTTAAGGAGTTGAATGGTAGCTTTTTATAGGTAATTATCTCCTCAAGTTCTGAAAGAATTTGTAAACGAATTACAAACCCATATGTTCTACTGTAACTCTCATTTAAAGATGATGACATGTCTGTCATAAGTAGATTACGAGCATTATCAATGTGGTTTGTTGACTTATGAAAGTTATTTCTGTGCAATGAAAAGATAGCATCAAAATATTCTCTTTCAAATGTATTCGGCGTAATATGGTTGACATATTGTTCCATCATATCCCAGTAACCGAGATTCCAGACAGCACCAGCAGTAAGTGGGGCAATATTTTGACGTGTTTCATGGGTGACAGAATTCCATTTTTCCTTCGTAAGATCAAACAGTTTAGTCCACTCTCCCAGTGCATATAATGATCTCATTTTACCAAGCATTACAGGAGACGAAGTATCGCCTTCGTTTATTCTTTCATTGTAGGAATTTAAGGCATCCTCCCAACGTTGCAATTTTTCATACCATGTCTCTTTCAGTTGCATGTCATGGTGTTGTTCTGCATACTTTAAAATACCGATTGATGCATCTGTCTGATGAAGCTGATTGTTTATACTTATAAGGGATTCGATAGTCGAACTATTGGCATTTTCTGTAAGCTCCTGTTCTTCATAATAAAGAGCCTTGGCAAAGGCATGGCACTTTTGGGCGTACTTACCCAAAGTCTGTGATGTTAGAGGTAGCATATTTGAGTCATGTTCCATAAACTCTACAACATTGAGCAAAGTTTGATATATTTCTGGTGGAGTTTGCAGCGATGATAATGCTTTGTTTAATGATTTCATAAAGTCATCTTTATACGATGGACCTAATTCCCTCCAACAACTGGCAAATGATACATTAAATAAATCTCTAGCCAATGGGTAATAGGCACTAACTAAATTTGAACATGCACGAAGAGCTTGTGAAGGAGATTCTTTCAACAATTGGATGGATAATCTTCTAAACCATTCTTGCCAATCATCTCTGGTTCTCTGCTGGCTGCAATCCCATGATATTTTCAAGTTCTCTTCATTCACAGCTAGATTCCTTAGTGGTGGGGTATCAGGTTCCTCTACTTTACTTTGGGTACTATGTATTTTGTCCGTTGAATTAATTGGAAGACTCTCGTTATTCAGAAGCCTACTAATGAGCTGATCATAAATTGAATGTTGGATTTTTTTCCTGATTAGCGTCTTATTAATTATCGGAATAAACACGATGAAATCATGATCCATCTGAAGTAGCAAAAAGCAAATTGTATTCATGGTAGCTTTAATCAAATCCTTTTCATCGGAGTTTAAAATTCTAACAAGAGTGTGTAATATAGTTGAGGACACTTCCGAGAGATCGATTATTCTTGCTAGCTTACCGATAGTAAAAATGGCACTTTTTCTGAGAGACTCGATGGAATATTCGGCAAGATATATCAACTTAGGTATAATAAAATGAACATATTCCTCCAAGTTTGTTTCGAATGCAACGAGACATTTCAGAATTTTTGTAGAAACAACTTTCTTTACGGAGCTATCGTGTTCAAGAACATTTAAAAAATGAGTTAAAATTAAAGGCATGTATTGCTTCAGTTCACTTCCAATGGTTGCGGACGTGATCTCGATCAAGGATATAATTGTACTTTGAAGTTTTATAATAGGAAAAAATTCAAAAATTGTCGTGAATACTTCTTCAACATAGGGTACAATCTCTTGCTTGGCCAGAGTAATAAGAGAGCCAAGTTGCTGGAAATAGAAATCAAGCAACGATGGAGGACATGTTTTCATAACAGAAAGAATACTCGGCATTACTTGGTCTAAAAATACTGTTGAGCGTGTACCCAATAGCTGTAATATATGTATTATGGCTTGTGTGGATGTAGTATAATGAGTTGATAAAGTGGAATCATTTAATATTCTCGTTAATCGTGTAATTGCAACTCTCGGATAATATTCTTCATTTGATGGAGACATCCCTCTCATTAAAAGTGCAATTTCAATAGGGGGTGCATTCTGTTCTACTTGTGCCTTGGAATTTGTTGTAAATTCAGATGCTCTATGTTTGTATGGATCTAGTGCACCCAATATACCAATAACTCTTAGCGCCTCTGTCTTGACTCCCATTGATGATTCCGTCTTTAAAATTCCCATTAATTCGCCTAATAGGTTATGGTAGTCAAGATACGGTTCAATGACGTATCCAGATGCACTTGATATTTTCCCAAGGGTTCTTAGAGCGGCTTCCCTCTTCATACTATTTGATTGGTCATGAAGAACCGACATAATAATCGGCATCAATCTATCTATATGACACCTCATTTTTATTCCAACAGCAATAGTTAAATCACCTATGGCATCTAAAGACGTACATACAACAGAAGTTGAAGGGTCTTGAACTTTTATTAATAACACCTCTAATACCTCAGCTAAATACGGTTGGCATGTAGTTGGGCTAGAAACAATCAGTAAATCTAAAAGGATTGCTGTCTCCTCCTTCCTTCTTGTTATATGTGTGTGTCTTAGCATTGACAGATACCCCAACATCGTCTTCTGAAGAAACGGAATTACTGAAGAGGCATTACTTTCACTCAATGCTCCTATTAACTTTATTGCTTCTTTTTGAATTGGGAAATATTGATCATGAAGGGTTATAAAAATAAACCTTAGGTTATCCGGTTGTGCTAAGTGGTGAATAAAATTTTTATTCAAATTTTGGAGTATTTCAAGCCTTATTTCGTCAACTGGATCTGTGATAGCAAGGCTTAGAAGCTTACTTAATATTTCTGCAGTTAGTTCGGATTTTTCAGTTGAATCACGGTTATAATTATCAGTCTTAGAAAATACTTTACATGATATGAATGCTGCAAGTTTTCTAACTTCTGGATCCTCATGTGCAGTATAATCAATAATAACCAAGCTAGTTAATTTAGTTATCGATGTTGTTCCAGATATATCTTTCAACATTTTTAATGACTGTATTAGCACTTTACAATCATTTTCATCGGTATTACTCTCCCTATTGGCATTGAAATATAATCTGTTTCTGTATTTTCTTGCTTCCTTAATATTTACAGGTTTGGTGCTTGTATGGGGTCCCGATGCATAAAATCTACCACCGTAGAGAGTCCTGGAGAGTGATGTACAGAGTCGTTCATCTATTCCTTTTTGGGCAGAAGGGGTTTTGCTGATAATTGTACCTAATGTGTCTTGCATATATTGTGTGGGATAGCACTGTAACATGAGGTCTAATATGTCTTTGTTGAGATACTTCAATAGGGCAGGACCAATAGCAATAGACAGCTTCTGGACACAGTAAAACAACTCTTCCTCGAACGGCCGCCTGATCTTATATTTCATTTTAAGTCCATCTGTTATATTATATATAATTTCATCTAGGTATGGTGTAATATTATGTCCAGTTTCGAAGGCAATGTCACCCAGTGCCATCAGAACGGACCCACGATCTCCAATATTTATAAAGTTAACCCGCATAGTCTTTAATGCTTTAAGGCAGTACTTTACTATTGGATCCATATATTTGGTTATGAATATTTTGCGATTAAACTTGGAAAATAATGGGAATACCCTGTAAACTTCTAGTCTCACAACTTCTGATTTGTGTTCTCTCCAGTGCATGCAATTTTTAAACATTTCGTTGATCTTATTTTTAATAAGCCTGTTATTATCAGAAGACAAAAGTTCATAATATATTAATAAACTGGAATGAACGTATTCGATTCCTCCAAATGTAAAGCCTGAATCGCATTCTTTGAATAACTTCTCTATCCATCTCTCATTTTCATGTGAATTATTCCTTGTACGTAATACAATTAGACACTTCCCAAGTAACTTAGCTGTATCCTCTCTAATAATGCTCTTGTTATCACGGAGAGCATTCAATATGTTTTCTAATATGTCATCAATGAATGGGTATAAAAGATACGGTGAATTATCTGCCAGTCCGGTCAGGATAAGTAACGATGCATGCTTCTTATATTCTAATTTGGAACTTGTATTATTTTCTGGTACAGAAGTTAGCCATTCCAGAGAATTTTTAACTTCACCTTCTACAAATTCGGATGTAATTGTACCACCTCCGGGAACAGCTAACTTACCTAGTGTTGATGCCGCCAAACGCATCACACCCATATCGTTTGAGGGTAAAACCATCCGAAGGTAATTGGCTAGTCTAGCTGTTTGGTTAGGAAGTTCCTCGATGTGTAGATAGAATGCAATTAGGGTATCGACTGCAGTGATACCACCAATCTTTTCATCTGTCGTGGCACCATGAAGCAGTTCAAATATTTTATTGTTAATAACATTGGTAAATCTTTGGAACTGTTCAGCTGATAGGTCCCTCGATATGGAAATTAGAGATTCTTTTAGTTCTTTAGTCGCATTCGATCGGTCTTGTGGATCTGAACTTTTCAGTTTATCGAATATGGAATTAAAAATTGAATAGGTGCTATCGAAATCAGAGAAAGAGTTATCTGTTTCTGAGAATAGTTTATTGTCCTGAGCATTGATGGAAACAATCCTTCTTGGGTCACTCGAATTTGCACCGGTGGAATTTACAGGTGCTGATGAAAGAGACATATTATCCTCAGAGGTGGAGTGCGAGGTGATCAGCTTCTTTCTAGCTCGCACATTCTTAGGGTCCACCTTTCTTCTTAACGAAAGCATGGTCTATAGATGATTTTTATAGTATTTATGGTGAAGTTACAAAGTGAAGTAATGAATTAGGTGGCTTTTCATTTATACAACGTATCCCTTTAATCTATTAAATGAGCCTCTCGAATGTGTTAGTTGAGATATATGATTTGTTAATTAAATTTCATGATGCGGGTAAAATATTTAGAACGAAATTTTAACTACGGTAATTTTACAAACTAGTCTCTCCCAAAAAGGACACTTAGCAGTGAGCAAGATAAAAAGGTAGTAACTATTAATGATATATAACAGTAGTTTGCATTAAATTATTTATTACTATGTGATGAATTGTGCAAGCTATGAAAGGGTATACAAAAATTTCGAAAGAAAAATTAGTAGGAAGTAGTAGAGGATATATTGTACAAATGGTGCTATTCTAATCGCTCCTACTAATAAAATGCCATTTTTTTTGTAAAGTATCTTTTATTCGTAAATGTTTGTTTGTGTATGTGGTTTTGTTGTTGTTTTATTAGTCATGAGTTCATGTTGGATTAATGATGTTTACACCTCCAAAACTGGATCCTTCGCAAAGAGAGTATTAGGTTTCTTGTTTGGATCATTAAAATAATCGGGTGTGTTCAGTTTATTGAAATCGATGTAAGTTTCATTATCCGAACGAATTGACGAGTCTTCTGGTAAAGTAACATTGAAAAGATCTAGTCTCTTATACTTTAAGTCATTTAGAGATTTCCAGTATTTTTTAATGTATTTATCTTGAACGGCACTCTCAATCATTGTGATGATAGTTTGATTAAATTCTTTACCTAATTGTTCGTAAAGATTTCTTTCATACAGATAGATAACTGGATCCTTACCTGGGGAAAGTAGATTTGGTGAAACTTCACTTCTTAACAAGCTTAGGTATTCTCTCTTCATTGGGATAGAAATATTTTGAGAGTACTGAATCTCCAATTCACGTAATCTGTAAGATGTAGATGTAAAAGAGTTGTAAATATTCGCCAAAAGATCGATATTACCGTCTTTAAATTCTGTACTACCTTTGATATTCATCAATATGGTCCATATATCATGGAAATCAATGTCGTTAAGCGCCTTTGTATTCTCTAATGGAGTATATACTTCTTCTGGGTACCAGCCCTTCAGATTTGAACATTTATCGACCAACTTACTCTTCATCCAGTATCTTAGATCAGGTATATAAGTTTTACCTTGGAAAGTTGCATAACCATATACCTTAGGAACACTATATTCATGTTGTAATGCGGTGATATACTTGGTTGGAATCAATGTTGGAATACCGTGATACATGGTGTTAACTAGAGGTGAAATAATTTGTAAACTAACAAAATGATCGTTTCTACAATTATAAATTTGAAATTTCTTATGAGTTTCATATCTTTCAGCTGTATTTAATCCTCTTTCTAGTTTCTTAGATCTAAGTAATTCTTCAGTTTCTTGTTTAACCATTTTTTTAACAGCATCTTTTTGGTCATTACTAAAATCATTTTCATGTTCTTTAATATAAGTTTGTAATTGAGTAATATTTAACCTAGCCAAATTGTTATTTTCTTCTTTAAATTTATCAAGTGAATTTGGTAATTGATTTTTTAAAACTCTGTCATAAGTATAATTTGATTTCTTTGCTTGATCTTCCAAATAAGATTTCATTGAATCCTTAGCAACATCATCAGATACACTTAACCCAGTCAAATCAATATACAAACCTGTATCCACATCAATGAATCTTGCATCAATATTATTCTTACCATTACCATTAGTTCTAACGGTAATAGAATCCCCAACATCGACTAAATAACGACCATTACCATAACGTGGATCTTCAAGGATTAAACTTTGATTGAAATATTGAGCTAAATAATTCAAATGAGCAATTGGTAATTGTAAATCAAAATCGTTATCCCATGGGAAAGTTTGTGCGTTATAGATATAACCATACAAAGTACCATGACCTAACCATGATAAAATACCATTATTATAAGTAAATTTTTGGAATGTTCTTATCATGGCATTCAATCTATTGAAATACTCTTGATGACTATCAATTAAATCATCACCATTAAAGAATCTTTTATCTCTATGATGACCCATCCCTTTAAACTGTTGAATGTTACCAGGTTCTGAGAAATATTTAGGAGCTAATGCTGGATGTGTTCTAACAGAATTTTTCAAACTATCTAAATAATGTAAATTATGAGCAGAAATTTCATCCTTAGGAATTGCTTCTAATTCTTCAATCTTTGCATAAGCATCAAATTCAAAATCTTCGGGAGTTAAATGAATATAGTCCTGTTTAAAGATTTCTGGATCAGTTTCTTTAATATTTAGTTTATATTTATTTTTAATAGTATCATTTGTTAAGAAATTATGCCATATTCTTTCATGATCAAAAATAATTCCACTAGGATCTAATTGTGAATTAATATTCTCAATATATTCTTGTCCTTCTTCATCATCATTATCAAGATTAGAAGGATCTTGTAATCCAATGAAATCATGCATTAAACGAGATTCAATCATATTAGCTCTATTATTTTGTTCAACATCTATTTGAAATGATTCACCATCATCAGAGACCATCGTTAATGATAATGGATTACGTTCAGAAGTTCATAAAGCGTTTCTTGTTTGTAATTGATATACTTCTGTACGAACTCTATCAAATAATAAAGTAATATTCAAACCAGTTGAAAATTTTGGTTTAACAATTTTACCATCTTTGATACCCATATTTTCACAATGATTTGAAATAACACTAAAAATATGACGAGTTGATAATTTCCTTGAGAAAAGATACCATCTGTTTAAAGAATATTTATCTCTTTCATTTCTAAATAAAGGTTCACCGATTTCATTTTCAATTATATCTAAAGTTTCTTTATCAAATGCACCTTCAAAGAAAAAATTACAACTTAATTTTGTTTCCTTTAAAGAAATTAATTTGTTTAATTCATGAAAGTCTGTCCAATCATACCAAGAAAATGGTAATTTTAATGAAGAGCCTTCATTAAAATTATTCATCATATGACTTAAATAAACAGACCAAGTTAATCTTGGATCAAAATCATAAAGTTCTAAATCATCAATTGAATCAACTTTTAAACCTTTATCTGAGCCGACAGGAATTGTTAAAAAATTTTCTAAAGAATAATCATCGACCCACATTGGTTTTGTATTAAATTTCATCTTTTCGTAAAGTTTATATAATCTTAATAAACGAGATTTTTGTTCTTCATTATTTGAATTATCATAAACTAATGCAGGTAAATAATCCCACCATGAAGATGAATCAGTTGATGAATTATCATCAGTATCATCATTATTTTTATTTATATTTTGTTGTTGTTCTTGTGGTAAGATTGGATCAATTTTAAAATAATCATATTCAGGATCTAAAGTCTTTGGATTAATATAATTTTTATCAGAATTTAAATTTTCATTACCATACCAATAATATGCTATTGATGCGGTTGATAATAATGTAGGTATTGAATTATTAGATTCGGGACTATTATAAACAGACCAATAAATTAAAGATAAAATTAATTGTAATAATATTACAGCAAAAAAAATATTTCTAATTAATTTTGGATTAACTTTTGTAAGACATCGATGTAGGTATAGATGTATATACCTATAGATTCTATTTATCATTTATCTATGTGTGAAAAACAGAAAACCAAAAAAAAAAGGGAATAAAGTCAAAATGATAAATGTGAAAGAAAAGAAAAAGTCTTATAATGAATCTGTCTCTCTAGTTAAAAGAAAATGAAATTAAAAGAAGGCTAATGTATGCAAATGTATAGAAATATGCTTCTTAATATTATTATTTTTCTTTTTGCCTTTATTAAAAAAAAAAAATGATTAAAAATAATTTTCTATAACTGAATAGAGAGATAGGTGGATGAATCCTTTTTATATGGGAGGGGTATATCTAGATGTATATATAATATATATATATAGCTGTTAATGATAAATTACGTTCAAAACGCTAATAAATAAAATTAAAACTAGTTAGTGCAAATTTATGTTATTTTTTCTCTCTTCTAGAAACGTATTTTTCAATGTATTATATGTATATATATGAAAATATAATTGATGGATGCAATTACTTACTTTGCCCATACTAATGAAAAGGCTTCCTGCAAGAAATAATACCTTCAGCAATCTTCTAAAACAAAAATACCAAGAAAAAAAATACAAAAAGTAAATAAATAAAATTAAAAAAAAAAACACATTGTTTTCTGTGCGGGAGAGAAAGTGCAGCGGAATGTCGAGGGGAAAGCAATAGACAGGGCAACAGACGACAAAACAACGGTTATTATCGTCGTCGTTAGTGAATGGAGTGAGGGGAGCGAGTAAGAGAATTGGTACAACAATCTGTCAACGTCATTTCTGTGTGATTGTGCTTATTTAAATAGTAGTCCTACAAATGTATATCGTTCTTCTCTCTTTGTTTTTCGTCATTATATACACAGTTATAACAGATCATAAAGCCTTTGGTAATCCTTGCAGGCTCTTCTTCACGATTTTCTCTGTGGGCGTTTAATTCATGCATCAAGTGGGGACCCGACTATATATATATATATATGGTTGGGTCCATTATTTGTCTGATACATATGTGCTGTGTGGATAGTTCAAAGAATAGATTGATACAGAGTACTCTGTCTGTGGGAGGTGGGGCTTACCCAAAAAAATAATAATAAAGAAAGAGGGCAATCGATAATAAGTATGATGATGCCTTTGTTCATGTTACAAAAAAGTGTAACAAATTATGGAGTTTTCACGTTAATTAAGTAACAAGATTGTCTTCCTTCAACCAAAAATAATAATAAAAAATTTGTTATGTGAAATATTCTTGTAAAAAAGGATTTTGTTCTCTTTCCTCCTCACTACAACACAGATCAATGTATAACATATTACTGTATGGTCGTCATCATTATTATCTCTGAGAGCGTCATTAAACACAAAGTGTGTGTGCGCGCGCGTGTGTAGTTAAAAAACTTCACAATACAAAGTGCGATGGATACAACACATTACAAGAGGCCTTGACGAAGTGCGTAGTATTATCGATCAACTAAAATATATATATTGTATTTATTCATTTACTTATTTTTTTTCTTCTTTCTTTCCTGACGCAAGAAAAGGGGGGAAGAAGAAACAAAATGGTATCTCAATTTATCTTTTTCCAAGTATATTCTCGTAGCCAGGTATTTCTAACCCGAAAAAAAAAGAGTTTGCCAAGCTACTAGTGAATTAACCATTTACTGGGGGGGAGGGGGAGGATTTGACCCAACTCGGCATATCGCACAAACAGAACAGGGTTCTCCCTCCCTTTATTTTATTACATTTGTTTTCTTTTTCTTGCTTTTTTTAAGAATGTTTTTTTTTCATTGCCTACGAATGCCCAGAGTGAAAAAAAAAATATTAAAATGGAAAACTTTAATTTGCCACTTCGTTGAAGGTGACATTCTCCAGCCTTTTTTTCCTTCTTCGTTCCTCTGGGCGAATTTTATAAACTTTCTTCTCCGTGGAGTTTAGTTAAGCTTGGTATCATTTTTTTTAAGAGTCTGGGTCTCAGATTTGTTTTGGGCGGGATAAAATATATTAATATACTACGGCCACTTTAATCACATGCTATTTTCTGTACATAGTAGATACGGCACATTCAAAATACAAATTTATTGTGTGAATGAACAGAATAAAAAATATAAACTACAGTGGAATTGCTATGACGTCTTTTTTTGCGGAGCGAGGGAGGGCTAGAGTGTGCGAAGTACGTACATGTATAAGTTTATTTTTGATTAAGGAAGAAGGGACATCTGGCTATGAATTTAGATTCAATTTGTAGTCTTTTGAACAGCAGACAATCGTTAAGAACTGTTCTATTTATAGAGTTGAAAAAGAACAATCGTTAAATGATTGATATAATATTAGTACGTACGTATTATGAAGTTTGTGTTTGTTTTTGTAATTATTTACGGGATAAGTATGGAATTGAGCCTCCTGAAGATGTGACTAACGGAGAGTGATGTGAATGATATAATGAAGCAGATGACCTTGTTCTTGTTCCTCCACTAAAACTTGTTGTTCTGTTGTTTGTAACAGAGGTATGATGATGTATAACTCTCTTTCGTGTATGTGATGATGATGATGATGTTGTGGTGGTTGTGGTTGTAGTAGATACTGGTGTTGCGGTTGGTATTGGTACTACATTCGTTGAAGTTCTGGTTTTTCTATTTATAGTGAGGTTTATGTCATTATCAGGTGTAATAATTGGGTGGGCTAGAACTTCGATTCCACTAAGAATTGTCTCCAATTGTGGTTTTTGTAATGACGATTCAGCTAAAGTAACATCATTATGGTTTTCTTGTTCTTGTTGCAATGAATCTATGGTTTGAACAATTGATTCTTCTTCTTCTATTACTTCATTTACAGGCGATAAATCATCTTTACCTCTCGGTTCTATTGAAGTTTCTTTCTTTATATCAATATTTAATTCTTCTTTTGATTGAGAACGTCTTTTTTTATTGATAATTTCTTGTGGATCTGTGGCAATATATTCATTGATATTGGTGGGGGTCGTTGTATCTATGCATGTTATAATTCCTTGAAACCATGGATCTTCAAATAATTCTTCCATTGTATATCTTGTTGAAGGTTGTGGATCTGCTAATCTCCATGCAACACGAGATACAGATGTTTCTTTAAAACCTTTGGCAAAATTATATTCAATACCTGGACCTTTCTTATAATAACTTATTTTATGTGATAATTTATCAATTGATGTTCTAAAATTTGAATTATTATAATGAATATAATTTTCGTAACCATTAACATAATCTCTAAATCTTGAATCCTTATTACATGATTCAACAAACGGTATCATATTGTTCACCAAAGTATATAATAAAATCCCTAATGAATAACAATCTAATTTTAATGGATCAAACGGTAGTTGTAATCTCTCGGGATAATCTTTTTTACTATCCCACATCATTACTTCAGGTGATGTATATGGTGGTGATCCAATCATACCTTTACAAAGTTTAATTGGTGTTGTAAAATCTTTTGGTGTTTCATGATACCAATTTGATATACCAAAATCTGTAATCTTACAAATTCCACCTGAACAAATTAAAACATTTTCAGGTTTTAAATCACGATGCGCAATACCATTATCATGCATAAATTTCACACCATGACAAACTTGTTTAAAGATACAATATTTTTCATTTAAATCCACATTTCTCCATCCAGGTTTTGTAATGATACTGAAAAGATCACATTGACCTAATTCCATTACATAACCCCAACCACGCGCAATGAATGTAGTTGTTGGAACTTTGCATAAATCAAAGACACCAATAATATGTAAACCATTTGGATCCTCGTATTTATTAATTGAATTTAAATATTTGGCAATAATATATTCACGAGAACATCTTTTATAATATGCGTCTTTATCTTCACTATAAATCATATTCAATTTTTTAAATGCATAAATGGTAGAATTACCAACAATTGTTGTAGTATTATTTGTTGTATTCGTATTACCATTTTGTGAAACAATAATTTTTTTCACCTCTGATGTACCACCATTACCAATAACTTGATGATCACCTTCAAATTTAAAATTATCAAATAGATAAACACTCTCTTGTTGCATTTCAGTTGGAAGGAAATCGTTTGGGTCTTCAATTGGCAATGGTAAGACACGTATTTTAGTAGAACCATCATGTAAATAATAAGATGCATCACGAATACCACTACTATTACTATTAGTACCACTATTATTATTACTTGTTCGACTCATACCATTTCTAGAATTATTATTTGTAGGAATATAAGGTTGTGAACCATATGGATTATATACCATTGGTTTAGGCGATGTATCTACACTAGTCAATTTAGTTGATAATTGAGAAGATTCTGATACAGATTCAGATGCAGATTCTGATGATGATGATGATATTTTTCTATTGTCACGTACATTTTTTTTATTTGAAGATAATAATTTTGAAGGAGCTGTATTTCTCTTTAATAATTTTTTAGTTGCATTTGATGGAATAATTTTCTTTGCGGAGTTTCTATTAATTGATTCATCGAAACTTTTACCGTTATTTAATAATTTTTTACCTAATAATTTAAAAGTTGAAACAGATGAAATCGATGAAGATGATTCTGAATTTCTAGAAGATAAAAAAGCCATTTTAAGTGAAAGAATATGTTCAAACAACTATTTGTTATTGCTCTTTACAATAACAAAAATTTCTTTTTTTAAATCAATATAAAGCACCACCAAAAAAAGGAATTAATATATCAATTTAATACTATTTTTTTTTAAGATTAGAATAATATCTTTTTGAAGAAATGATTTAAAAAAAAATAATAAAACGTTTAGGCTATATGTTCATAACAGATTGTGAGGAAATAAATAAATGAAAAAAAATATTACAGTACAACGATGGGAAATGGTAGTAATGATACAACGAATTAGATATATTTACCGTTATATCTTAGGGAAATAATGAATGATATTTGACTATATCTTTTTTATTATATATCAGTAAGATAAAGCAAATTTTAAACAATTAAATCAATGAATTTTTAAAAAATCAATTTCAGTTATATATATATATATATATTTGTGTATTTAAATTACGTATTTTACAGGATGTGTTTGACAAATGAATGATCAACGAACCATTATTAATTTTTAATAATCCCATCGATTGATCAATCGATGGATGGTATCTATCTTTCTATCTGTCCTCCCCCCCCCCATAGCGTAATCACTACATTAGTGAAATTTCACCTTTTTTTTTCTCACGCAATCTGCGCGATCATCATCACCTTTTTCCAATTGCGAATAATTTTTTCTTTTCTTTTCTGCCTGTGAATGTAACTATTTCTTTTAAGCATTTTTGTCTTTTCTCTCTCACAGTTTTTCTTTGGTTTTGGCGATGAGCCAAGAGGCCAACTGCAAACAGAGCAGACACAATTTCTTTTGGGGGGGAGAACAGGGAAGCAAAGCGAAGGGAGTGGTTGCTTTGTCTGTTATCTTCTGGGTGAAGGGAGGAACGGAACGCGGATCGGACAGGCTTACTTGAGAGCGTGAAAGCGGCGGGGCGGTATGCATAAAGGTGAAGAGGAACAACGGCGAATGGTTCAAAGGGGAGGGCAGAAATAATAGGAATGCCATTGATACATACTTTCCCTTTATTGTTGACGTGTATAGTGATCTCCGAGCAGCACGTGGAGGTTCCGGATCCGGGCGTTTGTAAGTTGCTTTTTTTGTTCTTACAGTGTGAATTGGTGATTTCGGTATTGTTCCCTCGGATATAGGATTAGGGTTTTGAAGGAGATAATGATGACCCTGCTATATTAGGGTTCATTTTTAATTAATGTCTATGTAAAGTGTAGCTAAAGAAGAACATGTCGTTCATAGATTAATCTATATCGGGATAAAAGCTGATAAATAGAAATAATAGGTTTAGTGGGAGAACCTTTGTTGTGCACAAGTGTAAAATTTTGTATCTTTTTTTTTTTTGTTTTGAATTTGTTTCAAGATATAATGTTTGTAAGGTTTTATGTTTGGTATTGGTTAGGACACTTCCTCAACAGGTGGCTCGAGTAAACAAAAAAACAATAGTGACAATTGTTTTAAAAAAGTTCTTTAAAGGAAAAATATTCAGTGTAGTTAGATTCTTGTACGATTTATTTTAGATATTATTTATGCTAAAGTAAGTCTTGTTCCAGGGTTACGATCTATATCCCCATCATGTAATTCAGCTGGACGACTATTACCTTGAAATTCATTATATATGACGCTAAGTTTAGCGCGTTCATGAGGTGAAATTGATGCACGAGTCTCTTTACAACATATTAATAAATCTTCTGCAGTTATTTCGATATGTGACGTTGTATTCATACTATTACTTGAAACAATATTATTGTTATTATTATTATCCTCACGATTAAAATCTTTAATTTTATTTTGAGATGATTGTAAAATAATATCTTGTATTATCTTACCATCAATTTCTTCAAAATTAGAATTCGTTGGCGATAAAATTGTATATTCTGTTTCATTGGGTTTCTTTGCATTATCTGTAGTGGCATTTAATGACGAAAGTTGACGATGTACTACACGTAAATGTGCATTATAATAAAGACCTTGTAAATCTGCTCCACTGTATCCTTCTGTAAATTCTACTATTTGTTTTAAATCTTCACCAGATATTTTATTTGAGATCGTTTCACCGAGCAATCTCTTTAATATGTCAATTCTTGAATCTGAATCAGGTATATCACAAAAGACACTCTTATCCAATCTTCCAGGTCTTAACAATGCTGGATCAATTAAATCAGGTCTACTTGTCGCAGCCACTACATATACCCCTTCAAGTTGTTCTGCACCATCCATTTGTGTAAGTAATTGATTCACTACACGATCTGTTACACCTGTTGAATCATGTCCACGCTTTGTCGCTACTGAATCAAATTCATCAAAAAATAATACACATGGTCTTAGTGATTGTGCTTTTTCAAATAATTCACGTACGTTTTGTTCACTGGCACCAATATATTTATTTAAAATTTCAGGTCCCTTAACAGGTAAAAAATTGAGTCCACCACATTCACGTGCTACTGCACTTGCTAATAAAGTCTTACCGCAACCTGGATATCCATAGATTAATAACCCAGAACGTAATCGTAATGGTGAACGACTAAATATAGGTGCATATTTTACTGGCCACTCTAATGTCTCTAATAGAATACGTTTGGCTTCAACAAGCCCTCCTATTTTGGCCCATGACTGTTCAGCACCCTGTGTTTGTTGTTTGGAAGAAGAAGATTTCTCAACACCTTGCAAAAATACTGGTACAAAACTCTCATTAATTTCTTGAAACTGATTAGCATTTAAGACTGATTGATCGCTATCAAGCATGACTCCATAGAGCAATCTCTCAACAAGATTCTTGATATCTAAAATAGAATAACCTTCGATTGCCATACTCATATCATTTGTGGTAATATCTGGTGATATTGATATTCCACGTTGTGGAAGTAGTGCGTCTAGTAACATTTTGCGAGCTCCTTTAGTTGGACTCTTTAATGACCATGTTTTACTAACAAAATGCTTTTCAAAAAGATAATGGTTCAATAAATCCTTACGTCTTGAAGCAAATATTACTTTTATACTCCCATTCCATTTCGATGTAATTTGAGTTATCTCATGAATTAAAAGTAATGTAAGTTTGTCCGACAAACTATTACCATTGCTACCACCATTTGCACCACCACCACCATTTCCATTTCTATTCTCTCTATTAAACAAAAATTCTGCATTATCTATAATTATCACACTCGGCTGATACCAATAGGACAGGCTTACCAATTGGTTACAGATGAACGTCCTCATCTTCTCGAAACTAAACATATCATTTAGAGCTTCGCAGTCAAAAAATGTTATATGACACTCGCTGGTTGATCTTAGAATATGACTTATCTCCAGTAGTAATGTTGTCTTACCAACACCAAGAGATCCATCAATGACAATACCAGGACTCCCTACCACACGTTTGCGTAAGTGTGCAACTATTTGATCTATGGTATCGTCCAGTTTTACAAAAACATTATTTTTCTCCATGTTGTCATTTTTTTGAAATGGCTCAATTTTTGAAGAAACTTCACAATTGTATCTTTTTTCAATAATAATATTTTTTTTTTCCATCTGTGTTAGATTTATATGCTTGAGATGTGTACCCTTACCATTTAATAACTCTACAACAACCCTCTCTTTTCTAAATAACTGCATATTTGTCAAATAATGTAGATTTAATATACCATCAATCTTGGATTGAATATTATCTCGCTCATCAACCCCGTCAATAAAATTAAATATAATCCTTGAATCTGGTTGTGATGTTTTAGTTGCAGTTTCATGATTAGTAACAAATTCAACACTCAGTCTCGTACCATTGTTTAGGAGTTGCCCATCATTGATACCTAAGGATCCCCATACAGTACTACCCAATATGACATGCGATACAGGTATTGGATTTGTTTGACCCACTTCTACAGCCGATATTCGCACTGCAACTCGTTTTGTACATTTCAAAATTGCCTTATTCTGCTTGGTCTCCTTATGAGAATCAACTCGTAAAGTACCCTTTTCTATCTTATTCTCAATAATAGAAACGTAACCAAATTCACTCACTACTTCGTCTTCATTCATGTATAGAGTCATACCACTATCTATCATCTGATTCCATTGAGAGTCATTATCTACGTTCCAACAGAGTAATCTTTTAGTTGAGACAGTTATTTCCTCTGATTTCATGTTTAATTTTTGGTTTCTTAACTTGTTCTCCATAGGTTCAATAATGATTAACGAACCATCACCAATCAAACCAACCTGCAGTTTCTCTGGGATCAACTTCTCAACCCGCAACCTGCAGATAGTGTTACCAACGTAACATACAAGGACCCCACCGAGATTAACAATCTTTGTTTGATTTAGTATTTCTTCTTGTAAATAACTACTGTGTAATTCTGCAATCTCCCAGTCATCACTACTTAGGGGTTTCACACAAACCTCAGAAAGTAATGACTTCGAAACATCAAATTGTTCCATCTCAAATATAATTAATTGATCAGGAGTAAACCCTAAGGTTTTACCTAATACAGGGTTAATTTCAATACATCTATCATAAGCTGAATCGAATCCATCCCATGAGAAGTACCATTTCCCATTTAATTTGAACCTAAACCTTTGGATTTCAACATGACTGGAGTATACAGCATCAGCGACACTACTTGGTATTCTAATGAAATTTCCAGCTATCGCATTATTAAATTTAATTACAAATCTATTGTTTTGTAAGTTTACCATTCTTCTGAAAGACGCTAGATATATTTCTATTATCTTATTCAAGTTTTAGAAGTCAATTGGCATGAATTTTCTCCAAGAACACTGTTCCTTAAAAATACTATTCAAGAAGCATCGGTACCTCGGTCTTTATTTTTTTTTTCTAACGTCAACATAAAAGAAAAATTTTGATCTACAAATACTTCAACTGAAACAAAGAAGCACATAGATATAACAAAAGTCAACCTTTAATTTTCCTTTTGCGAAATATTAATACTGAATTTTAGCTTTTGATAGAAACAAAATTACATTTCATCCAGCAAAAATGGGTATCAGATTTATGTTATGTTTTAACAAACAAGGTGTCGTGAGACTTGTACGTTGGTTTGCCACAAGTGATAATTCGACAGATCCACAGGAAGAAATATCCCAAATATATCGATTGATATCGAGTAGAGACCACAAACATCAATGTAATTTCTTTGAATTCTCGGATGATACTAAATTAGTGTATAAAAGATACGCAGGGTTATATTTCGTTATTGGTATAGATATAACGGACGAGGAACCTATTTACCTGTCACATATTCATCTCTTTGTTGAGGTACTAGATGCTTTTTTTGGGAACGTCTGTGAATTGGATATTGTATTTAATTTCTACAAAGTATACATGGTTATGGATGAGATGTTTTTAGGTGGAGAAATACAAGAAGTTTCAAAAGATGTCTTGTTAGAGAGACTAAGTACTACTGATAGATTAGAATAGAATGTCTATTTAGGGAAAAAATATCTCTAAACAAGGTTTTCTGAAGATTCAACATTTTTAATGTGAACAATGAGCATATTAGTTTAACCCACTTAATAAATCCTTTTTGTGATAGATGATTACATAGGGTGCTTGATTTATTAAAGAAGACGAGAGGCTTACAGGGGGATCAAGTTAAGCAATTCAGGGAAAACATATACACCATAACTTAGTTGTGATAGCCACAACCTTGTAAAACATATTTGGAATCAGATATAGGGTCTGTTTTAGAAAACACTATTGACGAAAAGGAATATCCCTGTGTTTCGAAGTGATAAACGACCAAAGAAGGACCCTCTACATTCTTTATTGCATGGTCTCATATGGGTTTTATATAAATATACTGCAAATATGATATAAAAGATATATATTCCTTTTTAAACATGTATTTATAGTCATTTTTTATAAAAAGAAAAAAAAAGTTCGATAAGTGCATTATTCATCCTCAGACTTTGGAAATAAAATTTTTGGGTTAAATATTATATTAAGTAGTAGTATCATAAATTATGTACCTAATAGGCATATTTTTCTCTGTCAATAGGCAACTCCATTTTTTACTTTAGGTGCTTTGTTTCTTGATTACAGGCCTAGCGAATACAACCTAATGGTAAAATAACAAAGTAAAGGCAAGTGTAAGAAAAAGATTTAACATAGCGGAAAAGCTCAGAGTTTCAAATTGTTCGTAAAAATATTCTATTAATTTTAGCTAACGAATAGTCTTTCTAATTTCCTGTAAGGCTTGATATTTTTTTTATCTACATTATAAAGAGTCAAAGAGCCTTAATACTTAGGCCTAAACATTTTCTTTTATTTTTGGCTTAAGATCAAACTCACTATTGTTGGAAATTATATCACAGTGTGACACACAGTGATCTTCGTACAATGCGATATTGCTGTGAAAATTTCTGTATATAAAGGAACCCGTTTTCCAAATTATATAGAATTATATATTACACTTTCTCACATCTCTCTCTGATAGGAGGGGGAGGAGCTCTGCTGCTGGCAACGGACACCTAGTCCTGACCTACAGTAAATATATATACTATTGTTATTCTCTAATTCCCAGTTTTCCGACAACTATCACCCAAATGTTCTTTCTATTAAGATTTAAATTTCATTTACTATACGTGAATAATAACTCTTAAAAAAGTCCTAATATTTAATGTTTTAGTTGTTTAAAACTGAATAAAAAACTAATATTCTTTTTAACATTTTAAAAATGTTAATTAATTTCAGGAGGTTACATTTTAATCACGGGTTAACATTTTGAAGAGGAATACAGCAAAGAAAAATTAGAAATTAAAAGTTTTAATGTATTGGTTAGCCCTTTGAGGTTTAGCTGAACGATCATTAGGCTATATCACCGTGTACCAGTATCTACAAATAATGACGCGAGAACAACGAGTATAAGATGCATATAAGGGAAAAATAACTTATGAAACATATAACTGTATAATATGATTTGTAACACAGATAAAATGAATATACGACAATATACATAATTAACGTAGTATTTACTATTAATACATTTATTTTTTAATGAACAGAACAACCACCATATTGTTGTGATTAATATACTTAATAATAACAGCTATAAAGCATCTATATAGACCAAACAATACAATTAGAAATAAAATCTTAAATGTCTTATATATGTAAATATTTTCTCCAAATTTTGCAAAAGTATCTCTAGGTAGCCAAGTTGGTTTAAGGCGCAAGACTGTAATTTTACAAGAAATCTTGAGATCGGGCGTTCGACTCGCCCCCTGGAGACTTTTTTGGCTCTCGATGTTCTGAGAGATTACCCGGCCTACAATTTTTTTTTGAACGGGGCATAGGGGAAATTATTATCATCATCCGAGACGAGGCAAAAAAAGTGAAAAAACGCTAACCAAAAAAAAAAAGTTTGAGCAATGCGATATACTTTCTATTATGGAAGGCATTTCAAAATATATAGATATTATTTCTGTTTTGGAAAAATTCGTGACTGCGTCGTAAAAAACGACTCTTCTGGCGACTATTAAGGTGACGTTAATATAATTGATTAAAAAGTTTTTTAAATATGGAGCTTTTAATAATTTGATATCAAACATCAGTTAAGGTTGACTCTGCAGATTTGAATCAAATGTTTCTCAGCTGTTCGGTGTCTGAAGTAACGTAATCTTTTAAATAATTTTTAAATGATGGTGACTTTTTAATTTAAAAAAATCTTATTCTTTAAATCGTTATTGGTTACAAAGAATAAGAGTACAATCAAAAGATATATAATTGTACTCCTAAGGTAGATAGATATGAAAATAAACATAGTCTAATGAAACGTTATAAATTAGAGTGATGTGTATGTATGTATATATAGAGAGGATTATATATATAATTTAGTATTCCATCTGCTGATCCTGCAAGCGATGCTGTTGAGTATTTATCATTTCAATTTCTTCGTTAGTTAAATCATACAGGCTATATTGTGTATGAAATGTTTGGTTATTGTTTTCGTTATTATTATCATTGGTCATTTGGTTATACGTTTGTATGTTAGTTGAAGAAGATGACATAGAGAGTGAATTATTATTATTATTATTGTTACTGCAATATCCGTTAAAATAACCCATCACCATATATTCTTCTGCTTCAGAATATATTTCATTATCATTATGTATTTGGCTTCCTATATTATTATTATGCACTTGTTGTTGTTGTTGTTGCTGTCCTAATTTTAACCAATCTGTATTATTTGTATTAGCCGCAGGTGTTGTAGCTGGCGTCAATATATTATTATTAGGATAATCGTTATTAATTAGTGAATTACATTGAATGCCATCATCTGCCATTGAAAGTTTATTATTAGATAAAGATGATAATACTGGAGATATAAGATATTCATCATTTTTGCAATCATTAGAATTTGTTACGGTTTCATAATTTGTTGTATATTTGTTATTATTATTAGTAGTAGTATACCTTATTCTTTTCCTTGGTAATTCAGGTGATGGTGCCTCTATTTCAAATTGATTGTAGGATCTTTTAACAACATTGTGTTGTTCATAAAGTGAGAACATTTTTTTTGTATGTATATATATATGTATATGTTTTTTTTTAAAAAGAAAACCGCGCAAATTCTATTACCTCTTTCCTTTGCTATTGTTATTATTTTATAATGATAGTACCTAATTATGGGGGGAACAAACACTAGGTTATCAATATATTGGAAATGCTGATAGTTTTTATAATATTTTGTTTTAAGATAAATGTTTTTCAGTTATAACTATTTTAGCTATATGGTAAAAAAGAAAAAGTAAAAAGAAAAATAAATAAAAAAAAAATTAGCGCTTTTTTGCTTTTTCTCTCTTCTTAATTTCTCGGTAAAATAAATGAATTTAGTAGTCTATAAGCGAAGTGATGAAAAGGGTTCTCTCTTTCTTACTTAATAGAAATAACGAAAACGCGTTAAAATAATATTTAAAATGGAATAAAGGGCGAGAGGGATGAATGAAAAGGATGACTATATAGATGTTATAGACAATTGAGAGAATATATATAGCTTAGTAGTAATATGAAGTCTTGTACTATATGTTTGTGATAAGAATATTTCTTAATTAACACCACAACCCTCTTAGGTTATCTTCATGTTATTAACGCCATTTATCGAGGTTAGACGGTATGATAATTGTAACAATGTAGCACGTCGTTGAGTTCATTAGTAGTTTAATTTTGACACAGCGCCTCTTATGTGTGACCATCTTAGTTATCCCTCAATATATAGATAGGTCTTACAGTACAAAATACGTTACCCTCTCGGCGGTTGTAGTTCAAAAATGTGGATAAAAGTGGAGAGGCAAAAAGACTCAAAAAAAAACTATAAAAGATTATCATACCAAAGAAGATTTTTATTCTCCAAAATGGAGTTTCTCCTGTTCCCAGGAAATTAATATACTTACTTAAAACACTATTACAAGAGTCGTGAGATTACTTATATTTGTTCTTTGAATGAGTCTGTTAATAACGCATGTGCATTGAAGTGGTGCTGTTTAAACTAAGATTCATAAATGGTCAACTTAAATTGAATAACATCCTTCCTTTTGATGAAAACGATTTGACTTTTCTAATAGTTTGTACAAACTGGTTTTGATGATAATCTCTAATTGAGTCCTTCCAAATACATTAATTACAATTGGAACTGCCGGCAGAACCTGAGATTCACCATTTTTAGAAAGCATTACCCGGATATCAGGGCTTGTTTCATTGTACACCCATACACCGCCCTTTACCGAAGTTAGGGCTTTACATAACCTAATTAGGAAATTTCAAAATAGAAAAAAAAGTGTTTGTGTGTGTAAATTATTACGTTTGAAGAATACAACTGTAATACCCGTACAGCCACTTTGGCTTAGTTTTCTTGTCCACTATGATCTGTTCTGCCGTGTAATGTTACTATCTACGAATTTCAATAGGCTCAGACTTCTGTGAATGAAAGAAAGATAAAGAGGCACACACATTATTAGAAGCACCGACGGAGACGTAATGATGTTTGTAAATAAAAAATTCCCGTAAAGGTTGTGAAAATTTCTATGTTTTCTAACTCATCCCTTACGTTTGTTGTTGTTATTTTTATTATATTTGTTTTGTTTTTGTTTTTGTTTTGAGGGGATGATGATATTTTCAAATTGTTAAGGGAAGAAGGAGAGAATGAAGAAGTAAAAGTTTATTTTTATGTCTTTAAGCATCGACTCACTTAGTATCCAATGTTAAACATACCCAGGAAAATGTAACCCTTACAATTTTCTATTATCATGAAAAAATCATTATCCTTTTTTGCCTCTTTATTTAATTTGGGGATATATGGCTTAAAGTTTTCTTCTATTTCAAAGTTAATCCTTTTCTGTTTGGAACTCCTCATCCGTAATTTTACTTCATATATTTGAAGTGTATCCTTTAATAAACCTTTATTCCCTTGCTTCTTAAAAAAATCTGTACGGCCAATTGACTATAATAAGGCTAAATCAACAAGATTTTTTTTATTTTATTTTACATCGAATACCAAACGAAAAACTCATCTTATATATATATAAGTACATCTAATACCCGATATAAGTTGACTAAGTTAATTCCTTACAAGAACCCTTTTTTTTTGTTTTGGTCAATTTTTAATATAAGAATCGTAAACAATAATTTTAAAAACAAATTTCTGAAAATAAACAAACATTTTGGATTCAATTAATTATAATAAACGATATTAAAGCTTAATCCACAATGAAATTCTCAGCAAAACTTCTTTGGAAAATAATTACATTACTGTTTTTCGCAGGTAATGTCCTTTTGCTTATTCTAATCATTATATCAGGGACCACACAACATTATCCAGTTAACAGATTTTATTGGGTGGAAGCTGATACTAATGGCATACCTAATGCATCATCATTAACAAGATGGACATTTTGGGGTGCATGTGGTGAAGTTAATGACAAAACCGTTTGTGGAGAGAATTTATCTCCTGCATATCCAATTTCACCAGTTGACAATTTTAAAACAAAGGAAAATGTTCCAAAAAGATTCATTTCTGAAAGAGATGCTTTTTACTATTTGAGTAGATTTGCGTTCTGTTTCTTCTGGATTGCTTTGGCATTTGTTGGTATCTCATTTATATTATTCATCTTTTCATGGTTTTCAAGATATCTGTTACAAGTGGTATTTATTTTAATGGCCTTTGGTTGTTTATTCAACGTTTGTGCAGTTATTTTCCAAACGGCTGTAACAGCAATGGCTAAGAGTTCATTCCATGGTGATGATCGTCATGCTAAAATCGGGGCATCTTTAATGGGTATTGCATGGGCTAGTGCTGTTGTATCAATTTTTGAATTTGTATCACTTACGACCTGGTTTGCATCAAGTAAATTAAGGGAATATTACCAAGGTGATTCATTAACAGAAAAACATCATAATAATTTCTTCCATAGGGAGAGTGAGCCATTGAACGTTCCTGAGCCAATGATGAGTCCTGATGCATACAGCCCTAACCCTAATACCAATATGGTAAATGATAGTAATGGACCTGTAACAAATCCAAATGGTATAAACAACAATGAAGCTGTAGGATCTCCAAATTTACCAATTGTACAAGAACAAATAACTACACCATTACCTGCAGTTGTACCAGCAGAAGAAAGTAGACATAAAGGTATTAATTTTTTTACAATTAGAAGGTCTCACAAACCAAATCCAGACGATGTGTCAGTGTAAACTATTGTAACCACTGAACCAAACAAATAAAAAAGAAATTAGATACTTTTTTCTCTCCCCTCCAATCTTTTTTCTTCTTCTTTTTACTATTATTCATGAACATTATTATTCTCTATTTCCTCTCTCTTTCTCACAATCTCTAATATTTTTTAGTTTTAGGCCGTAGTGCTATCTACTCCGTGTTATAATTACATGATACCCAATTCTTACTAAATAATGTACTTCTATGTTACATTAATTCTCTCATTAATATAATTCTTAATTATCTATTACATAACTCAACTAATTAATCTATCTTTTTTCAACTAATCTTTTTCTATATAAAACTGTATATGTAGTCAGAGGCATCATTAATGCGACTAGTTCGATATAATATTACTGTTTAATAGGAATATATACTTGTATATAAAAAAGGGTAACCAATAATATAGGGACCAATCTACATTAAAAGGGAATATAAAAATATTAAATTAATTTTGTTATTTGTGAGAATATGCTTAATAATAATGGGTAAGTGATGATTTTAATGCAACGCCCAAAAGAAGAGAAAGTAGAAAGGAAGGGATTTTATTAGCTCCGAAATACTAACAGTATGATAGTGTTAGACCTCTTGTCCAAGCATATGAACCTAATGTAATTACCACTAAGGCATATGCTAGAACTATTGATGCTGAGTAATAGATGATAGTTCTTGGTAATGGTAACTTATAAGCCTCATTAGCGAAAGTACTAAAAGTACTTAAACTACCACAAAATCCACTCATAAGGGCAGTAATGACATTACATGCATTTTTTGTATGTACAATAGGTAGTGGATTTCCCTCATGTAATTTCCCACGTACAACTATTGTGAGGATACTCAATATTAGAGTAGCAAAAACATTACAAACAAATGTACCATAAGGAAAGTCTTTGTTTATTGGATTCATCCATTTAGATATATAAAGTCTACAATAAGCTCCAAATATACCAAATAGAGGTGGTAGAGTCCATTTACCACGTGAATAGTTATCGTAATAAGCAGCCAAGACCACGACAAGGATAATAAATGGTATTGCGGCAACAATAGTAGTAATATAGATAAGTCTCATAATTTTATCCACCATTGGATAAGGTTTTTTCCTTATAGTTTTATTTTCTTCAATAAACACTTCTTCTTGGATTGTAGCTGCTTTAATAACAATTTCTGTACCTAAATATCTACCAAATATATAACCACACATTGAAACAGAAATTTCTATAATGACTACAGATAACCATTCCATAATACCATAAGCTCTATTTGGTAACTTTGTATGATTCTTAATATTTGATGGAGTTTGACTTGAAGAATATTCAAAGGCTTCAAGTATCATTGTAGAAAAAGAAGAAAAAGAACCACAAAAACCTGTAGTAACGGCAGTAAATAAATTTGGATAATTAGTAAACCAACCTGTCTCGGCGTTCATAGCTTGAAACAATCCCATTAGAATACAACCACCACAGTTACTCCAAAGGACTGTACCGGCACTAATATATGATGGATGATATGTTGATAAGGCTGTGACTGCTTCACGTCCATAATTACCAAGTATAATACATGTTATCATGGATAAATGAAAATGAGCAAACTTTCTCACATTTTCATTCAAAACGAAATTCCACTTCATGGTATATTAATAACAATGATCAGAAAAGATGAATTGATAAAAAAAAGAAGAATATAATAAATTGGATGACTCTATATGAGGTCTTGATTTAATGTCTTATTATGGGTAGGGTATATTGTAATGTATTTTTTAAAAAAGAGTAGCTAATTGAATGTCATGAACAATAAACCTTGGCTGTATCGTGTAGCTTTTATGATGTTATGAAAATCTTTAGTGACAAAAATTATTAAAATTTATATATAAAATGGGACCGAATTTTTTTTTTCTATGTAACCTCAAAAGAATAAATAGGGAATTTAGTCATCAGATATGTAAGAACCATAGAAAATCCTTAAGTTTGAGTGATTTTGATCCATTCGAAGATATTAGCTCATTGTTGTCTATCATTAAATAATCCACTACGTTAAATTATGTCGAAAAGAAGAAAAGCGAAAAAACAGAAGCCGTCCACGGGCCGAAATAGATTCATTTCAGGGTTGGGCTATTTCGTCAAATATGATATAGTTCAATGGTAAATGTTTGAATAAAAGATGTCAAGGTAACTAACTAACTGCCATACTTCCAACTTTTGCGAAGAATGGGAGAAAAGTCAAGAGGTGGAACCACACCAATAACACTATTTCAAAAAAAAAATTGAGTCTTTCTTAAATAAGATATTACGAATAACGACGTAAAAAATAGTGTTGCATATCTTCTTGGTAAAGTGTAGGTGATATCTTGAACTCAAGATTTCGGTTAAAAAGTTGGGCACATACACACATCTACTGACGTTAACGGTTGATTAATTTAAGTAACATTAATTTGCTTCAGTTAAGAGAAGCGGCTTGTATCTCTTATAATGTGGGCACGGTTCAATCGTTCCTTTTTCTCTACCCCCCACCGTAGAATCTGAGTGACTTCTCCACAACATTGCAGATACAATCTGATCTGTTCAAAAATGTTACCAAGAAATAATTAACAAAGTTGTTGCAAGTTACTATTACGAGGTGGATTTTTCTATATTCGCTCTCAATGAAAACTTGTGGGGGTGGGGGTGGGGGACGGAGACAAATCCTGTGCTATGATGCACGAACTCTTGTTTCCCCTTAGCACTCTGTAACGTACGACTGATAAAAAAATAAATCTGGCATCATATTTTGTATGTCAGTATTAACGGATGGTTGCAATTAACTATTCTCTTAAAATGATCAGTACCCCAACCCACGTATTAAGTATTGGAAACGTACATTTATAGCAAGTGGTGTAACTGGAAGTGTTGAAAGTACAATTGACATTTATTTTTTTATGTCAAACTTAGTAGATGTTTTTTTTTTCAAGTTAAGTAGCGTAATAAGGTAAAAACTCATTACATTGGGAATATGAGATGGTTCATTCTCCTGTGTATAATACTCAAGACTTAAGCTTGTTCTTGATAGATTTAAATCTAATCTAATTACAAATGTGTCAATCGTAATGATATAGGCAAAACTAATACAATATGAAAGTATAAAAACATAGTACGCACTGCGTATTAGGCCGAAAAGTCGGCCTAATAACTATATATTCCAGTATCGGTTAATTACTTCAAAGTTCAACTCTTATTCCTTCTCCTTTGTGATCTCGAAGAGATAAATAAATATCTACTGTAAGAAAGGGATCCCCGTACATACACAGAGAGATGCTATCTGAGACTATTTCATTCAACAAAGTACAGTTCATTTTCTTTTCGGACATCTCTGCCCCATGGGACTCTATTTTCTCAGTTACTGCTAAAATACTAGCAAGTTGTAGGGCTTTAAAGCTTTAATAAAATTGCGAAAATATCATTTCGGCACCAATTTATGCACCCCGCAGTTCGCCGAAAACCCTCTTTAAACAAGTTTTTGCAACTATTATTAATATTATGTAAAAATTACGAATACTACTGCTGTTTACTGCAAAAATGTGCGAATTTTTCTCTATCGTTAGCAAGATCAGCATTCTAAATTCCTGTCTACTAACTTATCTTTTTGTTTTACAATCCTTGTCTTACAAGATTTCACGCATATTTCTTCACAGAAAGAGACAGCCAAGGTGGGGGTCGGCAGGAAACAGGAGTTGTCCGGTAAACAATATAATGCAACAACGGAGGACAGCCCTGTCACTTCTTTTCCTGAACTCTGCACGTAGTTTAACATCGAATTTTTATTTTATTTACTACTATCACTGTACTCTCTCTCTGTCTAATCAAAGAGAAGTAAGAGAACGGGACAAAACACGCTTGGGCCGGACCACTCCATGCCGAGGCTTAATGAAGACACAGAAAACCTGGAAAAAAAAGATATTTTTGTTTTGGTAATTTTCACCGAAACTTTATAGCGAAGAAGGAGCCACTGAATGAAAATAGTGCTTAGTTGATCCAGCTGAAGCCATTATACTCTCTCTGAAGGGACTTTCTTTAATAGTGAAGTTTCTCGAAACCATTGTAGTTGGGTAATTTTTGATAACAGTTGAAACAGAAAAAATTAAATAAAGTAATTAAAAAACAGTGGCTTTACGTCCATGAATCTTTCTCTTCTATATATATTTAATATTTGTTGTAATCTAGCAGTAAAAGTAGATGTATAGCCAGGGACAAGTTTTCAAAATAAAAAAAAACTCAAAAAAACTGCATCTGCAATATATATAACAGTTTTACTCTCTGATCGCCAAAAGCTAGAATCCCACTCAACTCAACTTTTATAATTCGTTATTGCGACATATTATTATAGTTTTGTTTTGTTTTATTTTTTTTTTTCATTTGGGAATTTTCTAATCTTTTATCAACATTAGTTTTTATCCTTCCATTTCGAAAACAGAATCTACATTTATCTGAAAATAAATCAATCAATCATCCATTCAAACATTATTCTTTTTTAGTATTTGACTGATTTGTGAATTTGTTCTAAGTATAGAATAAAGAAGACCAAGAAAATAAAAAAGTTCATCTGTTTTTGGAAGCAAGTAATTTTTTTTTAAATACTGAAACCAACTGATCTCATTTAATCAAGATTCGATACACCTTTTTAAACTTCGGGAGACTGCAAAAGAAGATACTAATATGGATTATAACAAAAGATCATCTGTTTCGACAGTGCCGAACTCAGCACCCTTGAAAGTTGGATTTATAGGATTATCTCACCAGAAAGGATGGGCCGTAAAGACTCACTATCCTGCAATTTTACAATTATCATCACAATATCAAATTACTGCCCTGTATAATCCTCAATTAGAAGTAGCATTAGAGACTATTAAAGAACTTAAATTGGCTAATGCAACTGCATTTCCAACTTTAGAATCATTTGCCTCTACAGCTATAGTTGATATGATTGTGATATCCATTCAAACGTCATATCATTATTCTGTTATCTTACCATTATTAGAATACTCAAAGAGTAACCCAAATTTAAAATATTTGTTTTTAGAATGGGCTATGGCTTGTAACCTTGATCAAGCCGAACAAATATATAAAGCAGCCGCGGCTCGTGGATTACAAACTATAGTTTCATTACAAGGACGTAAATCACCTTATATTTTACGTGCTAAAGAATTAATCTCACAGGGACATATTGGTGAAATAAATTCAATTGAATTGACAGGAAATGGTGGTTGGTACGGTTATGATAGACCCATGAAATCACCAAATTATATTTATGAAATGGGGAATGGGAATGATTTAGTGACAAATACATTTGGTCATACAATAGATATTTTACAATATATGACAGGATCTTATTTTAGTAAAATTAATAGTATGGTATTTAATAATATCCCAGAACAAGATATTATTGATGATCATGGTCAAAAGACTGGACAGAAAGTGAAAAAAAGTGTACCCGATCATTTATTATTTCAAGGTACACTAATGAGAGGTAATGTACCTGTATCTTGTAGCATTAAAGGTGGTAAACCGACAAAAAAATTTACTAAAAATTTAGTTATTGATATTCATGGAACAAAAGGTGATGTTAAATTAGAAGGTGATGCAGGTTTTGCAGAAATTTCAAATCTTGTGTTGTATTATAGTGGTATCAGAGCCAACGATGTACCGGTTCCTAATAATAATAAATACCCGACGGAACCAAAAAATGATATGAATATGTATGATGCAGGAAAGGAAATTATGGAAGTTTATCATTTAACAAACTATAATGCTGTATTAGGTAACATCTTTCGACTTTATGAAAGTATAGCCGATTTCCATTATAACACAAAAAAGATTCCAAGTTTACCTTCTCAATTCTTATTACAAGGTTTTGAATTCGAAGGTTTCCCAACTTTTATGGACGCATTAATAATACACAGATTAGTTGACAGTGTATATCAAAGTCATCTGTTAGGTTCAACACTGGACGTAACAAATATATCACAATTACCAAATTTTAATTCATAGAGATCTTAAGATCCACTAACTAACGAAACAAGAAAATAAGAAAGGCAGTCACCATACGAGAATATATCTCATTTTAATAATATACCACTTAATTAATTTTTTTAAAACATAAATCCTTCACAACAACTGGGTATTAGAATTACCCTAATTTGTAATGTTTGTGTACTTACGTAATGCTAATGATAATAAATACAATTATAAACAGTAAATGAAATGTCATTGAGCTTTAGATGTAGCTAATTCTAATCTCATTTATAGCCTTGGTAACATCTTCATGGGTTAAGTTACCATCGGATATCTTTTTGCAGATAACATTCTGCTCCAAAATTGGTAAGTTTTGGTATGTTTCACAAAGATCTCCGTCAATGATGTTTCTAACAGGTGTGTAGTAACTCCTGTATGTACTATGGTCTCTTCCAACCAGTGAATAGCGACCTTCAAGACTTTGTTCTTTATTTTTTCTCTCCTTTAGAAGTTGTATGTCTTCATTATTTAATGTACTAAACTCTGCAGAGTTTTCATCCTTTTCATTCGAATTCATGAAATTTGTCATGTTCATTTCTAAATCTGCAATATTATCTTCTATTTTTTTTAACAATACAACTTCATTTTTAGAAATTATGGGAACAAGTATACCGATGGTACCTTGTAACCCTGTATAAACAATACAATCTCTTCCTGAGAGATGGATGTTTGTGATAACAAAAATATTTAAAATGATGTCATTAACATAATAATGATTCAGTAACTGAAACTTATATGGGGTCTCCATCAGATTTCCACTCAATCTTTTATCCTTAGTGTTTGTGAGTATAGAAGCTGTATCATCATTCTGTGCTTCTTCGGGTATTCTAAGCATCCAAATATTTCCAAATCTATCACCCCCAATTACTGAGTATGGATCTAAAAATTTAATTGTGGTGACATGTCTCTTTGTTATATCACTAACTAAAGGTACAAACTGGTTTTCATGTAATTGATAGATGGTTACCGATTCATGTATGTCAGCTACAGCTATTCTTTTATTCTCCCAGTTAACTAGCTTAACAATCCTCGTTGTCGATGGTGTTGTGTTGCTGATCGATTTCTTTAAAAGTTGTTTTTTACCTAAAGCATATGATACTAATTTAGCATGAACTGGGACTAGCAACATATTTTTGAATTCACAAATTGTGTTAATTCGATCTTCTACGTCGGTTTCGTGTAACAATTGAATTTTGAAGGAAGATTTTTTAATCAAAATTTCCAAAGTCAATAGTTTGTTATTTTGGGATGAAATAATTAAGTGACTATTATTTCCTTTAGAGAAATTAATCAAATTTGCAGTTACACAGGTTGTATTTGGAAGAATTTGAAAGTTTCGTCTGGTACCATCTTCTTCAACAAACTCTAAGAACCTCTTATCTGAATCGGTTATAGATATTCTGCATTGTTCCTTGTTATCAATTGAGTTATCAATAAATATAACATAAGAATTGAATGGCAAAGTGCATTTGTTTCTATATTTTTGAATATCAACATGTGATTCTTCATCGTCAGAATCAGACTCAGAATCATCTTCTTGGGATTCAGTATCTTTTTGTTCATTCTCATTATTATCTAGTGATAAAGGTATCTCTTCTATATTAAACCATTTATCATTAAAGATAAAATTTTTGAATTGTCCAATAATTAATTTACCTGTTGTAGAAATAGCACAACAACCATTAAATTTCAAAGTTTCTGTTGTAATCTCTGAAATTTTAAATAAAGATTTAATTTCCTTTGGGAAGGAAACGGGTCTCATGTAAAAACTGTTATTATGTTGATAGCTTGCCCAAGTAGAGTCAGATGTAGCTAATACACACGGTGATAATTCATGTTCCTTTTCCTCATCTTTTTCATCATTTGAATTTGAATTTGAATTCTTAGCTTCTTCTTGATCATTTGTCTCACTCTCATCCTCATGCTCTTCTTCCTCTTCTTCTTCTTCATCGCTATCAGTTAATGACAATGCAGTTCTCTTAATTACTGATAAAGTTACTCTTTTGACACCTAAATATTTATTCCAGACATCTGTTATTTCACCAGTGGAAGCTTGTTTCCCTCCCATGTCCATAATTCTTGATCTAGTATAGACACCATTATTTAATCCTGCATGAATGAAACCTGGTGTGTATAAGATAGTGTTTGCAATATCTGTTAATTTTTGGAAAGAAACAATTTCCAAAAAATTGTCATCTTCATCATCGTCACCACTAGTTGAGGTTTCATGACTTAAGGATACAACATTAATCATTTTATCATCGGTTGCAACAATTAAGAATTTACAACGTTCTAAAGGTTTCTTAGGATTATAATACATTGCTAGACTAATGATTCTAGTTGAGATTGATAATCTTTTTGTAGATTCAATTAAAGTTCCATTATCGTGAATCTCTAAATAAACTATATCATTATTTGATAAAGCAAGAACCAATTGAGTTGGGGTAGAATCTGCTGCTACAATTGTAATACCTGCAGGTGGGAACCAATTTAATTTTTGTTTATAATTATCTTTAGTTGATATTTGAATGCATCTATTATTACAAACTTGAATAATAGTACTAGATAACATAGAATTCATATGAATTGTTTTATCATTTTTCAATAACAGAGTATCTTTATTTGGTAGTTTTAAATCTTTAATTGAATCATTTTCAATTTGTAAGAAAGTTGTTGTATTTTCAAATCCTAATACTAATAAATGATGATAATTATCCTTTATTGTATCATATTTTAAAGTCCAAATATTTTGTGGATTTGGGGGTAAATTTGATGATGTAAGATTAATAAAATTAATTGAACTTGAAAGAACACGCAGAGAAGAATCAGTTGATCTTGTTAAAATATCAGTTGATGATGATGATAATAATGAAGTGTCAATTAATGGGTTTAAAGTCTTTAAAGTATCAATAAGAGATAAATTAATTAAGGATTCATGTCTTTTGAATGATCTTTCTAATTGAAATTTTTCTGAACCTAATGAATTAAATTGAAATAGCCAATTGTCATTAAATTCAGAATTTGCAAACATATAACCATTACTAAAAATGTGTAAAGAATTTACGAGTGGAATTGTATCAAAATATGATATTGATACTTGTAAAATGTTTGTTGGTGTTGATGATAAAGATTCCTTTTTATTGTTATTATTATTATTATCATTTAAATTTTTATGAAATTGTAATTTTAATAAATCACCTTTATTTGTTTGTAATAAAATGAAAAAAGTTTTATTCTTAATAATTTGTATATCAGCTGCAATAATATTTATTGAACTATTATCATTATTTGAATGTGGTAAAGGTATTTCAATAGTATAAATTCCATTTAAATCTTTAATAATTAAATGATTTGTAAAACCAATCAATACAAAAGGATTTGTAAATTCATCAAAAGTTTCAATAATATTAAATTTTGATAAATCAGGTAAAGCTAATAAAAAATTTGGTTCTCTTTTATTAAATGGGTAAGATTTTCTTTTAATAATATGATTAAGATTTAAATCTAACGAATAAAATATTAAATTTGGTATTGGTGAAAATTCTAATGTTGCAAATGTTGGATTATCATAGAGTTGACTTGAACATGCGACAATATCTAATGTAATTGAATTTGGTCTAATAACTTCAATAGGTGAAGATAAGAAATTATCTTGATCTTTATTAATTGTATACATATAACCAAATTTCTCTAAAGATGAAATAAATATACATCTACCTAATGGATCTATTGCACTTAAAGATAATGGACTAGTTCTTCTAATAGAAGATCTAGTTAACGGTTCAATTGATATTGGTTTTAATGAATTACTAATTGAATCATATTGTAAAACGGTAACATTCCCAGAGTCTGATAATAGTAATATATTATTAGTACTATTTTTAGTATTATTTGGAATTGTACCAATTGAAGTTATTGTACTATCAATTTTATTAATATTAACAATTGGATAATTTAAATTTCCTTGGGATAAATCATAAATTTCGATTGAATTTTCTGTTGCTAAACATAATTGATTACTATTTGGTATTGTAAAACTTCCTGAACATGAATATGTATAATTTGATTGTTTACGTAATGTAAGGTTATATAAATATGGTTCACTATCTTTAATAATCATTTCTTAAAAGATATTTATCTTCTTTTCTGATCTAAATATATTTATGTATCAGTAATATTCAAAATAGCCGCCAACCTTTACTAAAGAAAAAAAGATATTGTGTTAACTTTCTCATTCTTATTTGAGTGAATGGCTCCCCTCCCTTCCCGACCACCCCATCGGATTCGCTTTCTTGGTTCACAAATGAAATATTATAACGCTACAAACAATATATCTATTTGTTTGTTTTTTTGGCTTGACAGGTTTTCAAATTCAAAAATTATATGCACACCCATACACCACCCTACAACCTAGTCCGGGTGATCATTCACGTGACCAGGCAGATCAACATCGGTTGCTTTTTTTTCCCAGTATGTATGTACACACACACACACACACACCTTGGGTGCTTTACTAATGCTTGAGCGAGGCAAAAAACTAACGTACACAATCTACTTTCAATTAATCAATTCTTTTCTTACTAACAAACATTCACTAGGCTGCTGAAAAGCATCCTTACTAATAATTTCCGTCATTACTAATAAAAATAAAAAATTGAGAGACCAATCCACGGGATCATGTCGCCTTGCACATCTATCTATCTATCTGTGTGTATGTGTGTGTGTGTGTCAATCCAATGAGAATATTTACCCAGATGAAGTTTCTTTCACACCACAAACTGCACAGATGGTATGGATATGTATTATGAGCAGCCACATGTATACCAGTACAAACACCGCACCCCGCAATATTCCATCAACTTCTTCTCACTTCTTTTTTCTCAAAATTTTCGCCCACTCTTTTTCCCCTTTCTGCTGATTCTTCACCCCACCCCGCAAACAAAAAGGACTGTAGAGAAATCTCAGCAGCACGCAAGTCGACGAACCGCACAGTTGCAACCGCTACGTAAGAAAACCACTCCTGGAGCGACAGAAGCCGGGCAGAGAAAGAACAAAAAAATAAAATAAAAGTGGCGGGAAGGACAACTCACTCACCCAGGCAAATTCAGAAAATACAGAGAACCGTCTCTTACGCGGTATAAAATCGAAATATTTTAGTCTGTGTGTGTGTATTGTTACTCGGAGGGAGGGGGGCAGGGATTCTTTCTCTCTTTGTCTCTCTCTCTCTCCACCCTTCCTCCCCCCGCCGTTACCTGAAAGAAAGTGAATTTGTCTGTGTTGTCGCCTCTGCTTAACACAAGAAAATTGAGCTGTAACCGGAACTGAACTGAGCTGAATTGAACTGAACTGAACTGAACTGGAAAAAAAAAATTTGCCACCCCTGCCCCACCATAGTATTATGTAAAACTTTAAACTAAAACTTAACACATTTTATTATCTACATGTATTCTTTTCCTTTTTTTCACTTGAAATTTATATGATAGGAAAGGAAAAAAAATATATAAAAAGATTTCATTAACATACAAATATAAATACTACTTCCATTTATTATTTAATGGATTTTTAGTTTGTTTGGTTTGTTTTATATTTCCCTTTTTTGCCCAGTTCCCTTTTTTTTGGCTTTTGGCTTTCTCTATTTATTGATAAGCATATATAACTATATATAAGTTTTTCACTCAAAGAAAAGAACAAACAACTCATATATCTTCAATTACAAGATGGAAGTTTACGTTAGATTAAACGATTCTAGTGATAAGGATTATGCATTCCAATTCAGTCAAAATGATACTATTAACAATAAAGTTAGAAGTATTTTTACAACAGATTCACGTAAAATTGGCCAAAAGATTACATTATCTGATTTAATGGTAATTAGACCATCAATCTTTCATGAATATGAACCTGTTGAATATTATAAATCAAATCATCCAGGTTATATGACAGAAGGTGGTTGTCTACTATTCCATTTTAGTGCAGGTGACGATAAAAATTTAGAAAAATTAGACTATGATAAACCATTAATTGATCAAATGTGGCCAGGTCAATTAATTGTACCAAAATGGAAAAAATCAAAAAATTACGTTTCAATTTATGCTATGATTATCTTAGTTTGGTTATACACAGATTTACCTGATATTATTTCACCAACTCCAGGTCATTCTTTAACAAATACTTTATCAAAATTATTAATCCCAATTCTTGAAAATCAATTAGGTCAAAAAGTTATGGCCGCTAAATTAAGAGAAGAAATTGTACCAAATTATAATTCTGTTGGTGCTCAATGGGCTTTTTTCGCTTTACATGTTTTAAAAGTTTTATTTATTACATTTTTCTTCCATTTTGCTTTAGCTAATCCATTTTCATTTAATCCAATTAAATTATACAAAATTAGAAATGTTGATTTAAATCAAAAAAATGAAAAAATTAAAAATTTATTAGCTAATTTAGGTTGGATTGGTGCTAGAAGAGCAACTTATGACGATTATCAAACAAATTTTTATGACTATACAATTAAAAAATATGGTGGTGTTGTTCAAGCTTATAGAGCAGGTGCAATTAAAACAGCCGCAGCTCCTGGTTTTGTTTTAAATGCAGGTGAAGGTTTCCAATCTCCATTAGATGAAAGATTCACTGCTGATACTTTTAAAAGAATTGATCAAGAAAATCCAAAATTCATTCTAAGTGAAGAATATTTCATTGAATTAGAAAATAACTTAAAAGAATTATTAGATAATGCTGATGGTGACATTGGTAAAATGAATACTGAAATTAGAAGATTCAGAAGATATGGTATGTATGAACCAAGTGAAAAATTAAAACATTTAGTTGAAGTAAGAAAGGAAATCTACAAAAAGGACAAAGAAATCGAAGAAGGCAAGAAAACTGCAAACAAAAAGAAAGATTAATCATCAGAAAAGATTATATTTCTTTATTACATCTTATTCTTGTGTTTTTTATGTTGTTATAGAAGGTTCGTTGTCGTTGTGAAAAAACTATATTTTATTTTTTGTTTTTCTCTCCCTTTAATTTCTAATACTTACTACATGAATTCTTCTATTATTATTTTTTTTTTGCTTCATCTACCGACTTCACAGAAATTTATTAGCAATGATTCAGCCTTCTGTATCACCTTTTTTTTGGTTTTGTTTTCATCTCCAATTGTATCTTCTATATGAATCAACAGTATGACATTATTGATGTTATATCGAGAGATTCATTAACCATTTTTTTTTATTTTATTTCATTCATGTGGTAAGTCCCCCTCCCCCCCCCTCTATATTTTTATATTACTTTTTTTTCTTTCATATCATTTTATATTTCATATATTTATATATAAACTTTTAACGATTATACGTCTACTAATATCTTCTTCTTTATTATTTGTTTGTTAAAAGAGAGTCTTGTTATTTTATTTGTAATAATAACTAGGCACACTATATAATGTATCAGGTGTCTTGATAAAACTAATTTTACCTAATTCATCATTAATGTAATTGTTTTGCTGATTATAATATGATATCGTTTTCATATCCCAATATTCTGAATCATCCTCTGATTCAATAGATTCTAATAGATCACTTTGTGAATAGAATTGTTTATATTTATATTTCTCAATTAAATATTCTAAATTATAACTAATCGTAACAGAAATATATTCTCTTACGGTTTTAAATTGAGAATCTCTTTGAAATCGATAACAAACATATATGGAACCACCAATTGCAATAGAAAATTTTAAAAATAATAACATCCAAATTAAAAACGAAACCAACATAAAGGATAACATGACTGCTTCTTCATGATTTGTCTTAGCAATGATTCGAAGTCTACTTATGATGCCATGGACGTCATAAACTTGATTTAAATTATTCGAATCGTTACTATTATTAGTACTACCACTATTATTTGCAATAGTAGAATTATCAGATGCTGCAGCTAATACAGACCATAATGTCAGTCCATTAATTACCTGTCTTGGTGAATCAGTAAAAATTAATCTTATGCAATCTTTAAGTTCAAAAAAACAGAAAAAAGTCAGTTTTTGGAATGTTCCACTTGGTGTCACTTTATCAAATAAACAAAATATTCGATAATCTCCAAGACAATATAAAGTCCTAGCAAAATTATTAATATACCCATAACATACATTTCGACTCTGGTAAACTCGCAAACCATGTATTCCTTCCCATAGTAATAATAATATTGAAAATATTATACACCCACTAAATAACCATTTTGAGATCTTAAATGGTAAATACGGTTGGATATATTCATTGGACCATGTATTGAAAGCTAATAGCTTAATACATGTATACACATCTGAAAATAAATGAATGATTTTCAATAATGTCATCCCCCATACTGATATTATATAAATTATCAATGTTTTTTTATTCTTTTTTTGAAATAAAGATAGATCTAATTCATTAAATAATTGATCATTAATATCGGTAGCTTCTATTTTATGTTTAAAGCCAAAAACTTGCCACCACATCACATATCTTTTAACTGTAATAACTCTGGGTTCTTTCCAATACCATCATCCAAGTCATTAGTTAGTTCACACCAACAATCTTTTGTTTTTTATATGTGTTCCCCTTTCCAATTTAATTATTAATAAAGCTATTTTTGATCCCATCGCCCTTCTCAAACCTGAAACATCTCTGAAACAGAATATGGCCAGAACAAGCTCCTTGCACATTTTTTTCAATTTGATCAGTATAATAATCCCAGCTGGGGAAATTCGACTCGTACATGTTAATGTATAGTTATTTCGCTGATGAAGACCATCAGATCGTTTTAGTATACTTCCTAAGGTTTATTGACAGTATTTGTCAAAGTATTGAACTCTACGTCATTTTAAACAGCCCTCTATTGGACTCTACGAAAGAGTAACTGATTTCATTATACAATCTTTTTATATATCTTGCTCCTTATAATTTAAATAGAATACAGCCAGAATTTTATATAATTTAACTGTGTGTTTATATCTTACTTCCTAACGTTGTCGTCAAACCTTCAAAAATATCTTCACTGCTGCCGATATTTACTTTATTTTTCAGTATGTGATGAATTAGTGAAGCCTTCAAAATATCATCGAAAATGAAAAATAAATCATACTACGGTATATTTTTAAAAGGAACATACCTCTTAGTAGTGAATAATATGTTTCTTTGTAACGAATCAAATAGCATTCATAGACGTACAATATACGGCAAATAGGATGACAGATATAATACTGATACATCAGAATGCTTTAGCTGGATTAGATCCAGCTTTCATCAAGGAGAATCCGGAATTTGTTGCAGCCTATAGCAATATTAATTCAAAGGATATCGAAGCATTGAATACAATATTGAAAGCTGTGGATCAATTATTAAAAAGATATTCAACACCAAATGATAAAATTAAGAATGCTGTGGAAATAATATTTAGACAAATCCTCTCGAGGTATCCTTTACTGTTTGGTTATTGGAAACGATATACCGCTATTGAGTATCAATTTCACGATCTGGAGACATCATTGAAAACATTAGAAAATGCAACAGAATCCTTTCCGCATAGTATAGACCTATGGTGTGATTATTTAAGGGTACTGACCGTTAACTATCCAAAGGAAACCGAATTAATAAAAACTAAAATAAATAAGGCCAAACAACTTATTGGTTCACAATTTTATTCTCATCCTTTTTGGGATTTAATTCTAGATTATCTTTTAAAAACGGAATCAGATGTTATAGATCTATATTATGAAATAATACGTATTCCACTCCATCAGTATGCTAAATATATTAGTTCATTTAAAAAACTTTTATCAGAAAGAAGACTTAACGACGATATTAAGAAAGTGGATGCGATAGGGAAAGAAAATCAAATAATGGTAAACCAAATATGGCGTTTTGAAAGTTTGATAAAACAAAATTATTTTAACTTGACGCCCTTGCCATCGTTAGAGATTGATAATTGGATAAATTATCTCAACTTCCTAACTACAAAACATTCTGATAAGCCACAACTCATTAGATCAGTATTTCAAAGGAGTCTTATCCCATGTTGCTTTGTTGAAAAGATATGGGTAAAATATTTAACCTGGAATCAATCTATCAATACGAAACAGAACCTATCGGAACTTCATGATCTTGTTCAGTTATATGAAAAGGGTTGCAGAGTGTTACCTCAAACAGCGCATGAATTCCGTTGGATGTTTGTTGATGTTCTAGAAAAGAAATATACATCTTGTGAAAAGTCCGGGAGGACTCTTCTGTTCACATCATTTTGCAAATGTATTAAAAATATGATTGAGATATGGCCTTATAGACAGGACCAAATAAAATCTATGGAAACCTACTTGAGAATGTTAAAAATATCTAAATACTATTCTGCCCTAGATACACCTTCAAAAGAACTTTTATCACAGCAAGCTGCGTATACCAAATATCTGGAGACTAGCATTAATAATTATATTTCAGATAGAGTGGACCATTCAATTGTACTAGAAGACCTAATAAATGACCGTAATTTAGACGTTATTGTCGTAGAACTCATTAGAACGACGTGGTTAGTTCTTAAGAATACGTTACAAACAAGAAAATACTTTAACCATTTTAGTAAGCACCATACACTAAGAACATCTGTGGAGTTTTGGGCTATATACTATAAATTTGAAAAATCAACTAAGAATTTTGTTAGATTGAATAGTTTTGTTAGTGAATTAGGTACAAATTTACTATTACCAACCTCTTTCATTAATGATATAATAAATGATTATAAAATATTTTATTTATTAAATTCAAATATTACTGAATACCAAACAGGTAAAGTTGGGCCAAACTCATCCCATGATTTAGATTCTAGCGTCATACTAGATCCTATAATTGAAATAGGTTTCAAAATTAATAATCCGAAATGGACCCGAAGGGCACCAAATAGTGGTAGGATCAACAAAACAGATGCGTATAAGAGTCTACAATATAAGGAAAACGGTCACCCAGGTATAGTCTCAGACACTCCCCAGATAACAAATACTATAATAGACCGCCAATCAAAATCTTTTAAAAATACTTTACCAGGATTACCGACGTTTAGGAACCTTGAGAAGATTAACCAAACAGGTAATTACAGAGACTATTATTCAGAAGATATCTTGAATTCCAAGCAATAGGAAGCAAAATTTATGTACGTAAATAACTTCTTTAATATTTCAATTCTATAGTCATTTTTTTAAAATATCAATAGTATGGATATCTGGATTTGATCTTATTCAGCTGCGATAACTACTTCACTAATTCCGTTTGAGATTGGTCACCCTCCATTACTACACCTTTTGTGTCATCTTCAACTGTTGTTGTCTTCTTCGGAAGGTGGCATGTGCTTAACCACTGGTCAAACTTACTCTCCAAGTTCTCCACCAATTTGTCATTGGACAAGTCTGCAGCATCCATTAATGGGTTACATTTAACTCTTATATATATTCTTTTTACCATTTCAAATACTGAATTTACCTTTTTTTCGTCAGATTTTAGCTTCAATGTATCAAACCCAATGATTATCTTTAGACCAGTTGGTTTAATCAACATACCATATACGGATACTCCCTCTACATCAAAAAGTGATTTAATTGCAAAATGGTTCTCTAAGGTAGACCATTGAAATAATTGACTATCAAAGTAATCTAAAGCAATGTTGGCAAATGTGTTGTACTGGAGAACTTTATTAACATCTTCAGCTTCATTGTGTGGAACGTAAACCAAAATAGGTTTATTATCGTCTGCTATCAGCGCTACAAAGCTTGGTACTATATTATCCATGGTTTCTAACTATTGTGATGAGTGTCAAGATACACGATTGCTAAGTTGTAGTTGTTTATCTTGCTGAATTGATCTCTATTTTAAAACACCACCAACCAATTTTTGCTATTTCTTTATTTCAAATATTCACGAATATAATTTAAAATTAATTTTCAGCCCGCCTTAGTAGATGGGCTTCCATACCTATAAAGCCTATAAAGTACACAACATGATAGAAAGTATTAACAATACTGATAAAGGACGAGTACTACACAGTAATTTATTCCAATAGTCGTTATTAATATGCATATTAGTATCTTGGAAATAAAGTATCTTTGTCGTTATGTGCAAAATTAAGCTATTTATGTTTTGAGTGTTTCATTTCGTAGGAATCAGTTGGATTAATCTCAAAAACAAGACTAGACTTGGTACAAAGTTATAACGAATAATATGTAAAAAATAAAATAGTTTATTAATGGTATGACATCGTGTTCTTAAAAGTAATTGTATTGTTCTTTAAAAATATTGAAGGTTTTTTTAACTAGTTTCAATATCACTTTCATTTTTTTGTTTACGTTTAGTTACCTCTTGACGTATTTCAGGAACAGATCCAAACTTATATAAAAAATTTAAGAATGAAAATTATGACAATGAAAATATAAGTTTTCTTATTATTGTAAATATACATGGTTATTTGATATATGAGAGCTATAAGAACTACTATGTGAAACTAAAAGATATATAAAAATAGCCACTACGATATAGAATATTATTCCTAACCAACTTCTCAAAGCCCAGACTCTAGAAAACTTTCTCAATTCATCATGGGAGGAGATTATATTATTCGAGAGTTGAAGTAGATAATCGTACCTATACTCAGCCAACTCCTTATTTGAATCAACGCTAAACAAAGTTTCGGAACAAGACACAACAGGTTCTTTCTCGTTTGATGAACATTGATCCTGTGGTACCAAACTCATTCCTCTTAAAAATATTTCTTCTCTCTCAAGAAAGATCTCATCATTCAATTGGAGTTCAGTTTTCTTCCTTTGCTGTTCTTTGTTGAATAATGTTGGTAGCTCTGTCTCATCTATTTGGGTAGTATCAATCTCATGATCTAGAATGTATTGTGAATATATATAATAGATAATATTTAATATCCATACAATTGGCACTATAAATCCAATGAAAAAACTATGTTTTATCTTTTTTTTATGAATAAAAATATGTTGGCATGAAGTACAATCACATAACGGCTCTTTCACTGACCTTGGGAATAAAGTAGAATCAATGATATTGTTACTCAAAATAGAGTCTGGTTCCGAATGCATTGAGGATAATTCGTCTCTTAATCTTCGGGATCATTGGAAACAATAAGTGCCTATCCGGATAAGAATAAGGTATACACTTTACTTGTTCTTTTATATTAAACTTTACTTCTTACATTTTCAAATATTGCCCAATTTTAAATGAAACATCTATGTTACTGCATGTTTAATATTTTTTAGAGGCATCGTGTAATTTACCGAAAAGGGTAAATACATATCTTAAGGCGATAAAAATGTAAAACAATAAAAAAGGAATTTCTCTAGAATGTAATAAAACACGATTTTTGAATATTGGTGTTTGTTTTTCTCTACAATTACGAAATATAGAGACATCCATATTTGAATCAGGTCAGTTTCGCCATACCATGAATGACTTATTCATTATCAGTGACAGTTCGTTCATTTAATGAAGGGACGACAAAAAGAATTATTCAACAAAAAGGAATCACCTTCAACAGGGAATATGATGCCAAATAGGAACTGTAGTGAGTTAGAATAGAGTTGAAGTCTATGTTAATAATGTTATTGTAGTGGCAAGAAAGAAATGCACATTTTGCATGGAACTACCAGTCGTTTTTCTCCCCTAATCACTAAAATCTAAGAGCACAAAATATCATAATTAAGGAACTTTGGGTAATCATTCTTGCTTTTTTATTAATAGAAAAACAAAGCTGGTCATCTATTATGATATGACATGGTATGAGTTAAAACCAAGCTCCTTTTTCAATCCTTAACAAGATCATTTGAAAGAAGCTTTTTCTTAATTGAAAAGTAAATATTTCCAAAACGTCGATAAAAGTTATAGTAAAACAATAATCATTCATAAAAATAAAAATAACGTGGAAATCGGTATAGATCACATGAATCAACACGAAAGGGTCCAAAAAAAAGCTCGCACTCAGATTTGAACTAAGGACCAACAGATTTGCAATCTGCTGCGCTACCACTGCGCCATACGAGCAATTGTGAAATTCTAAAGAAAAAGTGGGTAACAAAAAGAGAGCGATATAAAGTCACGTGACTGGATATCAAAAACATTTATACTTATTTTATAGAGCATTTTGGGGATATCTCAGTGATTCTTATACATTACGAAAGAGAGGTTAATGGAACGTGTGCTGGTATGGACCGTATAATTTGAAAGGTTAACAGTTGAGTGATTGTGATGGTTTTTCTGTATTAAAAAATTCGACGTAGTTTGTATTGACTACGGTAGTTAGTCAAATGATTACTGAAATACGAACTCATTGGGGCAACGTCATGGTCCGCCACATATATATGGGAAGTTTAAGGTATTCTTCTACAAAGCTATTGTGCTCTTTTTTTCGAAACTTATATTATTGTTATGAAGTATATTAAAATTTCTTTCAATTATACACAAAATGATGATGATTGTAATGCATTATCAAGAGACAAAAGGAACTGTTATAGTAGTATTCAGCGAACAATGAATAATGTTTACTATAATCAACATACGGGGCTATAAAGGCCTAAAACTGTCTTTAATGCCATTATACCAACAAGATTTGGAAAAAAAACCCAAAAATAAAGTAAGGAAGGGTTCAAGTTTTACATTAAAAACAACAACGAAATATGTATGAAGCCATCGGGGGGGGGGGCGGAGTCAATGTACATTAACTCCACTTCAAGACTAAACACTATTTCCGAATATTAATTGAAATTGTTAAAGAAGCTCCACGCTGAACGGCGGAAATAGCGATACTGCCCGTTATCGAAACAGATGAGCCGCACAAAGCAATTCACGAAACTTCTGTACGTGAAGTTCACAAGAGTTTAATAAAAAATAGTGCCTTAGAGCTGCATTAATTAGCCAAAAACATAGTGAAAGAGTAAAATTCTTGGCAAGTTCACGAAATCACTATTGAAAAAACACTTTCAACAGAACCCAAACGCGTAACATTTTTCACAGTAACCAACATATAAGGAGGCGTCTCGTCAATTCTCAATAGTCAACTCTCCCCATTCATTGCCCTTTTGTTTAACCTCATCTATTGCTTCATCATCTTTTACGCCTCGTTTTGCTCATTAAGCAAGAAAATAGACAAAAATCTGTACACAGATCCTCCGCCTTCACTCAACAGAGCCAAGTGAGAGGAACATTTTCGAGGCTTCCTTCCATCTCACCGCCCACAGAAATACGCGTAGTAACCTACTTTCTCTGTAAAAAAAAAAGCAACGGAAGTATTATCATAGCAGCAACAGCAATAACAACCGTTTGGACACAGAAAGAAACCTACAGAGAGAGAGCAAGACTGTCAATAAACTTACCGCAAAGATGAAATTATTGTATCACATAATCATCACAATAAAAAAGATATTAATAATAACAAGAGGAAGTCGATTACTAACTAATTTTTTTTGCAAAAAGGAAAAAGGAAAATTTATTCACTCATTTACTCAATATTCTGTACAATGAAATAGATGCATACATTCGTTCATCCATTCATGGTAAAGTCCTTTCTTACATTTCCCTATTATTACAGTCCTGCCGAAACTTTACTGCTTTCTTTTTAATTCATTACGGCTTAAATTACTTTTTTCACTTCTTTATTTATAAAAATAAATATTTCAATCTTTAACTCTTCTTATATATATATATATATATATATATATATGTTGTTACTCGACTATTGTAGTTTAATATTCGAAGAACGTTTACTAAGATACAACATAGAGCAACATACAATAAGATAGTAATTGCTTTATTTTATTTTGTTTACTTATTTTTTTAAAGGAGCAGATAAAAAAAAAAGAAATAGTTTGTGTACATTTAATTTTCTGTGCTTTTGAAATTTACTATCGTAATCTTCAATAAACAAACAAACATGCAATTAACCCAATCTTATGGTTTATTAGCTGCTGCATCAGCTTTATTTGCTACTAGTGCATCTGCAACAAGGGCATACGAAGAACTTGCTTTCGGCAATGTTGGTTTTGCTGGTACCTATTTCCCAGTAAAGAAACTTTCCGATGTCACAAGTGAAAGTAAATGTACTTGTGAGAGAGGTACCGCTACTTGGTTCTCTGGAACCAACGCCCCATTGGCTGACCATCTATCTGTTCATTTCCGTGGTCCTTTAAGTTTATCTAAATTTGCTTATTATACTTCTTCATCCTTTGTTATTGGTAACAGTGGTAATTCTTCAGATTGGACTCGTGATGCTTACTATGATGCATCTTCTCAAACAAGTGAAAATGTAACCTTTTTAACCAAAGCAGGTACCAATTCTCCATGTCTAGGTAATGCTTTATCTTATGCTTCAAGTAATGGTACTGGTTACGCCTCTGAATCTACAATTTTAGGTTCTGATAATTATATTAGTTCTGATGATGAATTTACTATTTTCTCTAACACAGCTTGTCCAAGTTCTGGTTATAGTAAAGGTTGTGGTGTTTACAGAGATGATATTCCAGCTTATTATGGTTTCGGTGGTACTACAAAGATGTTCTTATTTGAATTTGAAATGCCAACTGAAAAAGAATCCAACAGTTCTTCTATCGAATATTATGATATGCCTGCTATTTGGTTATTGAACGATCATATTCCAAGAACTTCTCAATACCCAACAAACACTAACTGTTCTTGTTGGTCCAGTGGATGTGGTGAATTTGATATATTTGAAGTTATGAATGGTACTGAAAGAAACCATTTATATTCTACTTTCCATACTTTCCAAGGTATTGAAGATTTAGGTACTGGTATTCAATCCGAAGGTTACATTACTAGAGATACAAGTAGTACTATGACTGGTGGTGTTATCTTTGATTCCAATGGGAACACTGTTGTCTTTGTCTCTAACTCTACCAGTTTTGATTCTACCGTAACTTACAACGATGTTAACAACTGGTTAAATAGTATTTCTAACTCAGAAACATTATCTACTAATTTGATGACTATTTCTGCTACTGCTCCAACAACAACTTCAAAATCTAATGCTGTTTCTTTCTCAAGATTATCTAACGATATTGTTTACTATCTATTCGCTTTAATTGCCGGTATCTTCCAAGTAATTATGTGAAAACATACAAGGAAAACAATAGATTGATAAACAACAACACCAAAATACAACATTAATTAGTATTCTTATTTAAAACCTTTTTACCTTACTCCCCTGTTCTTATGTATAGATAGATAATTTAAAAAAAAATCTCAACGACAAATTTTTAGAAATTTTTTGTAACGTTAACCTAGGTAGATTCATACGTATACATATATACTGTATGTTTACTTAAATATCTTATTTGTTTATATAATAATTTGTGAAAAACACACACATATCTAATCAAGATCAGAACCATGTTCACTGACGTTGACAATGAACTCGTAAACAAACGCAATTGCAGATAAATGACCTTCCATGTCAATATGTTCATTGACAGAATGAACAGTTTCCATAATAGTTGGATCCATAATAGAACCAACAAATCTGTAAATGTTCTTGGTTAAATTCCAATAATATTTAGTATCGGTATTACCAGAGAATAAACCTGTTGTAACATAAATCTCTTTATTTTCTTCTGCAGTATTCTTAAAGACATTATTTTCAAAGACATCTTGAATAGTACCTGCAAGTAAATCCCATACTGGTCCTTCATTAGGTGATATTGGAGCTGGTTCTAATGGATTAATTGTTCTTAAATTGATGGATCCATTCTTAGTAGTTTTCTTTAATACAACACCATCAACTGAAACACCATAATCATATTTATCAGCAATTTCCAAAGCGTATTCAATATCTTTTTGAACAGTTTCTTTAACACTTGAATGTAAGATAACTCTATGATTAACCAAAAACTTTGTATCTTCAGGTAAAGCATTTGCTTTAACACCTCCATGAATAATATCAACAGCTAAAGTAGATCTAACTAAATCACGTAGAGTAGGTTGTTTTGATAAAAATTCATTAACATATTCTCTTGCTTTTTTACAATAAGGTGCGTTAATAATACTCTTTCTAACAGATTTTGGTAATTTAGTTGAATGTTCAGCAGCACATGTTAAAACACCATAAATTGGATTATCGACTCTAAATTCAGAAGCAAAAGGATTATTTTCTAATAAAGTAATTAATTCGGCTGCAATACCAATAGTAGTATGTGGTGGTGGAATAGAAGAATGACCACCATGACCTGAAATATTAATTTCAACATCAACATAACCTTTTTCACCATTAACTGGTGTGGCAACATAAACATTATCATCAACTTCCAAAATACCTGCACCTTCATCTAAAATAATTAATACACCGTCATCACCATAACGTTCATGAATGTGTGGACTTAAGAAACGTGCACCCCAAATACCACTTGCTTCTTCATCGAAACCAATTGATAGTAAAATTGTACGTTTTGGTATAAATCCATCTTCCAATAATTTTTCTAATGCTTCTAATTGAGCAATCATTAAATTTTTACAATCATTTGAACCTCTACCCCAAATTAAATCAGTTTCAGGCTCATAATGACCAGAAAATGGTGGATATTTCCAAGAATCCCAAGTTTCTTTATTAACTGGGACAACATCTTGATGTGACATCATCAAAATTGGTTTTAAATCAGAGGTTTCACCTTCCCAAGTATATAATAAACCAAATTGATTAATTTTTTCTAAAGTTAATTTCGAATGAACTAAAGGAAAAGTTTTTTCTAAGAAAGTATGCAAAATAACAAAGTTTGAATAAAATTCAGGATCTTTTAAAGGGTCTGGATTGACATCTTGAACTTCTGTTGAAATTTGAACAGCACCAGATAATCTTTCAATTGATGAAGCTTTATATAAAGGATCATTTAAAATAATACCAATTGATTTTTTAAAAGTTGGGATTAAAGGTTCAATCTTTGGACAACCTTTACTTATTGCTGAAAAATCCTCAATTTCATTTTTATTAACATTAGAAAAACTAATATAGTTAGTCACAATTAAAGAACCAAATAAAATTGTAGTCACCAAAGAAATTAATTTACGAAGTTTCCCATTGTAAGTCTTTGACCTTTGAGCTTCATAATCGTCAGTAGACAATTTCGAGTCTACAGTTGGTAAATGAATAGCCATCTTGATGATACCCTTGAAAATGAAATAAAAGCAAAAATTTGATGGATATGAAAAAACTCTCTTTTCTAGTTAGAAATCAGTATTGTACCAACAAAACGACCTGAATTAGCAGTATCTTCTAAATATCTACTCTTGATAACAGCAAAAAAATAATAGACAGAAAAAAAATATCTGTATCTATATTCAGAAACGACAAAAATCCAAGGAGTTCCTTTCTTATATATATATATATATAGATAAATATGAGATTTATATTTTTTTTTCAGATGTCACTGAGCAAAATTGATAAATATAAGTTGATAATATAATTAGTGAATGAAATAAAATTAGATAAGAACATCTCTTTGATAAAAGAAAAAGGGAAAAAGAGAGGTAGAAGAGATATGCAAGACGATAAATAATAGCAGGACACAACTTAATGAAAAAAAGCCAGAAATTATGACTGGATGTCTCTCATTTAAAAAACCGATATTATTAAGGGACAAACTGCAATAAAAAGGGTACAACAAGTGATTCTCCTTATCATATGTTGTTCTGTGTGTTGTAAGAACTTCCTCTTGCTTTGCACATTTCTTCCCTTTAAAAAATTTCCTAATTGCTAAATGAAGAGTAAAAACTGGGAAAATATCACAGTTTTCAGCCTAATCAGAGAAGCTCACACACATTGGAAAAGAGTGAAATCCGGAAACCTGTTTTTTCTTGTCTTTGTGTAAGAAGAAACATTCGCAGTTCCGCGCTGCACAACTGGTGAACAAGAGGAGGAAGAAGAAGCAAACGAGCGCATCAACTGCTGAACTAGACTGTAGCAAAGATGACCGGAGACGGTTCTCATCTCTCTATTCTTTATACACACACACATGTATATATTGCTATATTTTATTTGAACAGCTCGTATTGAATTACAATAAGCTGCATCTGTTTTTTTTTGGGGGGGGGAGGAGTTTAAGGTAACTGAAAGAGTCAAAGAAAAGCATTGTGTCAGTTGTAAGATACAAGTCATTTTGAGGTTAAACTACTATATAGTATTGTCTGTCCTCTTTTTATTATATTCATTTACCCTTATTGGACCTGAGGTAGATGGAATTAAACCTATAGTAAACTAATATAGAATAGAACTCCGTTCCTCTCTTCTTGTCTTACAACGTGTCATACTTGAAAATTCTAACCACCATGTGATTACACCCTCTCTGTTTTTCATTGGTATTACCATATTACAGTAATCTATGCACCTCTCTCATCTCTCTTATTACTTATCACGTTTGGGTGGTGCTACGCGTAAAAAAAAAAATAAAAATATTTCTATATTTTGACGAGAAACTATTGTATAAACATAGTTAACATATAGTACACGAATTTGTTAAAAAAGAAAATAAAGGTGGTAGTGGCGTGAATAAATAACTTAAAGGACCATTACTGTTAAAAACAAACAAACATACAAGTTGTTTTTATAAAGTCATATAGAACACATAAACTACTATTGTCCTATAAAAAAAGAACATTCAAATAAATTAAATTATAAAATAAAAAATGTCTAGTGAGACTCCAAGATTAAGTCCATCAGAAATCTCAAATACAACAGTCTCTATATTTAGACTAATTGCTCAAGTTGTCTCTCAACCGACACAATCTACATTGATATTAAAATCTCCAAATGATGCAAAGACTGAAGAAATGATAACGTTGAACAATGTTAAACTTACAGTAGCAGATAAAACATATGAAGTAGATCAATGGTATGAATTTATTTGTAGAGCAAGTGATTCAGGTGATATAGGGTTTTTGGTATTAGATTCGGTAAGTTGCCCATTAACTGAAAATGAATCAATGAGTATTAAAGGTGTTGTCGCATTACAAAATTTAGCTAAAAGATTCCCTGATCTATATTAATACCTTTTAAAAAATATATATATATATATATGACAAATATTTAATTATATCTTATATAAAATAATTTGATAGTTATAATTAAAAAACACACCCATATAGAATTATAATTTTATTTAATCAATTAAAAAAGTTATAAATAATATAAAATTAACGATTTAATTTCCTAACTGATAAAGTCTGTCTCTTTGATGGTGCATACCAACCACCATTATCAGATGGGAAAGGTGCAACAGATACATAATTAAAATCACTCTTAAAAGTATATGACCAACCGGGGGTAATCGTTGTCATTTGTTCTAATGATTTTGCAAGTGTTGAATAATATGTGACAGTACTTGTTGGATACTTATTTGACCAACTTGTCTTAGTTACTACTGAACCAGGTTGTAATTGCATTGGTGCAAATCTACTAATACCTGTTTGTAAAGTATATGGAATTGTAAAAGATCTACTATCAATTTTACCACCACCTTTCTTTGGTAAATTATAATCTGCTGAAGGTTCTGTTAATGCTGTAACAGTATTTGTACCAACGGCACCTGCCATATTTTGTAATAAAAATCTAGGACTATAATGAATAGCATAATTTGAACTATCAACTAATCCATTAATTTGGAGGAAAAATTGACCTGAACCAACAATAGAATCAGAAAAACTTATATTATAACTATAAATTGTTGAACCGTCATCAGCATTTATACTTTTAGTAAATTCAGTGGGACTTAAACTTGTCTCTATGGAACTTGGACAATCAAAATCTGAATTTGCACCTGAACAAAGTTTAATTTTAAATAATTTAAGATCTGCCATTTGTGGATAATCTGTATTATCTGACAGTGCAATAGACATAGAAATTTCACCATTCTTAGGTTTATATATGTCCCCTGCCTGAGGTTCATTAACTCCAATATCACCTAGAACAAATTTACTAAATTGTAATAAAAATGTTAATAATAATATAGAACGTGTCGTCATATTTCCTTTTATATATATATATATCTCTCTCTCTAAATACGTCTCAATAATTTTAAGAATAACTAATCTATCTTTATTTTAGACCTTCCTTTCAAAACTGTTGCAAATAATTATGGACTCTATAACATATATATGGTCATATAGCTTACAATAATGAATAAGTAAAATAACACTAACACCAAATAATTAAATTAGGAGTAACTAAAAGTGCACCATTTTAAGAACTAAAAAATGAACAGAAAATATTCTAGTTTTATTCTTAAGTAGCAACCCCCCCAGAATTACTCTAAAATAAACATCAGTTTTTTTCTCTCTTTCTAAAATCAGAATTATACAAAACAATTAGAAGTTATCCAAAAGTACTGTAATACTCTGATATTTACTAAAAACAACAAAATCTTTCCATGGGCTTTCTCTTATTGTCAAGCAGGATAGAGTAAGACACACGAATAAATATCTGTAAAATAACCTTTTCACTGTTTATATTTTGAAACAATTAATAACGTAACAATGATCCAATTAAGTAATTACACAATGTCTTTTTAAATTGCCAGCGTTCTTTTCTAACCGATATGCTTGTAATATGCAAAATCAAATATATCTATTTTCATACATTTTTGACAGGGAAATGGCCGTACAAGGGATCCATAAAAAGATGATTTTCGTTTTTTGCAATTTTTGGAAAATTTAAAAGAAACCCCACGAATATTCCTGTGAAGGTTTTTCTGAACTGCTGTGGTAACTTCTACTGTCAAAGAAGAAGGATGTTAAAATGAATGACAAAAAATGATAAACAAGAAGGAGAGCTATGCACGTTTATAGAGGAAATGTTTGTTTGAATTCCTTGTATACTAATATTAAGAAGTGAAGTTCAAGTAACGGAACTTTTCTGCAGGATATATGTAATTCAGTGCAGAAGGTAATTAATTTCTTGTAGGTATACCATTTATTACTGTTTTTTTATTGTTTTTAGAAGTGAAAATTTATTGTTTGTCAAATATAGTAAAATGTTAAGAAAGAATGCAGAACTAATTTCTTATTCTGTACTCGTGTTCTAATTAAGAAATATATTCATATATATACAAGTAAGTTTATTTCAATTATGTTTCTTTGAAAGAAAACAGTGTCTCTTCAAAAAAGTCTTCAAATAAAATTTATTTAGATAGATATCATGAATTACAGATCACTGCCACACCCTATTGACTAATGACAGTTTTGAGTGTATTATAATTCGTAAGAGTATTAACTGGGGCACCGTTTTATTTTCAATGAATCGATTTATAACCTCTTTGCAGAACAACGAAAAAACATACACAAATTGAATAAGAATAATTAAAAGAAATGACATTGACATTGATGGATATTGAATATTTTTTTGTTTTAAAAGTTTATGTTATATGGTTTAATTTATTTATTTTTAAAGAATTATACCTAAGGAAATTTATCTAAATTAATTCATTTTTCTCACTGATAAAGTTTGTCTCTTTGATGGTGCATACCAACCACCATTATCAGAAGGACATGCAGCTACAGTAGCATAATTATAGTCACTAGTGAATGTATAGGACCAACCAGGTGTAATGGTAGTCTTTTGTTGTAAAGTGTTTCTGGCACTGGTATAATATGTGACTGCGCTAGTTGGAAACTTAGTTGTCCAGGCAGTTTTCGTCACAGTACTATTTGGTTGCATTTGCATTGGAGCAAATCTACTGATACCAGTTTGTAAAGTATATGGAACTGTAAACGATCTAGAATCAATAGAGGTACCACCACCATTAGTTGGTAAAATATATAGTGCATCAGGTGGAGCAGTACCAGTATAAGTATTTGTACCAACGGCACCTGCCATATTTTTTAAAATAAATCTGGGACTATAATGAATAACATAATTATTACTATCAACTAATCCATTAATTTGAAAGAAAAATTGACCTGAACCAACAACTGAACTTGAAAATGTTGCATTATAACTATATATGATTGTGGTATCATCATCAGTACTAACAGTTTTGTTTAATGCAGCGGGACTTAATTTCTCTGTCACAGAATATGGACAATTCATAGCAGTGTTTGAACCTGTACAAAGTTTAATCTTAAATAATGAGATATCATTAATTTCAGGATAATCAGTATTCTCTGAAAATTGAATAGGAATGGTGACCTCACCACTCTTTGGAGAATATGAAGTACCAGATTCTGGTTCAACGATAGAGATATCAGCAAACGCAAAATGGCTTAACTGTACCATCATAATAATGATTGATTGTAAGAACAACATCTCGAACTCCTTTTAATTACTATAATTATTTGGTGTTTCTTTTTTTCTTTATTTAAAGAACAAAGACAATACACTTTAAACTGTAAAATAGTATAAAGAAATTTCCAAAAAGATAATAGATATAATATCCAACTATTAAATGAGTTATCTTTCGCAGCCAAAAATCTTATAGATAGTTGTAAACTTATTGTTTTCTTCTTGATCTTAAGAATTATGTACGTGTTGTGGCTCAGTAAAAATTCCTTGTTCCTACTACACCACCTGGAAGAAAAAAAAATTGTTACTGTAATACAAAATTGGTGAAAAAAAAATTCTTTGCCTCGTTATTCTCGGTTTTGTATACGGATATTTGTTACGCGAAGCTTTTTGCTTCATACTATTTTTAATACAAACAAACGGACTTTTTATTGATCTGTATATGTTGAATAGTTATTGTTATCATGCAAGTAGGGGTCTTATATTTCTTGCGTATGTAGGTGTGTGTTCTGTAATGTATCTTGAACTTGTGATCTCATTTGTAGATGGAAAAGTACATGTATTCTTGGAGCAAGATCTTTAACTAGAATAATACTCCGAGAAGGAAGAGAAATATACCTAACAGTAAATATCTTTAACAAAAATAATAATAGTAATAAGAATATCAATATACTCAGCTATTTAACGGATACAACAACAATTCTCATTATGAATATATACTTATCTATACAAGACAGTCAGACAACCTTTTTAAATCACGAACCACGTGATATTTCCCAACATCACGATCCACGAGGCGTACATTTCAAAAACTCAAAAAACAAAGAGTACGAAATATTGGAAAACGAAAAAAACAAACAAAATAATTTTTCTTTCAAGATTACGAAATAACAAGCGCAACGTAAATAAACAATTAACATAAGGGAAAGAGAGCCTATTCTCATGTTTTTTGGTTAGAAAGAAGACAGATAACTTTAGAAAGTAGTTAGAGATAAAGAAAGGCGATCTAGTCGAAGAAGCAATTGTTACAGGCCAGACACTATTTCACATTTATTATATTTCTGGTTTCTTCCCTTTTCATCTTTGGAAGAGAGAAGAATATTTAAATTAATCCATATTTTTAATTTTTTTTTTTGCTTTTTAGAAAAACACTGAAAGAAGTTCAAACAGTGAATTCAAAAAGATGGATTTATTCAATACAGAAGGAGATGAGTCATCATCACATGAAAGTAACGCCCTTGATCAATTGGATAATAATAACGAATTTGAAATGAATAGTCAAGAACAAACGCCAGCTATTGAGAATTCTTTAAATGATCAAGAACGCGAAAATGATGAAAACCCTTTATTAGAGGAAAAAACTTCACCAAATAATAATGATTATAATGAAGAAGAAGATGATGACAATGATAATAATAACACATCGACAACGGTAGATCATTCATTTGTAACTGCAACAGCTATTGATACCTCTCAAGATGAAAATAAATCAGAAGAAAATGATGCACATTTATCAACCGATATTACTGATTATAATAAAGAAGAAAATAAACACAGTGATAATGATAATAATAATAATAACAACAACAATAATGATGATGATGATGATGATGATGAGGGCAAAAATCATATTGAAAATACTGATAGTCCTGTGTCTGAAAGTAAAGATGATAACACGGATGTTGATATGCTCAAGGATGACAACGCAGCAGGAAATAATGAAGAAGAGATAATAAAGGATACCGAGACTACTGAAACACCAATATCGGAGATAGATAATAATAATTCCATAATGAGGGGTGAACAAGAATCAAACTCTGAAATACCTAACGAGGAGGATAATATCGAAAAAATTTCTTCTACTGACAATAATAAAGTTGAGGAGGAAAAAGACCTTGATAAGTCTGATGATAATGGCAATGAGAAGAAGGATACCGATATGAATGGTGATGAAGAAAAAGACTTTAATGTAAATGATGATGACCTCGACGAGGAAGAAGAAGAAGATGATGAACAAATTGATGATATCCCCGAACAGGAAAGTGACGCAGATACAGAGACTCCTAAGATCCCAGATTATAGGAGCCACGGAATAACAGATGGTGTTACTGTAACAACTTTAAATCAAGAACTTGAGGAAGAAAAAAATACCACCACTATTAATGAGGATGATAATACTAATAATAATAGCAATGATAATTCTTTGATAAATGAAGTATATAACGCTGATGATCAGGAAAAGGATAACTTGGGGTTGAACACAGGTGAGGAAGACGATGAAGAAGAAGAAGAGGAGGAGGAAGAAGAAGCAGATGATGAAGAGACACATAGGGAAAAAAGTACAGATTTTGAAGGTTCACCATCCGTGGTAATAAATGAGTCAGAAACGACTAGCCCTGTAACACTAACTTCTGAATTAAATCAAAATACAACAGAAAATCAATCAGAATATATGAATAGAGATAACAAGATAGTGACAAACGTTTCACAGGTCGATTCAACATCAGCAGTTCAAAGTAACACAAAGGAAAATGAAACAACTGAACCAACTGATGAACATTTCAATGATGATAAATTAATTGCAGAAGATAATTCAACAGAAAAAAGAGAGGAAAACTCAGCCAATGTTGAAAAGTCCGCTCAAGAAATTCACGACGTTTCTCCTGATTCCAATCATAACCATTCAAGTCCGCAAGAACATAGTATATCTAAACATCACACACGTAAGGTAGAAGATGGAATTATAATACCACAAACTCATGAGATCGTTATACCAAGTTATTCAACGTGGTTCAATTTAAGAAAAATACATCAAATTGAAAAGAAATCCCTACCAGAATTTTTCACAAACAGAATTGCATCAAAAACTCCCGAGATTTATATTAAATATAGAAATTTCATGGTCAACTCATATAGACTAAATCCAAACGAATACTTCAGTGTCACGGCAGCAAGAAGAAATCTATCTGGTGATGCTGCATCTATATTCAGAATTCATAAATTCTTGATGAAATGGGGTCTGATAAATTATCAAGTTAGTGCGAAACAACTACCAAAAACTGTCGAACCACCATATACCAATGAATTTTCTACAAAACATGATGCACCAAGAGGTATCTTCCCATTTGAAAGTTATAAACCTTCTGTTCAATTACCAGATATGGCAAAATTAAAGAAGATGATGGATGTTGAGGATGAACGTAGTACATTGTACAAATATTTAAGTCAAGAAAAAAAGCGGACCTTCTCTGAACTAGAGAAGAATGAAATGCAGGAATCTGAGTCTATCAATAATAATGAAACTAAACCTGCAACCTCATCGACTATCCCTCTAAATGAAACTAGACCTATCAAGAGACCAAATATTTTAGATAATGTTAGTGTCTCAACAGAGAAAGTAAAATGGGAAAGGGAAGATTTGAAGAAATTATTGTTTGGTATTCAAACTTACGGATCTGATTGGTACAAAGTTGCTAAACATGTAGGTAACAAGACACCAGAGCAGTGTGTTTTAAGATTTTTACAATTACCAATAGAGGATAAATTCTTATACCAAGACTTAAATAAATTACCAGGTAACCACACGGAAAAGGGCCAAAGTTCCGTTGTTAGTGTAGATGATTTGGGACCACTGAAATTTGCCCCTCATCTTCCCTTTTCAAAAAGTGAAAATCCGGTTCTATCTACAATTGCATTCCTGGTAGGTCTTGTAGACCCCCAGATAGTTCAACAAATGACCAATCGTGCTATTCGTTCAATGGAAGATGATGAGAAAGAAAATATCGGTGAAGAGGATAATAAATTGAATGATAAAATGGAGGTGTACAATGACGATAAAGTTGAAAAGGCAGACGAAACTGAAAATGTCGATACCCAAATTGCCATAAAGGAACATCCTGAAACACAAACAGCCGAAACACCTGCAAAAATCGAGGATGAGAGTACTAAAACTAATGCAGAACCTCTTTCAGAAAATCGTGAGGAGATTAAACCTGATACTGTAAAGGAAGATAAGGTAGAACCTAGTTCAGAAGAAGGTGAAAGTGGTGCGAAAAATACAGGTTTGACTGTACCCTCTGCTATACCCGAGGATGTGGAAATGATAGATTCAACAACACAACAACAAAACTCAAGAGAAGGTAGCAGTGATAATACTGATGCATTATTTGGCGACGACAATAGCGATGAAGATATGATGGCAGATGAATACAAAGAAGATGAAACCAAAAATATTGATACAACAGATGTAGTCGGTCCATCAGAATCAGTTATTGAATCAGAAACACTAAAAGATAATACTTCTTTAGATGTAACAGGCCAAAATAAGGAGGAACACCTTGAAAATAAAGAGGAAGCAGGAACTTCACCTGAAGATATCGTTACCACGAAGGTGGACACCAATACAAATTCTAATGATGCTACTGAAAACCAGACGGAAAAGATTGGTGAAAAGAATGAACCAGAGGTTGTCTTAGATACTTTAGTGGAAATGAGAAGTTCCACAATGCCAGTGATTGAAAAGGAGGAACCTCCAAAGGAGACAGAAGCAGAAGAAAATAATGATGTTAAAGAAGGTTCTGAAATTGCTATATCATCTTTAGGTGTTCGTTCCCATGTATTCGCCAATAATGAAGAAAGACAAATGAATAAGCTGGCTAACCAAATGATTCAAATTCAACTTGAAAAACTAGAAACCAAACTGAAAATATTTGATAAACTAGAAAGATCCTTGGAGTTCGACAAGAAGAAATTGGAAAGGAAACAAGAAGAATTTTTAGTACAACGTTTGACATTCGCCAAAAGTTCAAATTTACTTGTGAAGAAGTTCGACAAGGCATTGAATTTGTTAAATGATAACCATGCTGAGAGTTCCACATCTACAAAGAATGTGGATGAATCCACGATAAAGTCATTAACGTCTTCTGTGAGTGAGATGAAACAATTATTGTCTAGACCACTTTATCTAAGTTTCGGCTCAAAAGTGGAAGGTCCAAAAATGTCCACCACTGAAGAAACAGACACAACAGAAGATTTGGAAAATGGAATGAAACCAATTTCCATTGAGAATCCCCAAGTTTACAGATATTGGTCAGCCTAGTTACTCTTAACTCCTATCATGAGCTGAGCATAAACTTCGTCCAATATTTTATGAACATACCACAATTCTTATATATATATAAATTAGAATATACCTCCACAGGAGATATCATTTGTAACAGAAGTAACAATCAATAATAATAATAATAGTACACTTTAAAACAAAATGTAATTTTCCAATATCCATGAACTGTTTACTTACTTTTTCTACTTTGCATTGACTTTGTAATAAACTACATACATGAGATAAATAAAATAAAAGGGGTTTTCTGATGAATAACTTAATTATTAATGTTTAATTTTTTTAATTTTTCTTATAAAAAGATGATGTTTTATAGATATTTAAAGATAGTGGATAGAAATCTACAACAAATGAAGTAGTGAGTACCAAAAAAATCTTAAGTATAACAATCGAAATGATATGCCTAATTGTTCTAATTTCCTTGTTTCTTCTACCTTTGTTATTTTTGTTTTTATTATATTAATATTGATTTATTATTATTAAACTGTAGATAACTGTTTAAGCGGTGATACGCTTTTGGGAAGCGATTCTACCTCTTTGTCTGGAAGTGTATCTGACAACCTTCTTTTCAGTAGCCTTAGCAACAGTTTGTTCCTTTTCAGTGACAACTAATTCAATGTGAGATGGAGAGGATTCGTACTTGTTGATTCTACCGTGAGCTCTGAAAGTTCTTCTTCTTTGCTTTGGAGCTTGGTTAACTTGGATGTGAGAAACGTATAGCTTGGTGGCGTCTAGACCCTTGGCTTCAGCATTGGCAGCAGCGTTTTGCAATAGACCTTGGATGAACTTGACGGACTTAGCTGGCCATCTAGCCTTAACAACACCGAATTCCTTACCTTGGGCAGTTCTACCGATGGAAGAGTTAAATCTTCTGAATGGAATAGCTCTTTGGTGATCTAGAACTTGATCTAGGTATTTTTGAGCCTTGGTTAGTTCCCAACCGCTGATAGCTTGAGCAGTTTCTCTAGTGTTCTTGAAAGAAACACGTAGGTAGGAACCACGAGCAGAAGCAGACTTAGCTGGGTTAGTAGAGGTAGCACCGTATCTAGCCATTTCTAATTATTTGTTTCGTTGGTTACTTTAAATTATTAAAAAGTAAACAAAGTTAAGACCTAAAATATACACAACCTTTAAATAAAGAATGTATGAATATACTAAATTATTACTATAGCTATAATCAATAGTATAATTGTCAATAAGGAAAAAACACAAAAAAATTGTATTGAAGTCTGCTAATTTGGTACTAACTAGCCTTAGATTAATTATTGAGAGTAGACTACACTAAGGATGGAAGATGAGGGAAGAACTAACTGCTGTAGTGATCGAAGAGTAGACAAAGTTGCTTGTTCTCCAGTTACTAAGTGTTGGGCATGCCAGCATGAGAAAAGAAACTGCATCAGAACTGAAAGCTAGTGGGACAGGTCTGCCTAATTTCCAACCATTAGTGAAACAATATTGGAGTGCTACCAGTCTAGTGTTGGTTCATAGGGGGAAGTCTCCCCCTAAGAGTGAAAAAGTTCTTACTGAGCAAAAGGAATATGCACCATTACGAAAAATGAAATTTTCAATATTTCAGTTTTTTTCCCAGTCAATAGTTGTGCGGTGCGAACTTCGTAAATTTTTTAAAAAGAGCAAAAAAATACTGAAAAAAACAAAAAATTAAATTAAGTATTCAAGACCATGCAGGTGTGAGGGTGGATTATTAAAATGTACGGATGTAAAGAGAAAACAACAGTCTAATCACTTTGGTTCAGTCATTTTTCAATTTGAGACACCAAAAATGAATTTTGACATTCACCGCCGCTAAGAGGGGGAAATATTAATTAGGAAACTAATTGCAACAGGTACTGAACTGTTAAGAGAAGGGATTACAACGGGTATAAGCAGTTATTTAATTTGGGAATGTTAGATATAGTTAACAAATAATTATCAATAATAGCTCAAGGGAATTTGTTTGCACACGATTAGACTTAGCTCCAAAGAGATATGAAATTAAATAGTGCCTTCTGTGCGTTTCTGTTAGGGAGTGGTTTGCCGCTGGTCCAAGGCTTACAATGTTCATCTCATGATGTACTAAAAAAATTTCAATTGGATAAATATGTTTCAAAGGGAACTACTAATAAGGAGACTCCACCAAGTGAAACTACACAAACGTGGTGGGTCAATCCATGTACTGAACATAAGGATAACGTTGAAATTCCTTCACAATGTAATGGTAATGATATCCTTTGTGGTATAACAGAAGTCAAATTACCAAATAAGGAGAAAATGGTAACACAAATTATTGACTTCAATAAAAATGTTGCATTTGGTGTTGAAGAAGTTGATAGTCAATTAACATTAACTTTTAAGGGAGCTAGATGGGGGTCAACTAACATTGATGCTAAGATAGCGTACCAATGTAATAAAAATATGTATGAGGATGAAATAACTTATAGCAGTATGGAAGATAATGTGATTAATTTATCCATTGAAGGTCCATCTGGTTGTTTAAAGGATAACTCTAGTAACGATAACGACAATAACAATGATAATAATAATGACAATAAGGATAAGAACAATAAAAATAAAGATTCCAGTGAAGGTGGATTTTCATGGTTTACATGGTTAATTATATATGCATTGTTGTTCACCGTGATATATCTAATGATTGTCTCATACATGAACACAAGAGGTGGTTCTTTCGATGATTTCCGTAATGAATTTATCGAACGTACCACTCAATTTGTAACATCATTACCTACTTTTGGTAAAGAAGTTGCAGCAAAGATATTTGGAAGTACATCATCTTCTCAGAGAGGTGGTTACAGTGCTGTCTAGTCATGCTGATGGAGCCTAGAGAAATATAATTATTACTGAGATTCATTATCGTAATTACTATACATAAGTTTTCTTCTCTTCTTTTTCTGCAATGATTCATAATTAAACACATATTCTAGGTATTATTGTTTATACCGCTGTACAATTAGTTTATTTATGCTATTTTCTAAAAATTATATCTAAATTATAAAATCCATTTATATATATATATTTTCCTGAATGTATACGAAAAGGGACAATTATTTACTTTCTTTCTCCATAAATTGTTTCAAATTATCCACAACTTTCTCTACACTTGTCTCCAAGTATTTTTGCTTTATGGTTAGATTCTTCTTTTGATCCTTTATAATACCTTCATCGTGTTCTAGGTCAGCTATGTATTTTGATTTATCCTGTAAGATAAATGATCTACCACATGATCTCCATACTTGATCCGTTGGATATGAACCCAATTCATTTGCTGTAAGTTGTGCAATCTTCTCTTGTTTCTCTAAATGTGCTAATTGTTGGTTAGCTGAATCTAACTGTGTCTTATATGATCTCAGACTATTGGTTAGGTCGCGAATTAGGTTTGGTTGTGACATAATGTGTAAAGTAAGTGTCTAGTTATATGTGCTGTTACAGATAGGGGATATTAAACAGAATCAATACAATTATCTTAATATGTAAGATCTTCTATCTTTATTGTGTGCTTGTCTTTTCTACTATTACTTATTTTAATTATTCCTCAGTTGTATTTTTATTTTCCATATTATTTTTCTTTTTTCATTATTACGCTTAATAGCATCAAATAAGATAAAGGTTACTATATACTAGAAAGATATCACAACACACAATATCATATAAGAGGTAGCATTAGTTCCGATACCTACTAATATCCATTATTTAATAATAGAAATTTCCACGCGAACACATATACCACCTGCAGTCAATTAAAACAATGATTACTTGTCTTTTGAGGGTTCGCAATACGTCTATTGTAACTAGGGGAGCACTACATATACGATACCTATCAACGTCACAACCATTATTAAATACAAGTTCCTCTCCTTTGGGGATCGATCGTTCTGTGGAATCCAATATTGTATCAGAAACTAATAGGCTCGCTAGAGGTGGTAAGAAATTTTGGGAAAATGTTACATTATCTGTTACACCAGATAAAAAAATTCAAGTGGAGTTAGATTCTAAACCAATCAAGACACCTTTAGGTAACAAATTAGCATTTGATGAAAATAAGAAACTTTTGGCTTTGCTTTTACAAAAAGAATGGGAGGCTTTATCTGAATCTACGGTCAAGCAGTATGCCTTACCTCTGACATCATTGGTCTCAAGATGTATTGACCTTGAAACTACAAATGGCCCAAATAGTGATGCTGAACTACGAACTAAAATTGGAGGCGATAGGTCTGCTATTAACAAAGATTTATTAAGATATCTGGATACCGATACATTATTAGTATTTTCCCCAAGAGATGAATATGAAGGAGGTCTAAGAGCCGCTCAAAATGAATTGTATTTACCAATTATTAAGTCTGTGGAAGAATTTTTAACAAAAAATTATGCTGATATTCATACCGCTATATCACTGAGAGTATTAGATGCAGATATCCATGGGCTAAGGGGTAACGAACAGAATCAATTTACAAAAATTGCAGCTACAAAATATTTGAACTCTCTCTCTTTATGGGATCTGGCCGTATTCGAAAAAACAGTTCTATCCACCAAATCTTTCATCTGTGGTATTTTATTATTGCAAAATAAAACTAAACATAATAACATTAATAATCTAAAATATGCTGTCGATGATATTGTTAGAGCATCTACTTTAGAGATTATATATCAGACGGAACGATGGGGCGAAGTTGAAGACACTCATGATGTGAGTAAACGCGACATAAAACGTAATGTTAACGCTGCATCTATAGTTGCATTTAATAAATAATTGTTATTAAATGTGCCAAAAGTATATGATTCATGTAAATATTATTATTATTATATACATATACACAAAATTTAACCTATATATTCAATACATAGTCGTCATTAGTCGTCATTGTAACCATACATGTACACTATTATTCAATAAGGTTGTACACTTCATTGGTCACACTTTGGTTGGTAAACTCAAGTAATTTACCTTCTTGTGCGTTGGTTAATGAAATTCCTGTATTTCCCAATCTGTCGATATGATAATCGATGGAAGAAAACTTTATCTGTTTTTTGCTGTCAATAAATATGAATATTAAAACTCGTTCATGTTTATAATTTTCACCCGTTTCATCTGTAATGGTTATTCTCCCAATACTTACTGGGTACCATCGAAAATCTTTAAGTATGTGTAGCTTGACTTTAGTATTAGATACCAGTACATTCCTGTGGTTTTGTAATGCGTTGTTGTTTTGGGATTTCGAAAACACATCGGAACTTATACCAGCTCCAATACTGTGAGATACAATGATTTTACCAGATATACAATTTTTAATTACCTCTAGCAATCCTTCAGCATGTGGAGTTCTAATATTTATTATAGTACTATTTTTGATGGAACCATAGAGAATAGATGAATCAGGGACACGCAGTTGAATATCCTGGGCTGTTGACCTACCAGTCTTACATTGCGTTGTTAATAGAAGCGCGAGTGTACATGAGTGTATATCTGTCATCTTGTGATAAAATAGTAGCGGAGAATTATTATCTATAGAAATAATTGTAAGCTGCATTTTTTCATCCATAACAGGTACTTCCCATGTAGTCCCATTCCAAAACGATACTCTACTATTTGTATTTTCAAAAAGAGGTAAATAACTCGAATTGAGAAATGTGTGTAGATATTCCTCAAATAAATTTGTATTTGGTACTGAAGAAGGCAAACCAGATTTATAAAGAGTCTTTATATCAGCAGTTTCTAAACGGGACTGCTTTTTGCTCTGTAATGCACTCCCATTGTTATGGTTCATATCGTATACCCCATTCTCCAGATTGTGTTTTAAATTAAGAGAGTTTTCAGACCCATCAATAGCTTTTCCATTAAGTACTTCTACACCTCCCTTCAATAAATTTGAAGATAAATTATTATCGACGTCAAAATCATTTTCATTTTGTTTAACTTTCGATATAACCGAGTAATTGCCATTTGTTGTGGCGATAGCAGGTGACAAAGATTTCCTCAACTCTACCGAAACTATATCCAATTCAGTATTCGGCTGTATAATTTGATTATCTATTATTGGTTCTTTAAATGGATTTGTGCTTAAACTTCTATTGGCGATAGCGCTGAGATCAGTTGATTTTGGTAATGGGTTCGATTTGTGTAGTGAAAATCCAGAACTCTTCCTAGAAATATTATCGTTCTTTGTTGTTTCCTCAGGCGGGACCTCTACAGAACTAGTGAATTCAATTCCAAGTCCTGTTACGTTATCATCATCAATAAATGGATTATTTTTCAATTTATCATATTTTCCCTTAAAATTTAGACTAGATGATGATGGTTTCCTTACGACCCTATCCATGTCTGCCTTGAACGGTGAAACCACACTGCCATCGACATTAAATAACTTTTCGAAACACAATCTCCAGTGAGTATCCCATTGGATTGGGTCAACCGATGTTAGTCTCAGTTCTGTCCCATTACCTGTAGTGGTTTTCAACTCATACCCACAATGTAACTCTTGTGATATTTTTAAATCATATTGCCTTATTATAGGGAATAATAATGAACGTCCTAAATGTAATAATTGATATTCTCCTTGAACTAAGCGATGCACAAACTGTTTGGGTAAACCAATGGAGGTAGGTAACTCGCTGGAGTTGACTTTAAATATTGCGATGTTACCATTTTTCAACTGATAAAGTTCAACTAATTGACTGAATTTATACAACGAGTTCATGGTCATTCTAAAGTATCCTTTTCTTACTATGTCATCATTGCTTATCCTAAGAGATGCAACTAAATTATGCTTTTTTGATAGTAAATCTCGTACTTCATCATATTTTGTAATGCTATAATTTTCAATCATGTAAACCTTCTTAAAATAATTTTCGAAATTTGAAATAACATTTTCTAATTTTGATTTATGAACTCCAGCCAATAACTCTTTGTAAAATAGTAACTGTGAATAAATATTAAGGATGTATGTCGTAAAGTTTAAATTCAGACCCTCTCTGAACATATTTAGATTACTATTTAGAATCAAATGGATTGACTCAAGAAGAAGAGTATTAAAAATTCCTACAGCGTTAATCGAAAATAACCAAATTTCAATCGCTGCACTTTGCGTTTCATAACTATTTAGTGATTGAAGGTAAATTACGTATTTTTCTATCAAACATTTTATTTGCCCCCTGAGGATACTTACGGATTTCCGTATACTGCTGTATGGATCTAATTGGGATTTTGATGGGATATTAAATGGATCTGTTATAGATATTAACTTTCTTAACTTGATCAAGTTTTCCTCCTCCTGCTTTTTAAGATTTTCTAAATGCATTGCTACGTTACCATTTACCGCAATTATCTAATATTGGAAGTTATAAAAAGATATCGCTATATCTGAAAAAAAGAATGTAATAAAAATAAAACCAAACCATTCGGTTCAACTAGTTTCATTAATAAGGCTCTCTTCGTATTGCATTACATAAGTGTGTTCCTCTTTGGCTGTAACTTCTTTTGAATCTCACAATGGTCGGAGGTCTCATCACCTCCGAGATCCTTCACTTCATACAGGAAAATAGCTCTTTGTTCCTCGAAGGTGAGCATCGCGACACATTTTGAAAACAGAAATCTATGAAAGTGAAAATTAAACAATCAGAACCAAAATAAAGATGAATGATATTACAAAATTTGTGAAACTGATCAAAACACTAGATTTTACAAGAATAATTTATGTTCTTGCAACTGTGTATGTGACATATTAAAACAGGTATGCAAGTATATATACATATTTATGTGGTATATTATCTATTTAAACCATGAGAATCTTTTGAATTTGGGCATATTACAACAATAGCAACTTAAGGCCAAATATGTCTTTCTTATGTTTTTTTTGTTCTAGCATACATGTTGTTGATATACTTGGCACATGTTCCGGAGGCTCTACAGCCCTTAAAGGATGCGACCAGGTCACCTTCAGTGTAGTGGAAAGCATCAACGTCCTCTTCCGATATTGTATCATCAAATTCACTAGCCATGACCTTCGGTACTACTACTGCTGTCTTGGATAATAATTGTGGATGCCATTGTAAGACATGTGCAACCACTGATGGGAAAGATTCCTGCCAACCAAAATCTCTTACTATTGGATCCATCAAAAACTCAAGGAATGCTTTACTGTAGTAATCATTTGAAACTACAAATGAGGATAAGTCAAGAATACCATTCTCATCCTGTGGAATCACCATACTAACTGTATTAAAATCTATATTTTCATATGTTCTAACATTTGAACCAGGTTTTATTGGAACATCTCTTAATAATGCTAAATCTAGAATATTTTTATCTAATAAATGTTTTTTCAATGAAAGATTTAAATTCATAATCAATGAATCTTGATCAATGAATAAAAATTTCTTGGCACGTGGAAATGCATGTAGTGCTGCTCTCATGATTAAAGGTTTATAAAAATCATAATTAGTGTCCATATCTTGATTGGTCATTACAGGTAAAAATTCTTGAATCCAACGAACGTAAACACCATATCTATGAATTTGAGCATAATCAACTCTATTTTGAACAACCTTAACAATATTTTCCAGATCATATCTTTCGAAATCAACCAATGTGACAATGATAATTTCAGGTTCATCTGATTTCTTACGGTATACTAATTTACCGTGATCCAAAAATGATTTTTTAACTAAATAAACTTGATCTGTTGTTTTCTTCTTCTCTTCATCTGTTAAAGGTTTATCGTCTGTCTTTAAAACATATTGTTTCGTTCCATCAATATCCGCTCTAAATACATATAAACCTCTAATACCAATTTCTTTTAAGATAATAGCATGTTCTACGTGAGGAAAAATCAAACGGCTCGATGCAGGTAATTCATTCATATAGAGCCCATGCACAGCTGGATAATTATTAGAGGATGTGTTACCTCTTGGGTTAAAAAACTTAGAGAAAACATATAATAATAGACAAAACCCTGTAAATATACTACCGACTCTAAACCACAGGTACTTTGTCGTTATATATTTCTTTGTCGAACTTAAAGGAGGGATCCCTAGGGGCCACTGAGAAGAATTCTCACTAACCTTATGTGATCCCTTCTTTGATTTAGGTTTCATTACCATTTTTTTGACTATAAAGCCTATAAATACCAACAACAACAACTGTAAATAGTAGTTTTTTAAGATATTCTATGTATATACAATCCTGATTTGATAAAGACCGTATCAGTTCGAGAATAACAAATAGTGCTTTATATTATCTTTTTCAATTCTTGCCAATTGTTAAACAGTCGCTTATTCAAACAATATAGTACAGAAATATACACACAGACCCTCACAGTGACTCTCCGTTAAGAATAAATCAATATAAATTAGTCAGAAACATACAAAGATAGTTGAATATTTCTATATTTAAAAAAAGAACAAAACTTCTGCCATTGCAGTAGTCTGGCTGTAGTCTCTCATATTGACAAAATTCTTTAGAAAATTTCGGTAATTTTTTCATTTTCTTTGATTTAATAAATTCGAGATCGTGAAGTACGACAAAGGAAGTATAAAATGTTATAAATTCGTAACTACGACTAAGGGTAGTTAGGCGTGATCATTTATGATGACCTTTCTTTGATGAATATCATTATATATGTGTATATTGAATAATTTTGATTATTCTTAGACCAATATGTTCAATTTCGTGTGTTTTATATATTGATGCACATTTGTATTTCTTGCTTGTTTCTCACTTCATTTAGCGTGTGCTTCTTTCTTTTCCTCTTCATCATCATTGTCACCATCACCACCGTCGAGGAGTTCATTGATTTCATTTTCAATACGTTTTTCTTCTAAAGAATTTTGTGTCTTAAGTTTCTTATTCTTGGCCACTTCCATACGTTCCGTTAAGAATTCATTGATATCATCTTGTATCCCAGTCAATTCCATCCGAAGCTTACTCAATGCTGTAGGTTGTTGTGTGACATGATCTATCTTAGGATCAGACGGTTTGTCAATATCTACCTGTCCAGCATTTAATACATATGTACTAGGTCCTGTTGTTTTACCATTGGTGGTTCTATATCTGGATTCACTTTCCTTCACGGAGAACGATTTCTCTGTGATATCTGGTGAATTGTACAAAGCTGAAGGTGATTTCATATCGAATTATATATCTATATCAAAGTATTGTCGATTTACCTCTAGACTATAAAGATATAAAAACTGAGAAATGGTTGTATCTGTGTGGTTTTATTCTATATATATATATATATATTCATATGTACATCTTGAAGTTCATATAATGTGACTAAACTGAAAAAAAATAAGAATAATAAGTCGGAAGACATATAATGGGGCATCGCATCACGACTGAAAAATGTTTCATGATTTGTAACATTCAAGAACAGCATTGATAGAAGAACAGGAATTCCTTTTGTACCGAATACGATTGAATGGACTGTCCTGAGAAATACAATGTACTGCCTGCGTAGGTATATGTTTATTATAGGATAAATATCTCTTTGTTTAGCGTACGATAAACAGGTGAGTTATAGATAGTTCAATACCAATGATAGTTTCCAGTCTCTATTTGCCAATATATGACAGTGTAATTTGTAATCGAGTATTATACTTACATATATTTGTATAGTTCCTTTTGCTGTTGAATACTGAGCTCATCGAGCATAAAATAGGATCGTCTAAAAATTAAAGAATTAACAGGAAAATAATTCCATATTAGAATATTTTATTTTCGCTGATATATTTAAGAGAATGTGGACCATGAAAAGATTTGTGTATGTATTTCTTTCGAGTATTTCGCAACCAGATAGATGCACCTTGCCGCTACTCACCAATTACACAATAAAAATTTTCAAGATAATGGATAGACACAAAAAGATATCCTCATATATATATATATATATATAAATTAAAAAAAGTATTATTAACTTTAATGCTCTGCCAAGATCTTCCTTCATTTTTAATCTTGATATATAACGTTGGTGTGTTGCCTGCAACACATTTTCACTCGGCCATATATAAAGAGAGAGACATCGAACTGTTGAAAATAAGCAACACGTTTGAATTGTATCATTTCCTAAGTGCAAAAAGGGAAAGATTCCAATCCTCAAAAAATAAATGACGGGTGTTCACAAAGATTATTCAATCGAAGCCTCTGAACCTTTGCACGATCAACAGGAGAATGTTGTGTTGAACAGTGATATTTTTATGAACAGGGTTACTTTCTATGTATGGATTACAACAAGAGAAATTGGCATTGATATATTATTAGGAATATTGTTATCCTGTGTGATAATTATTATCTTTTCTCATTCTGTGGATACGAAAGGTATTGCTGCTGTTGTACTTTTTTTTTGTTCAATACCAACAATCCCATGGATTTATTACAACAGCTCATGGGAAAAAATTTTAGCAACGATCGAGCTGCACAGTCAAATGACATTATATTGTGAGGTTATAAAGTATCGTGCCTGCTCCGATCCTAAGACATGGGATATCATTGCAGCTAACATGTACCGACATTTTGCAGAGGAAGGGATTTATCTTTCATTATACGATGGGCGTGATTATTTGAACTTGTTTATGAAATTAAACGAGAGGCAGAAGATTACAAATAAAGGAGCTAGTAGAGGTAAAATGCAAAAAACTGCTAGCGAGACCACTAATGTTGAAGTACCAATGCAGGATATGTCTCCCAGTCCAAGCGATCAAACGGAATCTGCACCAGCTTCAAACTCAAAGAGTAATGAAAATGATACAGAGAATGCAGGTTTGCTAGATGTTAACACACTAATGGAAGAAGCGCTTTCTGTATTTAGGCAAGCTGAAACCGATTACTGGATAGAGCGATATCCTGAGGTTGCTAGATAAGCAAAAATTAAACCTATTCATACTTATATCAATACATCCAGTGGAAATATCTTCACATTAAGAAATACATACATATATAGAACATAAAATTTGGTCGGTAGAAATCAGATAATTATTATTTATCCAATTAATTACTGAATCAATGTAATCACTTAGGTTCATATCAACTGACTTCCCAAGAAGTTGTACCATCTAGGTTCATCAGATAAGTTCACTGTCCTACACTTTTGCTGGTTTGACTTTTATGTTCATGGATTAGATGTGCCTAATCTTTTTTTTCGCCTTCAACAGCGCAGACCGGAGAATCGTTTTTCCGTTTAGTCACGATGTAGAGAATGATGCTATTATTAACAACAATAATAAATGGTAGTAGCTATTTATAACAATGGAAGTTTTGTGAGGAGTTGCAGTTTGAATTACATGCAGAATAATGTTTTTCCATTGGCTGGGCCTATCCAAGAGTTCCGTGATATATTTATGTAGGTATTAATTAAGTAGTTACATGTTCTGAACGTGTCATAAGAGAAATATTTTACTCTTCCACCTAGATTAATTACTTAAATTAATTGATACTTTTAGCCGTTCCAAAGAGTTTTATACCATCCAAGACAAAAAATTAAATAGAGTAATACTTGATAACTATAAAATATCGATAATTAATTATTCCCTATGCCTCACTCACCAAACCTTTTCTAGTATGTATCTCATTCTTAATTATGTAATTTTACGATGCGATGTTATGCGGCTGTTCTCAAAGTGAATACTTAGTCTTGATATGCATGATGAGCAAATACGGGGTTACCTCACGACAGGTATAAAAAAAATTTTCAAATTGAATTATTATAAGAAGAATGTTCTCCCTACTAAACAAAATTTCAAACGCTTCATGAACTAACCGAAATCAAGTGGATGTCTTTGAATACTGGACAACAGTTTGATTATACTAAGTCTCTATAATTCAGTAAATAATGTCACTATACAAGGAGATCTCATGCAATGAAAAAACATACGTAACCGATGATTCTTTACGACATTGTAATAATTTTGACGAATTTGAAGAATTACATTGTACATTAAGTAACATACTAAGTGCTCAAACGACTGCGAGCGATATTGCTATTGATAACATTGATACCATCGATTGTCTTGAAAATAATGTATTATCAAGTTCTAATTCAAGCTTTTTACGATTATCGTCAAGTCCATTCGTACTTATAACAAATAATGAAACAGTTTCAACTCCTGAAGATAATAATAACAACAACGGGTTCTTAAAACGTTTAGGATGCTGGTATCAAACTGAAAAGTCTTTTTTTACCTTGCATTCAGCCGTCGCTACTTTTACGTTTGTTAGTGAAGATAGTCATCGTTCCAAATTGATGGGTTCAAATTATCTATCACCAATTTTGGAAACAATGACATCTCAACAGATGAGAGTTTTACAATCTTTAGTGAAATCAATATTTCCAATTAACAGGGAAATAACTGAACCAATGGGTTTGAAAACACCTAGACGATATAAGAATATTCCTACTGTTTTGAACAATATATGAATAAGAAGGAAAGAGTTTTGTCAAAAGAACAATGAACCGAAACCAGCACCTAATATATAACGAATGATTTTTAACTCTATCGGTGACATAAACTCATAATCTATATTTTAGTTATTTTATTAATAATTTACATTGTATAATTGTTACATATTCTAAAAACAAACAGTTAAAGTGTTCTAATAATTTTTATGTGATGTCGATATTATTGATTCATTATTCAAACAGAGACACCACACCTTGGCATGTAGCAACAACGAAAAGTGAAGAGCTATTTATAATGCCTTCTTAAAGTTCTTATTGTTCTTCGAGAAGTTGGTGTAATTGGAATAATTATCAATTTATGATAACCCACTATAATTACCAGCACTCAAAGTAGTTGAGCTATGGACAGGGTTCCATTCACCACCAAATGGATCATTCTCATCAAATTCTTGGGCATTTAAGGATAACCCACTTACTAAACTAATGTCACTAGCGTTCACATCCTGTTGTTTACGAATGGTAAATTTAATTGAAATACCCTTTTCTGACTCCTTAGCCATACGATCGGTAATAAATCTGGCTATCAGTCTCTTGCCTTCACCGTTTCTTGTTAGAACAAGTGGTTCTTTGAATCTCCATGTAATTCTTCTCTTTTCCTTACTGAAGGAACCTTGAGGTTTTGATAGAGCACTAGTAGCGTTAGCACCATCAATAGGAACAAAAACAGAAACATCGTCTAAGACCAATTGTTGGATACGTTCTGGTAAGAAAGAGGCCATCTTAACAGTCAGAACAACACTTGCCTGGTTTTCTTCGAATTTCCATGCTGGTTGGATCACCACAGGGGCCAAAGGTTCTTTAACAGAATACTTAATTGCACCTAATATTCTAGAGTCGATAAATTGAGGGTTTAATTTGAAGACTTCGTTTTCAACCTGTTCGACGAAGGCTTGATTTAAAATGATGCTATCAAATTTACTACTGTTACTAATCTTTAGATTGATACCTATTGGTAATGAAGTATTCATCACTGTATTTGGAATATAATTCAAGGCAATCTCACCAATTAGTTGAGATTGCTGAATAATACCTTCCTTGAATGTAGCATTGATAACCTCTGCGACACTTGCATTCAAGCCAAACGAAATAGATGTATCTGTTTGGTCATGCTGGAACAAAGACTGACCACGGATAACATTTGAGGTACCAGTGGATTGTGGATTTAGTTCCTTCAATTCACCAGTAATTTGAGTTGGAATCATTGGCATGGAATGTCCTGTTGATTGGTTGGTTTGGGTCATAGGTTGTTCTGGAATCGTGGTTATGATGTTTTGACTATCGTTAAAAACATCATTATCTCTAGATATCGTCTGTTTTCTTGATGGAGGCAAGGCTGGAGCTTGTATATGAATTGGTCTACTAGCTTCATTTGCTACCATCGCATCATTATTAATGATATGTTCTTGCTGTTGAAATTGAGGTTCTGCAGGTAATGGTTTCTGTTCAGTGTCATTTGAATATTGTCTTGATTTTTGAACAGGTTGAAGTGGAGCCTGAGAGACTGACATGGATGGATTTGTACTATTAGTTGGAACATATTTATCGGTATTGCTGTTATTATCATATCTACTTGGACTAGCTGGAGTTGGTTCTGGTTGTTTTGAAACCTCTGAGACTGCACTTTCTTTTCTTGGTCTACTATAAGAGTTCTGAGAGCCCCTCTGTCTAAAATCAGATCTTGAACGTTCTGGAGAAGTTGTTGCAGGTCTACTTGTAGTTTGTTGTTGAGTTGGAAGAGCTGGAGTCTCTGGGACCGAAGTATTATGTTTACCAAAATGAGAAGATTTTCTATTTTTCAAACCAAAAATGGAACCCACTTTTGATCTTAGGGTATTTGACGATTTTTTATTTTTCAAAGAAACATTATTTGTTGAGTTTGAAAATTCATTATTCATTAAATCATGATGTAAAATAGTTGATGAAGAAGAAGTAAAACGTTGACCAATATTACCAAAAGTACTCTTTCTTTTCTCTTTATTATGTCTAGTGTCTTGATTTTGAGGAATCTCATTTTGTGATTGTCTTTGAGTTGTAGAATTAGTATTAACTAATTGGAAATTATAATTATTAGCATCAGTTACAAAACGATGTATTTCATTCGTTGGTTCAAATTCTAAAAATTTTTGCATTGATCTTTCACTTTGAGAAGTTGCTTGTGTCAAATAATCACTGTAACTAGTTTGATAAGTTAGTAAAGAGTCCTTGATTGCTTGTAATCTTTTTTTATCTAAAGATTCAAATAATTCAACTAATTGTGGTGATTCGGTTTCCCATTGTGATTGTGCTTGTGTTAATCTTGTATTATCACCATTTGATTGTTCAATCGATGCAGCTACTTGAGTTAAATGTGAATGAATTCTTTTAGTTTCTTCCCAGTTTTGATTATTTTCAATAGAATCTTTCAAATGTTTAATGACTCTAGAATCAACACTAGCTTGCATATCTTTTGATAATCTCAATTCTCTCTTAAATTCATCCATTAATGCGTTCCAAACAGGTTGTAATTCACCTAAAGAATTAAAATTAAATTGTTCCATCTCTTCAGGGGTTAAGACACCATTCGAAAGCATTTGAGAGGATAACACTTTCTCAAGATTATCATTTTTAGCAATTATCTTATTTAATTGATTAACATAGTTTTTCTTTAAATCTGAGACATCCTTAAACAATTGATAAAAATCTTTATTAATTAATTTTGCTTGAGATAATCTAATCCTGATAGCTTCAGTTGCTTCATATGGTCTTTTACTTGTCAAAATACTGAAATATTCAGTATTATCGTTTGACATAATCTCTTTTTATTATTTTGTTTCTTGTTTTTTGTCCTTTTAGTAATTACACTTCTTATGCTACTTTGTTTTTAATGAAAGATATAATCAACAGTTTTAGTGCTTCTCTTTACAGATTACTTAAATGTCACTAACTACTGATTGTCAATCTTTAGTCAATATAATTTTCTATTCTGGTGTCAAACTTTTTTATTTCCCCTTTAATTACAATGGATATTTCATTTTTCGTCTTTTTTCGTCTATTGCTTACCATTTTATTTCAATAATCTCCCTCTCAGATTACCATTTTGGGTTTTACTCTCTCTTTCTTTAATTCAGTTGCTTTCCCGGAAATGGATGCACTGAATAGTCAACGCGGGGGGCGGGACAAAGTAAGAGTGGGATACCAGTTTCTTGTACGGGCAAAATACTGAAGACAGTTTTATTGTTACCCTCCCTCAGTGCACGTGATCTGAAATGTTTTCTATTACCACTAAGACATTATAACTATTGAAATGAACAGGTCAGGTTGAGTATTTTAAAGATATGTATTACTTAGAATTATGTTTGATGGTACAAGATGTGGTGGTGGTGAAGAATATACTTATGTATTCTTAATTTGTTTCAGCATTGGTAACTTATGTTTTTTTTACAAATTCTCTCTTCATCAGTACAAATCAAACAATGATGTTTCTCAAAACACCAACCCGCTTACTGTTAAAACTAGTAAGATGCTTTAAAGTGGATTAAAATCAAAATTTATAGGTTGTAAATGCTGTCACACACACACACTCACAGCTCTCAATCGCTCTCTCTTCCCGTTATCGATACAACGCGAAATGTCACAATTTGCCAACGTCCCCGAATGTAGAACGCAAATAATCATCACGTTGTACGTGGTGCAATTATATGTTAACGCGTCAATTCAACCTATTTAAGTATGAACAGACTATGATGGGAGGGAAAAAAACGACGCGAAATGTTTATCAAATTAGACAAGAGAATCAATAAGAGGCATTGAAAATGGAATATTTTCAAAATATATAGTTCAATCAAGCTTCTCTTGGGTTATCTTTACTGTTTTATGTCAAGTAACTTGAGTGCTTCATTGCTAGGATATGCTAATAGAATAACTTTACGTCAGATGAAAATGTAAGAGTCGACTTAGGGTTAGCTAATATATTTTGTTTTCTTTCAAATTCACGTAATTTTATGTAATGTTTATTGTTGGAATTTTCTCAAATTTAATTTTAGGTACTTGGTACAATGGATCACCCTTTATATTTTCGTTTGTTTGTTTGTAAAATTTCTTCTCTATTTTACGTATCACTTTGTACAAAGTTTCTAATCTTGTTATTTAGATTTACTCTTTCTCCCCCCCCCCTCTTGGAGAAATTATTTTGAAAGAGACGTGTAATTAATTACATCCTACACTTTAGACCAAAAACAAACAAAAAATAATATACATACATTTTTATTGCGAATTAGTATAAGGGTGAACTAACTTTTAAAAGAGTAATTATACACATTATTACATCAATTGAGAAAAAATAAGAGACATATAGACATATACTGATACGAAGGAATCGAGGATGATGAGTGAAAATGATGATATAAATATGAATAGTGATGATATGATAGATATACCAAAAGATATAAGTGATCGACGCGTTAAACATCCGACTTTACAATTTAATGAACAAAGTAATGATACAATAATAACAGATGAAAATGATACTACAAATAATTTACAATTTTTTCCTTATTCAAATAATACTTTAACTAGGAGTGCAGCAACTTTGAATTTATCTTTAACGCGTTCTGGTACTTTACAAAATATTACTGAAGAGACTGATAATAGTAATTCAATTGGAAATATAATAAATGATAATGATCCTATTAATGGTGTGAATACTTCAATTAGAAAATGGTCACCTTTTAGAACAAATAAAAAACATTCACAAAATACTTCTAAATTAAAACAATCAAATAATCTATTTAGTCATCATCTTAAAACGAAGAGACTTCCACAACATACTCTTTTACAAGATTCAATTAATGATAATAATATTCCAAGTACTCCTGTAACACGTTTGAAACGAACTGCATCAAAGAGTGAAATGTCACCCTTTTTACAGAAACAATCGATTTATAACAATGTTAGCCGCCAAGTGAATTCTTCATCAAAACAACAACAACGAGAATATTCATTGCTGGTAGATGCTGCTACTAATCAAGTTAATAAAGAAAATGAACAAATAGCGCCCCCAACAATAAACATTTCTTTCGAATCTGGAGTACCAGACCCGAATGTCTTTAATCCAACAGGATTGAGATCAAAATTGACTCAATTTAATTCATCATTATATCCTAAAAAATTATCAATACCAAAGACTCCAGTCAAAAAATATCCATTGAGAGATAATAATCAAGCCAATAATGTGTCTAATATCCATACATCTTCAATCCTAGAAAATACAGAGTTTTCAAATGATCCAAATTATACAAGTTTCACTAATGAATCAACAGGATTTTCTAATTCTCCAATTTTAAAGACTCCAAAAATTGTGGTAGCATCAGTTGAGGAATCATCACCTTTAAGTTCACTACGTGGTTCTGCACATTCCCAACAACGAAATTCTCCACGTTTCAATTTTAGTAAATATAAAAAACTTAAAAAATCAAGAGATTCTGTAATAATGAAAAATACGGAATTAACTAACAGTTTACAACAATTTACTAATGATTTATATGGGACTTCGACAAATAATGAAATTCCAATGCATAGCCACGATGAGAATATGATAAATAACCCAAGAAGTCCATTAAAATCTAACTCAAAAAATAATTTATCATTTTTCAATAATAACAAACAACAAGATGATGATAGTAATAATAATAAAAATGTAACACAAACTGATCGATTTACTTTTGAAACAATATCATCCAATGAATTCAACCAGAATAGTGCGGATAACCATGATGAGGGAATGGGAAAATTTTCCACTCCTACTAAAGCAAAGTCGATTATTGGTGCCACGCCAAATATACTAAACTCAAAAAGATTTATACAAAATCGTTTCCACGCGGAACCAATCCCACAATCACAATCTAATGATAACCAGAATACAAATTTAGAAACATCACAGAGTCCTGATACTCACTTAATTGAAAGATTTAAAAATGTAACATTAATTGACCAGGGGCACTTTTCTAAAGTATACCAGGTAACATTTGCAGAGACAAATAAGAAATATGCAATTAAATCCATTAGCATCAATAAGAGGAACAGCACCAAGAAAATTCTTCAAGAAATTACTTTGCTCGCTGATATCCGGGATAAAATGGAATTGGATCAAGAAGGTAACGAATACGTTATTGACTTCATCAGCTCATGGAAAGTTGGCAGTTCTTACTACGTAATGACAGATTTTTACGAAAACGGAAATCTAGACAAGTTCTTAAATGAACAAATAATTCCAAAGAACAAAAGATTAGAAGATTGGAGAATATGGAAAATAATTGTTGAAATGTGTCTAGCATTGAGGTTCATCCATGATTCTTGTCAAGTCGTTCATTTAGATCTAAAGCCTACGAATATTATGATAACATTTGAAGGTAGTCTCAAATTAGTAGATTTTGGAATGGCAACACGTTTACCGTTACAAGACCATGATTTCGAAAATGAAGGTGATAGAGAATATATCGCACCTGAAATCATCTCTGATGCTATTTATGACTTCAGAGCAGATATATTCTCCTTGGGCCTAATAATAGTTGAAATAGCCGCCAACGTGATTTTACCCGATAATGGTAATGCATGGCATAAATTACGTAGCGGTGATCTATCTGATGCAGGAGGATTGAGTTCTACAGATATTCATTCTGAATCTTTATTTTCAACTAGTACTAAATTTGATACAAATCTAACTGATATAAGCAACTATCATCAGACTCGGGCTTCAGTAGATGGACCTCTAACTACAGTGGACAATTTGACAGTTGAACATTCTAAAAATTCTAAAAATTATGAAGGTAGCTTGAATTACAATGGGATTGCCAATTCTAAAATTCCTGCATGGGTTCCAAAATTTTTGATAGACGGAGAATCATTGGAAAGAACGGTCAAATGGATGATCGACCCAGATTATAGAAAGAGACCTACAGCAAACCAACTATTGCATACAGAAGAATGTATGTATGTGGAGATGACAAGGTTAACTGGTGCAGTAATTCAAGAAGACGACTTTGGGCCTAAACCTAATTTTTTTATGTAAAAACGGTGTAACCCACTAAGGATAGAAAACCAAATTGGTGATATTAATGATACAAGTTATGACATTTATATAAAAATATATACGTAGTTGCATTGCTTCTAAGCTAGATTATAATGATTTTAAATTGCATAGCATATTCCTTTTGATCTGGTTGCCTTATTTAGTCTCATAATCTAAAATCTGTTAGGGTTAGGTAATTACTTATTATCTTCCAATTTTTCATGCTTTTTTTTTCATGAATATCCGCTCTGCTTTAGACAGGGAAGTATATAAAGCGGCAAGTATCCTACAATAATATTGTAACTAATTATATTATAAAATTATTGGTTCGCAAACTCCCAAAATTACTATGTGATACAACGTAAAACAATTGCGTAAAAGGATCAGTTTGTTAATAGATACCAAGTTGAGATCAACTTGATTGTTAACAATGATGCACGAATAAAATTTACGTATCTACTCAATATATAAATAAAAATTTTATTCGCAATTTTATATGATGAGTTCTCAATACACAATATATGCTAGATAGTATATGAAAGTTTAAAACTTAATGGTTATAAGTGTTTTGACAGTGATTTTACTCCTGATTTATTTCGAATAATATAATCTCTTGATAATGTAATCAAACTACAAAGATTACCTGACCCATCGTAATCAAACTTTCAAATATCACATAATATACATTATATACTGAAGAAGAAAATCTTGAAGGAAACTTCGGTAGAATTTAAGTAAAATGCTAATAATTATTGAAATTAAAAACTTCTAAAGGATTGTATGTATACACAAATATATATTCTTATAAAAATCATTGAAATTCATATGAATAACTTAGATGTTCAACTTGGTTCTTCTCCAGTTTCTTCTCTTAGCATTGTAACGAACAGTGTTGTTAGTTCTTAATCTGACCCATTGTGGCAATGGTCTGTTTTGCTTCTTAGCCTTAGCTAGTCTTTGCTTGGTTCTGAAAGATTTTTGAGCCTAAATATAAATGATAATAATCCATTAAATCATATTTAAAAATAATATGATATCATGAAAATTAAAAAAATGTTAGTATTAATAATCAATAGTTAAATTATGTTTTCCATAAAGTACGGTTAAAGTATCATGTTATTAGATAAATAGTATTGAAGTTAATTCACCGTATCGTCCTTATATGTTAATTTCTCATATCACCATTTGGGATTTCTGTTCCAAAATTCCATTACCTTAGCAGATATTATCTACTCACATACCAAAGTTTCAATTACAGTTCGATAAATTTAATAGCCATGTTCATCCATATCCTTTATGCATTAAAGCATTGGTATTTATTATAATATCTCCAAATTAATCTATCAAATGTTTCTCAAAAGTACTTCATTTCAATTAATAATCGGTGTACATACTGGCATTGTTAATGATCTCTTTATTGCTGGTTTTATCAGAAATAACAATTAACGTTTAAAATATTATTCTTTATATAAATACACCTTAGAAATACTAAATTCATAAATACATTGAAAGTATAATATAAAGTGGCTTATTGAAAATTTGAGAGATGTATGTTATTGCGTTAAGCTGGGAGACCAACAGGCTCAATACTGTTAATCAGCAAGAAATTGGTAGTTAGAGTGAAATTGATTATCTCACTTCTTCCTAAGAAATGGCCTATCTGCGCCAGCAAACTTTCGTTGTTCTGTTTTTTTCACTTCCAAAAACAAAAAACAAAAAAATTGAAATTTTTTTCTTCTAGATTGTGTTCCACATCCAAACACCTCACGTTAAAACTGGGCTAACATCTGAACACCACGCTGTTAAAATTTTGAAACAGTCACAGACCTAAGTCCTTTAAGTAAACTCTACCATTGAATTCTGCGCGCCGACCTCAGAAAGAAAGTCCCGAGCGTAGCATAGTGAATCTTACAACTGCTGGACTGATGGTAAATTTCATAACTTTTTCACCTTAGAGTTGCTAACTTAGTTACTTAGTTACTATAGAAATGTAGTTAAAGTATAATAGTATAACTTAAGCGAATTGTTTACTATTAAAACATAAAAGAAATATATCAACACAAATATAGATAAGCCAAAATGACCAGAACTTCTGTCCTAGCCGATGCCTTAAACTCCATCAACAACGCTGAAAAGACCGGTAAGCGTCAAGTTATGATTAGACCAGCTTCCAAGGTCATCATCAAGTTCCTACAAGTTATGCAAAAGCACGGTTACATTGGTGAATTCGAATCTATCGATGACCACAGATCCGGTAAGATTGTTGTTCAATTAAACGGTAGACTAAACAAGTGTGGTGTCATTTCTCCAAGATTCAACGTTAAGATTGGTGACATTGAAAAGTGGACTGAAAACTTGCTACCAGCTAGACAATTCGGTTTCGTTATCCTAACTACCTCTGCTGGTATTATGGACCACGAAGAAGCTAGAAGAAAGCACGTTTCCGGTAAGATCTTAGGTTTCGTTTACTAAGCGTACTCTTATTGTTTATTAACTTTAAAAGCAAACCATGGGATCTCCCAAATTAGATAGCATTATATATCTATTAGATATTTTGTGTAATTTAAAAAAAAAAACATTGAAATAATAGAAACTTTAAGATGATGATTAGGAAAAACAGTCATATGAAATTATATAACTTGAAAAGACAGAATAAGAAACATCCTCGATTTAGAAAAGTTTATAGAAATACTATTTTTATAATAACTATCATTAAGTAACAACGAGAATATGCAAAAGACATTTATTATTATGTTAGAGGATAATATATGTGTAAATGTAAATGATTACAAATGTATGTATACAACCAATTTAGGTAATGGTTATAAGAAGGCATTGATGATTAATTGAGAATGAGAAAAAATATAATATAGAAGAAATCCATGTATATTTTCTTTCCTCATAATCTTCTACCTCTTCTACCACCCTTCTTTCTGGTGGAATCAGATGGAACTGGAGTAACATCTTCAATTCTACCAATTCTTAGACCAGATCTGGCTAGAGCTCTTAGAGCAGCTTGACCACCTGGACCTGGGGTCTTGGTTCTAGTACCACCAGTGGCTCTAATTTTGACGTGAACGGCAGTGATACCGACTTCCTTACACTTAGCAGCGACGTCTTGAGCAGCCAACATAGCGGCGTATGGAGATGATTCATCTCTGTCGGCCTTAACCTTCATACCACCAGTAACTCTGGCAATAGTTTCCTTACCAGATAGATCGGTAACATGAACGAAGGTATCGTTGAAAGAAGCAAAGATTCTAGCAACACCGAAGACTTGAGAGTTGTCACGAGCTTGAACTATAAGAATAATAACATACCAAAATGAAAGAACAGTATTAAGTAACTTTTCATTATTTTGATTTTTCAATTATGTTAGTAATTGTGGAAAAACTTATAAATTACAATAATAATAAAAAAGGAAATCACATATCTGATTCCTTTTCTTTAAGAGTTAGATTTTACTGTTTAAGTATTTAGAGTTTCTTAAAAACGAATTGGCAACTTCTTCAGATAATTAGCAACTTATTAAAATATAAATTGCGATTTACTTAAACATATTTTTATCAATTAATTCATAGATGAAACTTTAAAACATCAAAAGGTATTGCTTATACTACAACACCTGACATAACATAAATTTTCAAATATCAATTGACACATTGCATAAGCGATCTAAAATATACCACCAACGATTTTAAGAATAACTAAACGGTTTTAAACAGGATATCACCCCTTGCACATACCAGTAGTCATTCTGAATTTCTATATGTTGTTTTTCTGTATCAAAGGACGAGGTTTAAAAAAATAATATTTGAAATATGAAGTGTTTAATTTACAATTGATGGCGCTCCCTTTATATACTTCCCATAATATTATTCTTTTTTCGCCAGTCAGAAAATCGGCCTCTGTTAGTTTTTCTATTTTTTCAGTGAATTTTTTAAAAAACTTTAAAAATTTAAAAATTCAATGAGTTATTTTGACAAATGTATGGGTGTTGGGGTTTTAAGCAGTCCAATTGTTGTTATTTTCTGAATCATTTCTCTACTTTTGGTCATCACTCTTATTGAATGTTCAATTAGAAGGCACATCAAACTACAAAATGTATCAGACTAACATACTGTGATAGTAACATGCCCTAACACTATATATTTTCATTATAAACACAATGATACGAATTAAGTGAAGTTGTAAGCTAAGAATTTTTTAACTTATTCAGCTATTAATTACTAAAATATTCTTTGAGATTACATTTTTAACTTTTCATTATAATAAAAGATGGGAGAAACAGAATGTTTGAGACGTCTGGAGCACAGCTAAGTAAAAAAATCTATCGCCATGCTTAAAGAGTCAATATGCACATATGTGTGTATCGATCTCGAACTGAGTTGTAGAGTAAGAATTGCCTGGAGGTAAAATAGAAATATTTCGTCACAAATCTACTACAATAATACTCGTTCTTAAATGTAAATGTAATATGGTTCTTTTATGAAGGAAGATAATGAAAAAATATATACACTCGAAAAACAAAAAGAAAGATATATGTAAAATTCCCACAACTTCAACGAGTGTTCCATCTCTTACATTTATATATGCCAGATGAATGTGACGTTTGAAAGTGAAAAAAATAAAAAAAAGAGAAATAGAATTTTTGCAATTTGTGTGGTAATCGTCTCTGTGAGTATTGTGCTGCGCAATTATACAGCGCGGTTGATGTACACCATCTCTCCTCTACATAGATAGATATATTTTGGCTTAGGCCCTTCTTAGAGGTCTCTCGCCTCACTATACCACTTTTTCAAATAGTTAGATACTTGATACATAGATTACCAATATTAAACTCGACAGAAAAAGGGTGATAAACAATATTTTGTTTGAATTTTAAAGTCTATAACACAGTACATCAATTAAGTTGTAAGTTATAAACAGGTTAAATACAATATATATAACAATTGATATCATGAAATTGTCGTGCATATACGTTTTAAATCTGTTGCTAAACGTTTGCCTGGCGACTTCCATTAATGGTAAATTCGAGTTTTCACTGGGTAATTTAACTAAAAACGCAATCAGAAGAACTTCCTTCAATTTATATCAAATTGGTAATTATAGTACACAAGATCCATATAAAACTACTACGCATTTACTTGATTTGGATGGTAATTTCAAATTTGATGATTTGCCAATTAATACGGGTATTAATGAAACTACATATTTCGTATTATCTTCCAGTTCTTTAGATTATAATTTATTTCCAAATAGAATCTTGATAGAATTTGTTCAATTAGAAAATGGCACTTTACAAATGAATGGATTTAAAAACTATTTTGGTAGAGAATATTTCCCATCAAAGGATATCACCCATCCTGATAAGTTAGATCAAATCGCAGTTGAACCTTATTTGACCATCTCTGTGATACAGAAGGCCCCATTTAGAGCTTATTTCCAAATTAGAAACTCCGGTATTATGAATGATAGCGGAATTGTGGGAAGTATATTGAACTCCCGTTGGAAACTTGCGGGTGTCATTACAGTCATATGTGTGTTTGCTTTCCCAATGTTCTTGGATAAGATCGACCCAGATACCGCTATAATAATGAGAGAAGAAGCACTTAAGAAGAAGAAAGAACAGTATGCAAATTGATTGCTGCTACCTTAAATAAATATATAACTTTTTTTTATAATGAGATAAAAGAAGTTATAATGCTGCGTCTATTAATTTGTATATAAAAACTTGTAATATATCATATATATTTTAGTACTGAAAAGAAACCCAAATTCCGAAAGGGCACGTTAATGAAACTGTTTTTTTTTGGGGGGGCTAAATTATCTTCATTTGATGGTCCCTTCATTAATTCATTGATTCATTCGTTGGTATGCCTACTCTGGACGAAGTTTCTTTAACTTATTTTTATTGTTACACTGTTCATAAAGGAATAAACCCAATGCATTTAAAAGCAGTCCAAATACTTGAATGAAAGAAACTGAAACTCCTGAAAATATCCAACTTACAGAAATGATTGCAATTCTTTTCATTAAATTGGCAATAGAATAGGTTAACGTACTAACCTCTCCTAATAGATGGAATGCTATCATCGCTTGGATGAAATGAAAGGTACCATTTACCAAGAATAACTTCCATGGGATAGAGTTTATAACTTCAGATTGTCCGGTTCCAAATATATAGTTCCAAACAATTGGCAACTCTAGGAATGTAAACCAGCCAAGAGAGAGACAAAATCCGACAGATGATATGTATATCATTAATGTTAGTTTATCATATTTGATCCCTCTCTTTTCAGTACTGTAGAATGGAAGTGGTGTACCTTCTTTAGAGTTGATTAGTCTTTCACCTATTGCTTTGGCATCAGACTTGAATGTAAAAATTTTCTTGCCATGGATATTTTGAGCAACAAAGATGAACATGGAAATAATAGCACATATGATACCACTGGATGAATAACTACTATCCATTAAGTTTGACTTAGATTTACGATTCTTCCCATCTTCGTTAACAATAATCCAGACACCTGTAACGATACTAAAAAGACTTAGCCAGAGATTTAAAGATAATGGTAAAGTACTAATTCTAAGGCATTTTTGGAAAATTAAAATAAACACAGGTGATAATGTCTTGATACTAGCTACAGTAGATACTGGAACCAATGATGTTGCCTTGTGACCAAAATATTTTCCAACAAATTGAAACAACCCTAATGGTAGTACTGTACTGATTATATGTTTGGATGGGCTAATAATGACGGAATCTTGTCTATCTATTTCATGGTTAGTCGAATGGTGGGATTTTTCATTAGGATGACGATAATAATTTGGAAACGTTCCAATGGGGAAAGTGTTATAAATGCCATTATATTTACGAGCTAATGCACATGATCCTAAAGCTAATAATGCAGTATATATAAATTGGAATTCTCCTAGAAATAGTGGCAATGGACATTCCGTTAGGATCTTCTTGGTGACTCTAGAACCAATGGATGATATTGTGTACCAACATAAACAAAGTATCACAATATGTAAATGAGGTCGTACTCTTTGAACAATGGACATGTTTTCAGCTTTCTATTTAATAATAAAACTAAATGATTTATCCTTCTTGGGATTAGTACAATTTTCCACCACGTTAAAAATATCTTCGCAATTTATTCGAAAGTTAACCTTTACAATATTTCGTATAAAATATTGTTGCATCTTATTTTTTGTTTGTTGTTGTTTATGATTGTTTTGTTTGATGACGAGGGAAATATTCAGGTAATTTCCTGATGTACACTTTTCTTTGGCACGCAATCTCCGTAGGAGTAAAAAAAACTTAATCAACAAAACAATTTGTTACATATTTCAAGAATTGGTCTATTTTATTGAGAATCAAGTTGGTGGTGTTGTTTAAAAAAATGCTATTAATTATGCTTTTATGCGAGTGTATCTATGCTATATATATGTATGTATATTGTAATATTACAAAATGAGGAAGTTCTTAAGAAGTTCTGTCTTGCTGATCTCCTGTGTGAATTCTTTCTCATCTACTGTTGTTTTAATAAGTTTAACGATGTGTTTAGTTTTACCTGTTGACCTACCACTATTGATCTCTACAAGACCACAGGTCTCTAATGCATTGCAAATCTCCAGAAATTCATTTCTATTCATTGGTTTGAATACATCTTTATTATTAAGCAACTTTACGTAGTAACTGAATGCATCATCCAGATTACAACTACTTTGGAAAATATCTGTCTTTTCTCTTTGTACTAAACTGCACAATATGACTTTTTGTTGCATATTAATTTTACTAATTCTTGATCTTGTTGAAGAAGAATTTGTAATTGAAGAAAATACTTTTGCGATATGTTGTAATCCAATTTTTTTAATTTGAGAATCATCATCATTATTATTATTCTGTATAGAGTTTTGACCATTTTTACGTCTTTCCATTAAGTTTTCTAATTCAACAATTTCTATACTATGTCTCAAGATATCTAATAATTTTCTTAAATCACCTGTATTTCCTGAACATTTTTTTGCAGCAAATTTAATTGCCATTGGATTAAAAATGCATTCATCTAAAGTATTGATTTTATCCATTATAATTTGAAACATTTCTTCTGCTGAATAAGGGTTAAATACAACAGTTTTTGGTAATAAATCTTGTCTTAAATTTAATCTTGATAAAAATTTATCTTTCATATCTAACGAGTTGGCAATACCAATTAAGATGAAATTTATATCAGGTAACCTTGCTAACATAAACAATTCAAAGATTATTCTTGTTGCGTGAGTATCATTAGTTGTTAAACGTACTAGTTTATCCATTTCATCTAATATAACAACAAATGTTGTCTCCTTTGAATAATTTTTTAAAAAAGTTTGTAAATGTAACATTGTTTTAATTGTTTTATTTTGAGATTCAAATTCTTTTGTAACAAAGGATTCATATATTCTTTGAAATATTTGAGATGGTTCTTTTATAGCGATACAATTAATTGATGAGACGTTTACATTTTGTGTACGTTCTTTTAATGAAATTGGTTGATAATAATTATTATTTACAAGATCAGAATTATAATTTTGTTTAATATGAGATTTATTGATATCAATTGGTAAAAATTTATTTTTTAATAAAGATTCTAACTGTGCAGTCTTTCCTGTACCTGGTGGACCTGTAATGTATAAAGAATTACTTTTATGATTAATAATATTTTCATCTAAAAAGTTCATTATTGTTGAACATTGGTATTCTCTTGTTAATAAAGCACCTGTTTCATTCGGTGTTATTAATGAAGATCTTTGTAAAAGACTCTTTGTACGTGCATATATTGATTGCTTACCAAATACCAATCTATTCGATGAAATTTTATTAATTTTAACTTTTTTCTTTTCAGGTGAATTTTCTGGAGATGGATATTGGAAATTTCTTAATAATTTTTTTCCATTTTTAATTGGATCTCTAATTGGAGAAACTTCATCAAAATTTGTAAAAGAATCTAAAATATCTCTTGATCTTTTCAATTTTTTTGGTGTTTCAGGAAATGGTGGTAAATCTATTTGTAATGAATTCATCTCTTTATGTAAAATGGGGTATTTATGTGAATATAGTATTCTTTTACTTTTCTGTTAGATATCTTCTAAATGTGAATAAAAGTAGTAAATCTTGATACTATTAATACAAAGTACACTGCCATATATATATATATATGTATGTATGATCTGTGTATAAATAAAGAGGTACTGTTTTATTAGCTGGAGCAATATATCAAATTACCGTATCAGGTAATCGAATCCCAGCCATCGCTATATTTCTCAATTGAAGTTTTTCGAGATAAAAGAACAAAATCCTGCTACGCGAACGCGTACTATTGATCCTACATAATTATGCTAATTCAATTACATTTCCTGATCTGGTAATCAGCGCACCGAGTGTGAAAAAATCCACCAAAAACTCCATTTTTTGCCAGTCCTCGCTCGCTTGATCCGTATGGAATCCACCCTCGCCAGTTGTTGCCTTTAATGGCAGCGAAATATCCGGAACCCGAGAAGCACGTGAACAGCAATAAACACCAGAGAATATCCTGCACAAGGAAATAGCGGGATTTGTGACAACACTTTCAAAGCTGTCAGGGGCCAAATGTACAAATCGAGACGCGCGCAGTAAAAGAATTGAAGAAGCAAATAATCAAATTGGTAAATAAACTATTTATGTATGTTAATTGGTGCAATTGAGATATATATTTGTATACAGTTTGTTTTAACCACAAATAGACGTATGTTAATAGCAGTGGTTTAGGAAAAAAAGGTACTCAGAAATGAGTAAATTAATTTATAAATTCTATAATCCATAGATTTTTCACCATATACATATAAATAGTAACCAAAATTTAATTAACTTGGAAAGTAAGATTGTTTAACCCTTTTTTCCTTTGGTTTGGCCTCGAAGTACATTTATACATATATATCTATATCTACAATATATTTTCGAGTTTGCTATAATTATCAACTTTTCTTTCTTTCTTTTTTCTTCTGATTTTGATATGGCATTGTGGGATCAATTTAGTAAATTATCAATAAATTTAACTAGTGGAAATTTTAATCCAAATGAATTTGTCTTCGTTAAAGATAGTAATGTCTTTATGAGTGACAGTTCTCATGTATTATTTGCAATTTTACTTTATTATATTATTATATTTGGTGGTAAATTTTTATTAAAAAATACAAAACCATTAAAATTAACTTTATTAGTTAAATTTCATAATTTATTTTTAACTTTGATTTCACTTTTTTTATTATTATTAATTATTGAAGAATTATTACCAATTATTAAAAAATTCGGTTTATTTTATTCAATTTGTAATGTTAATGCTTGGACTCCAAGATTAAGAACATTATATTATATTAATTATTTAATTAAATTTTGGGAATTTATTGATACTTATTTTTTAGTATTAAAACATAAAAAATTAACTTTTTTACATACTTATCATCATGGTGCAACAGCTTTATTATGTTTTACTCAATTATTTGGTGGTACAGCAATTGCATGGGTACCAATTACTTTAAATTTAACCGTTCATGTTATTATGTATTGGTATTATTTTCTATCAACCTGTGGTATTAAAGTTTGGTGGAAAGAATGGGTTACACGTTTACAAATTATTCAATTCATTATTGATGTAAGTTTCATATTTTTCACTACTTATACTAAATTTGTTCATATTTATTTAAATGATTCAGGTTTACCAAATTGTGGTGATTGTGCAGGTACAATGAATGCAATGTATTGGGGTGCATCAATTTTATCATCTTATTTAATTTTGTTCATATTTTTCTATGAGGATCATTATACTCATAAGAATAAAAAACTAAAATCAAATTCATCACAATCAATTAATAATAACAAAAAGAAACAATGAAAAACACGCACACATAAATATAGTATATATATTTATTTATTTATTTATGTATGTTATGATGTACTAGTAACATGATCCTGTATTAATCGTATTCTTTTTCTATCTGAATTTGTACTATCACTATCACCTTCTTCTTCTTCCTCGTCATTATCATTCTCACTTATTTTATTGACATCTGATAAACTTGGATTTGATTCGTTCGTAGAATTCTGAATTGATTCTTCACCGCTTTTATTTTCATCTAAAGATGATGATTCATCCTCATTACTATATTGCATATCTTCTTCTTCATCTTCTTCTTTTTCTTCTTCCTCGGACATATCCTCAGCATCAGTCTTGTTGGTCTCGTACAATTCAGCTTGAACTCTATTCAATTGTTCAAGTTGCGTATCATGATTTGACCTCGATTCATTCAAAATCTCACGTAATCGTTCACTACCATAACCAATATCCCCCTGAGAATCATCATTAATTGGACGACGTAAATAAAATAATAAATACGCTGAACCAGCTATACTATCCTCAGGTACAGCTTCTGTTACGTGACCATCATTGAAATAATACCATTGATTATCAACACAATTCTTAACATATGCAGTATAATGACCACCTCCAATACCACCAAAATGATTATCTACAGCAATTAGATCGTATATGTAACCTCGAGGATCTTCTTGATCTACTACGTGATAACGCATATCAAGATTAGTAATGGGGAATTTAACTACTTCTGTAATTTTATCAGAAAAAGATCTTGAACTTTCAAATCTTTTCAAATGAATTAATAATATATCTGGTGTGTTCCATATTTGAATTCGTTTTGAAGCTTGCCTATGTTCTTTACATTTCGGACAATACCAAGAATCATTCACCCCTAAAACTTCTTTCTTAGAAAATAACTTTAAACAATCACCAAGTGTAATGTCTAATTTTTTCTTATTATTATTAGAACGTACTTCTCTCATCTCATCTAATTCTTTATTCTCTAACACACCAGGTCTCTCCCAGTTAATAATCTTATCAGATGTAAACGCTTCATCGACAGATAAAGTATTCCATTCACAGACAATGACTGTATTGTTATCCTTAAACAAGTCACTAAAATTTGGTGTATCCAGTTCAACCATTTTCTCTTCATTTAGTTCTACTTTTAAATCTTCTAGGTCTTCAACATCCATTGCCTCATTTTCTTCTTGTGGTTGTTCTAATAGTTCTTCCTCGACCGCAACATTTTCTTCTTCCTCTTTTTTTTCTTCATCACTCATCTCAACATCATTTTCCTGAGTTTCAGTATTTGCATTTTCCTTCGAAGTCCCATAATTATAAATATCAGCAATTATAGGATCCATAAAATCATTAATATCTCTGGCTCCACGATAGTTCATATGTCCAGGTGGGGTCCAGAAGACGGGACTTTCCCTTTTGGAATCATTTGAAGATTTTGAAAGCATTCGATCGTCAAGACCGTTTATAATTTTAATATCGAAAAACTTTTTACAACCCTCTGGGTTGTTTTCTTCGCTTGCCACTTCTGGAGTGAGATTTTCTTGTTCAGCAAGAACGGTAGGGTTGGCATATTTTAGATATTCTGTATATTTTTCTAAGTCAACATCAGGGTATTTTTCTCTAATCGATTGAAACTTATCAATAGAAACCGCAGAACCATCGTCATTATCGTCATACTCCTTATTTTGAGATGGGAAATGGATATATCCACCACTCAAATATTTATATTGGTTTTCTAATTTTCTTCTAACTATCAAAGGATTATTTATCTCTGAAGGTGATAGAGAAATGAAAAATGGAATACCAAATAATCTAGAGCTTGTAAAACCATCTTCAATAGATGTATTTAAAACAGGAATAATTGTATCTCCTTTTTCAGCTTGTATTTCATAAAATATTACTAAATCATTTTCCGAAATAAGTTCCTTCACACCCAAAAAATTAGATTGAGAATTATTAGACTCAAAATTATTGTAAAATTGATGACTAAATATATCGCAGCCATAAATGTTATTAACATCGAGTTGGGCTTTCTTCGCAATATATTCTTTCAAATCTTGAAATGTAGCGTTTTTATCTAATTCAACTTCTAAGGTACATGGTGGAGAATTTTGAGGGAATATTCTTACTTTGGATTTCCAAACAGAATCCACAGGCAAAGGTAAAGTTAAATCATTGTAAGGGTCAAAGGTAACTGATACGTTATTACATTCGGGACATTCCAATGTTGATTTATACATCCCAACAAATAAATCAGTAATTACAGAATCGTTTCTCCGTAGATGTGTTTCCCATGTATCGTTGGCCAATTTTCTAACTGTCTCAAAATCATCAACATCATCAGAGTCCGATAAGGATGGCTTTTCAATATATGGTTTATCAATGATTCTATTCAGATCCTCGTGTAAACTATCAAGTAAGAACGCCAGAAACTCTTGTGAATCTTGCTGTAAGTAACCAGAAAACATGTTGTTAATATGGCCAATGGTGGATTTAAAATGAGTAGGTGCCATGGAAGTCGCATTATTATTTGAACCTAGACGTTCAGCAAAGAGATTGTGTATCAGACTTGAAAACGCATTAGCCATGTAACCTTGATAACCCAGTGGATTTGTAGCGTTGATCTCACTTTGAAATCCGTTATATAAGAAATAATCTCGTAATTGTGGTATATGAACAAGACATTGTAAAGCTGAATTCATATAGCAGGTATTACCCAAATTTTGTAACCCCATAATTCCACGTCCTGGTTGTATCTTATTATAATTTAAATAATTCGAGACCCAATGGTAATTTTTATGAGATTGTATGACTTCAACAACAAAATTACCTGACAACATATTAAGATCTCTAAGTTTCTGGTTCAGAAGATCCTTCGTTATATGTGTTCTTGAATGAGAGGAAAGAAACTGTATTTCATCAACTAAATAACTTGAAGAATTAGAATTGTCCCCAGATTGATTTTCATCTTGTCTAGAATTGACATACCAAACTTTTATCTTGAGTTTTTCAATATCTAAATCATTCTCAATATCAAAAAAATATTCGACTACTTTAGTCATTGAATCCTTCAAAGTATCAATTGCTGAGGCCGTGAAAAAATTCGAATTATTAATATCTCTATAAGTCGAACTAGTCTCACTCCTCGAACGATTTTCGGGTGCCTTTAAATATTGAATTCTGAAATATATTTTATTGTATTCAGTTACCAATTTTCCAGTCTCTTGATCTCTTATTAGATATGTATAAAGAGGTTTTGAATCTTCAGACATACCATACCACTCAACAAGTTTAATAAAAACTGTTTCTGGTAAGCTTGTATAAGGATTAGTTTCATAATCCTTTAATAAGAAATTTTTATAATCTCTTACTATGGAACTAATTGCAATTGGACCCAATTTTGTTGAATCCTTGAGTTCTGTGTTAAAGAACAACTCATACCATCCTTTTGGGATAATATATACTCTGTCACCTTCACGTTCTTCTTCTCTATTAAGCTTTATCAATCTAATAATTTCACGCCTTTGTTCCTCAAGAATCTGGTCGTCATTATTTATATCTCCTGCATATATCTCAGAATTTCTCTTTTCTCCATCATCACCATCTTCTTGTGTCTCGTTTCGTTCTGAAGACGTTTCGTCATTATCCTCACTTGACTTTAGGTTTATTTGATCTGTTAAAGATTTGTCTAGTAATTCGATATTAAGATCCGTTAAATCGTTATTTTGTCCGATTATCTCATTAGGTTCACCATCCATTATCGAAAATATTAAATGTAAAAAAATGTAGAACTATGTGGGTACCCTCAGTACAAAAAATCTAATTGGATAGGTGTTTATACCAATGCAATAATATTCGGTTCTTCTTATGTGACGCCAAAATGCAAAATAAGGTAGAGAAAGATAAAAAAAAATGGTCGTCTATTGTTTTAAGTAGTGTCTTACTCGTCTCTATAAAGGCCGCAATAAATTGGTAAAAGCTATGCAAATAGGCGGTATATCATCTATATTGTTCAGGTGATCTCAATTAATAAAAAATATAATCGTAGAGTAATTATTGGATATGTATATTATGATAGCCTTTTGGTGATGAGTTTTTCAACACTTAAAACTCACTTAATTAAATTTCGATGTCGTTGGACGTGTTTTGTTTTTCTTCAGAGAGTGAGGATTCGCTCTATTTAAGTTACCGCTTAACAATCAACGCGAGGACCATCTCATGAATTTAATGCGACACATTCCTATTATATGTTAGTTAAGCATAGCAAATCTATAAAATAAAATCAAGAACTTAATGTTTGAAACTAATTCTATCTATTTGTTCTAAATATTTTTACAATAATATATATATTTATATATATTTACAGAGAATTTAAGGTTTAGAAAAAGTATATTGCTGAAATTTTGTATGCGAATGTTATTTATTTTTTTTGTATCTGCTTTTTCGAAAAAAATATGATGCTGATGACTTGAAAATGAAATAAAAATAAAATAAATGCTATATTTATGCAGAGGCAACACCATGTAAAATGGAACTCATGATACCATAACCTAATGTGATGACACATAAGAACACCACAATGGAGCAAGGTACACCTCTTGAAATGAATGTAGCCATATTTAAATATGGTTTATTATTTTTATCGTTCATTGAGATAGCAGTGACGTTAGGGAAACCGGATGAGGCAAGACCCATACCTGCGGATGCAAGTAATGCACAGCCAAATACAAGGATTGGAGCAGCCTTTGGATCACCAAGTTCGTCACCAACCTCCTTGACCAACGGAATAATAATAATAGCAGAGACAGTATGTGAAACAAAGGTACCGACAACCAACATTAAAGCACCAAAGATACATAGAACAGCCATTGTGGTATCATGTTCAATTCTTCTCTGTAAAGCTTTAGCGATTGTAGCCAATAGACCTGAAGATGAAACAGCCGACCCCAATGCTGTACCACCCATGGCCAGAATAACAATTGACCAAGGGAATGTATTAAAGTCTTTTGTGGATAGTAAACCTGAACCGAAAAATACAACAATTGGAATAATAGCAATTTGACCAGAAGAACCAAAAGCACTTTCTATTTGTGCTTCAACACACCATAAGATAATTGTGGCTACTGTCACGGCACAGATAAACCATTGTTTCAAGGTAAATTTAGTTCTAATTGGCTTAAACTTCTCTAATTTTGTTAAATTGATCTTGAAAGTTGCACACAAAATACCCCAACAAAGCAATGTTGCCAAAATACCAGCCGGTAAGGCAACTGCAAAAAATTGCCCCCAATTGATACCATAAGGTTTCAAATATTCCATAGAGATAATATTTTGAGGAGATGAAATTGGTGACGACATACCACCGATATTTGCACCAATAGCAACCCCAAGAACTAAAGCCTTAGCGAATGGAACATCGGCATCCAATGGGTCTAGTAGAGGACTTAGCAATGAGTAAGTCAGCACAGGTGCCGCAACATTAGAAATCCACATGGATAAGAAAAAAACAACACCCATGGCCATTAAAAGAACGTTTCTAGGTTTTGTACCTGCAGCTGCTAATAACCATGATGCAATGACTCTTGCGATATTATATTGTGCTAATACTTCACCTAATGTGAAACCTGCCAATAAAATGATAATTGTAGAAGTCCACATAGATGCTAAAATTTTAGATGATGCAGCGGCAGCCCCAAGGACACTACCATCTGTATCTTTCAATACTCTAAATAATACAACAAGTAATGGAACAAGCATAGCAGTGATATGTAAAGGAAGAGCTTCAAATGCCCAAAGCAAAGCAACACATTCAACTAAAGCCATACAACGACCCTCAACGTGATCATTAAATGTTTTTACCCCTAGTAAAATACCTGTAAATAAAATAACAAAAGCAATCTTAGCAGCTTTCCAAGTGAAAAACAATTTTGGGATAAATAAATTTTCAAATGGGAAAAATCTTTCATTATACATTGAAGTTGGGAAAGGAATTTTAAAGTATTCAAGTTGTAATTTACCTAATACTGCAGCATTTGGATCTTGAGCATCTAAATCCTGGTTTAAAGTATTTTCTTGAGATAATAAACCTAACATATCTTTCCATGTATTACTTCTTTCCCAAACAATATGATCATGTAAGAATGATTTTAATTCTTGTTTAGCTAATTGATCATTATTCAACGAGGTAATCTTTGAATAAAATTCAATCAATTGATTAATTTTATTTGATAAAGTAGTGAATGTATTCTTTTGAAAGATATAAGTATCACTGTAAAAATCACCAGTTTGGATTAATTCTGCTCTCATATTAAATTTTAAGACTTTATCAGCTTTCTTAGTAATCTTACTAAATCCCATTTTGTTTAATTCAATAAATGCTTTAAGTTGAGATAAATCAATATAAAGGTTAACAATATTTTTCTTTAAGATTGATTTTTTTTGAGACTTAATATCAAATTCTCTATAATGTAATAAAGCTGTCTCTTCTTGAGTATTACCAAATTCATCTTCGAAATCTTCTTCTTCTTCATCATCTTCTTCTTCATTACCAAATTGTTGAGTTTTATTATTAGTACTATTTGAATTACTATTCAATTCTTGTAAATCCATTGTTGAAGAACGAGTTGAAGAAGAAATTTTTTCTTTTTCAAGATCAGTAATTAAAGTATCAAATCTTTGAAAAAATTTAGCTTCAGTTCTTTTATAAAAATCATCAATTTTTAATTTTTCTTGAGTTAAATTATTATAAAATGAATCATAAGTATTGAAAAGTGTCTTATCATCACTTGAATCACTTGATCTTCTTGAAGAATCAAAAAATTTATTATTAACAACTTTCTTAAAAGGTGATAATTTTTTTAAACGTGAATTTTCATTTCTTTGATTATTACTGTTAGTAGCAGGTGGTGGTAAACTTTTAAAATCTTGTAACTCAATAGTTTCCTCCTGTATCATATCATCTTTCTTGCCACTATTAGTATTGTTATAATTACCTTCTAAATCATCCTTAAAAGGATCACGTGGAGATCCTACAATACTTGAAGGGCTGGAAATAGGAGTATTATTCTTTGAAGAGAATAATTTTCTTTTTAATCTAGCAGCTAAATTTAAATCATTTGAATTACCATCTATATTAGAATTAAGATCATCTTGATCATCATTATTATTTAGACCTAATTCATCAGTTTGTAAAGTGTAAATTAAATTTTTCAATTCATTATAATCAACATAATGATTTTGCCATTCTGGTACTGCATTATATTTCAAAAAATGAGAAAATCTCATTTTACAGTATGTTTAATCTGAATATAAAAATTAAATTGGCTATTGATATTCAATTTTCTCTCTCTCTCTCTCTCTCTTTATATTCTTTCAGAATAAAAAAAAAATGATCTTGTTAAATCCAAATCAAATCTAAAGAAACACAGATATATATATATATGTGTGTGTGTGTATCTGTCAATATTAAAAAAAAAACTTTGAGATGCCTCTTTGTTATTTATACAACTGAAAAAAAAGAGCTAAAAAGGCAAAGTGAAAAAAAGAAACAGATCGTTAAAAAGAAAGAAAGGTGCAAAGGAAATGTTTATTGTAGGTGCCAAGAACCTGATTGTTTGTCGTTCTTACCTATATTATTTAACATAACAAAAGACCTAAGATAAATTTACATTTACAATACGGATCTTAAACTACAGAAAAATCGATTCTTTGTTAATAAAATTAACTAATTTGTGAAAAATTTCACTATTTGTTATCCACACAGTAATAGATAAGTATTGAATGTTTAACGGTCCTACTATGTGGTTTGTGATATGGCTCTCATTTTGGTTACCTCTCTCAGCTTAAACACAGAAAGTACAATCGATTGCAGCCCCTCTCCCTCTCTCTTAATAGGCGTAAAAGGGAAGAAGAAGTAAGAAAAAAAAAATTTTGCAATTTTTTCTTCAATTTTTTCGTGATGGGAGATGTAGAATCGCACAGATAACGGCGTAGTGACTCATGGTATCCCGCAAATATCAAGGTAAAAAAAAAGGATTACAAATTGCACAGCCGTGTCCCACGTGGAGAAGCGTTAAACACATTATAGAAACAAACAAAATGCATGTACGGTATCACTATGTACGGTTACAACAACTTACATCATTGCATACGTGCATCACGTGTATATCAGGTGACTTGGTATGTATCACTGTGTACGGACGGAACTACTCGGAAAGCAAAAAAACAAAAAAGAGAAAATAAATAAATTCCACTGCAAATAAAATTAAAAAAAAAAAAAGGAAACCGCGGTCATTGCCAAAAAAGATCGCAGCGGGTTTTTGTACTATTTGCTTTTTGGCTTCTCCGAGAGAAGGAACACTACGTATATTTATGTGCGCATCAGCTGACTCATTCTCACTCAATTCATAATTGTGTGTGTGTGTGCTGTTAGCAGTGGCTGTTTTCCGCTGGGAATAATTCCCTTCCTATATTAATTAGTACTATCATTATTGCATTGCCTAGTACAGCCGCTACAGTAGTCAGTAACTGTTCGAAAATATTAACTAATTTTGCTATAGATTTGATGATTCAATGGATATTTAAAATGAGTTGAAATTTTTCACTGTTTTTTTGTTAAGACTAGATGCTCTTTTGACATTGAAGTATTTTGTTAATTGTTGTTAGTTTGAAATATTTGATATACTACTGATGACAAATACACTTGTAAGACGCATAGACATATATATATATATATAAGTAACATCTTGCTATTTAAATTTATTCTTTGCTTTATTTATTTTTTTTTAGTTTTGTTAGTGAAACTCTTTTGTTCTTAATTATTATTCACTTTGTTCTATCCTAGACAGTAAAAACAATACATCTCGAACTTAAAGAAATAAGAAGAGATGTTGTCTGCAAGAGCGGTAGCAAGAAGAAATTTTGCTAGTTTCTCAAAGATTCCAAAGGTATCAAGAGATTTACAATCAAGAGTTCCTCCATATGCAAAATTATTAACTAATTTAGAAAAAGTTCATAAAATTACTAATAATGAACCATTAACTTTAGCTGAAAAGATTCTTTATTCACATTTAACTAACCCTGAAGAATCTTTTGGTGGTTCATCAGGTGTTTCAGCTTTTAGAGATATTCGTGGTAAAGAATATTTAAAACTTTCCCCCGATAGAGTCGCTATGCAGGATGCTTCTGCTCAAATGGCTATGTTACAATTCATGACTACTGGTTTACCTGATACAAGTGTTCCAACTTCAATTCATTGTGATCATTTAGTCGTTGGTAAAAATGGTGAAGAATATGATTTACCAAAATCTAAAGATGCAAATAAGGAAGTCTTTGATTTCTTAGAATCATGTTCACAAAGATATGGGATTACATTTTGGGGTCCAGGTTCAGGTATTATTCATCAAATCGTACTTGAAAATTATAGTGCTCCAGGTTTAATGATGTTGGGTACGGATTCTCATACTCCAAATGCTGGTGGTTTAGGTGCCATTGCAATTGGTGTTGGTGGTGCAGATGCTGTTGATGCAATGACTGCAACACCATGGGAATTAAAAGCACCAAAAGTAATGGGTATTAAATTGACTGGGAAATTAAGTGGTTGGTCTGCTCCAAAGGATATCATCACCACTATAGCTGGGAAACTAACTGTACGTGGTGGTACTGGTTATATTCTTGAATATTTCGGTGAAGGTGTTGATTCTTTATCATGTACTGGTATGGCTACTATTTGTAATATGGGTGCTGAAGTTGGTGCCACTACATCTTTGTTCCCATATAATGATGCTCATAGACGTTATTTAGCTGCTACTGGTAGAAAGCAAATCGCTAATGCTGCAGATGTTGCATTAAATGAATATAATTTCTTAAGAAGTGATAAATATGCACAATATGATGATGTCTTAGAGATTAATTTATCAGAATTAGAACCAACAGTTAATGGTCCATTTACTCCAGATTTATCTACAAAGATTTCAGAATATGCTGAAACTTCATTAAAGGAAAATTGGCCACAGAATATTTCTGTCGGGTTAATTGGTTCTTGTACGAATTCTTCATATCAAGATATGAGTCGTGTTGTAGATTTAGTGAATCAAGCAGCTAAGGCTGGCTTGAAACCAAAGATTCCATTCTTTGTTACTCCAGGTTCTGAACAAATTAGAGCTACTTTAGAAAGAGATGGTATCATGAAAACTTTCACAGATAATGGTGCTATTGTCCTTGGTAATGCATGTGGACCATGTATTGGACAATGGGATAGAGATGATGTTCCAAAGGACACTAAACAAACAAACTCAATCTTTACATCTTTCAATAGAAACTTTAGAGCTAGAAATGATGGTAACAGAAATACTATGAATTTCTTAACTTCTCCAGAAATTGTTACCGCTATGATTTATTCTGGTGATGCGCAATTTAATCCATTAAAGGATTCAATTACTACTCCAGAAGGGAAAAAATTCACTTTCAAAGCTCCAAAGGGTGAAGAGTTACCTCAAAATGGATTTGAACACGGTAGAGATGTCTTCTACCCTGAGGCTGATCCAAAAGCAAATGCACAAGTCGAAGTTAAAGTTAGTCCAGATTCAGATCGTTTGCAATTACTAGAACCATTCAAACCATGGAATGGTAAGGAATTAAAGACCACTGTCTTACTAAAGGTTAAGGGTAAATGTACCACTGATCATATCTCTGCAGCTGGTGTTTGGTTAAAGTACAAGGGTCATCTAGAAAACATTTCTTACAACACTTTAATTGGTGCTCAAAATTATGAAACTGACGAAGTCAACAAGGTTTACGATTTAGATGGTAAGGGTTATGATATTCCAGGTTTGATGATGAAATGGAAGGATGAACACAGACCATGGATTGTATTGGCTGAACATAACTACGGTGAAGGTTCCGCAAGAGAACATGCCGCTTTATCACCAAGATATCTAGGTGGTGAAATTATATTAGTTAAGTCCTTTGCAAGAATTCACGAAACTAACTTGAAGAAACAAGGTATGTTACCTTTAACTTTCGCTGACGAAGCCGACTTCGATAAAATCGCATCCGGTGATGTCCTAGAGACTGTTAACTTGGCTGACATGGTTGCTAAGAATGGTGACAACGGTGGTGAATTGGATGTAAAGGTCACCAAGCGTAATGGTGAAACTTTCATTATCAAGGCTAAACACACAATGTCAAAGGATCAAATCAATTTCTTCAAGGCAGGTTCAGCTATCAACTACATTGGTGAACAACGTAGAAACGCATAAATAATTTCAACTGTAAGTTGTTTCATATGTCCAAATCCCTCACAAGCTTAAACAAAGGTTGATGTATCCCTGAGATACTATTTTCATCTTTTTGTTTCATTTTGGAACAAAAAGTTCTATGCATTAATTATATATTTATATGGGTATACAATCTAGTTTATTTATTTATTTATTCAAAACAATAAAACGTCGATTAATATTGTCTAAGTTTAATTCTTCTCTATTGGTTAATATATTTCCAAATTTTCATTTCTTTTTCATCATTTCATCAATAACCTTCAAACCTTGAAGTCTCTCTTCGTATAATGCGGCCAATTTGCTTACTTTACTAGCTTGCAAACCTTCTTTCATACCTGAAAATCCTACTTGAGAAAACTGATCCTTGGTTTTAATCTCTGCTTTTTTTGCCAGTTGTTTCTTTTTTAACTCTTTATCGAATTTCTCGAATTTTGAGACTGGTAAAGGTTCTACATTATCCGTTACCATATCTCTCATTGCATCATATTCAACTCCATTAGTGTCGTTCTTTGCAGGTTCTGTAGTGTCCGGAAGACTCATTATACTTGGCGGTGTTCTCATGACAGATGATCCAGAAGCAGATCTTTGTCCTGATACAACAGTCGCCCCACTTGATACACGGCTTTGGTAATTAGAGCCCATGTTATTAAACCTCAAATTTTCTTCTGTTAATTCGGTAGAACTTAATAAAGTAGAATCTGTACTACTAATACGGATTGATAGGTTCGGAATAGAAGATTTCTGAGACAATTGCATAGGAGATTTAGGTCTATTTATAGAGTCAGTGGTTTCAGGTGATAAATCTTCATCCTTTGAAAGTTTGAGTGAAGAGAATGACTTTATAGGGCTCTCACTACGTGGTTCATTGTTAAAACCAGATGAGCTTCTACTTGGACTAGTATTATATTTTGAGGGACTAGACTTTCTAGGTTTTGGTAGTACAGGTGGAGCCATTGGTGTTGATTGTATACTGCCTGGTGTTGTCTGTATTGATTGTACTTTCTTTACAGGTGGCATTGGAAGTGGTTTTGTTGAACTTGTGGATCTACCTCTTCTACTCAATTTCTCACATAAACTGACAATTTGATCAAAATTTTCTAACAGGTTTTTAATAAATCTTGTACCAATGGCTAACCTGTCGGTATTATTCATTGATAATTTCTCTTTGCATAATGTTGGTGCTAATGCTTTGCTTAGACTTCTCGATGTATGCTTTGTGATCTCTTCGGCTTTCATTATTGAAATAAATAGTGGAAAGATAGTAATGAACAAATGATAATAATTATTGAAATTTATCATCTCTACAAACGTTCTGAATGTATAATTTATATCATCAGATATAGGCAATTGAATCATATCAATTGGTACCAATGGATGTGCTTTATTTTTAACGAAATGAAGAAATACAGATCCTAGTGAATATATATCCCATTGTGATATATCGATATAATTATTTCTTTCTATTATATCAAGAAATATATTAACTTTTCTATAGGTACCTGGTTTTTGAAAAAGTAATTCTGTTTTTACACCATATATGCTAATTTTTTTAAAGATTTTATCGAAGATAAGTTGTCTATATTTTCTTTTAGCAAGGTCTGTCAATCTTGTAAAATATTCTTCTGGTACATCAATATATTCACAAATTTCATAATCATGAAGATAAACATTTAAGGATATTCTCAATCGTGTGATATCAATCAATCTAGATAACGTAGTTAAATCAGGAACATGTACCACAGCAACAGAACTTTCTGGAGAGTTTTCTTCTTCCTGTGAAGTGTCCTTTCCTAACATTGGTAAGAATTTAATATTCATAGCATTTGTTAAAACCTGGTATACTGTCCTAATGAAAAATGATTCATGTACAATATATGTCTTTTGAAGGAAAAATCTTGACTCCTTAGGTAATTTAGAAAACATTTTGATACCGTATACCCAACTGATTTTTTTTTCAGTGAAACCAGATGAGAAGACAACCAAAGAATATGGAGATTGCGGCAATTTTGTAATTAACATATCCATCAATTCGTCGATTAACAAATCATAAACTTGTTTATCACCACCAATCTCAGTGGGATCTGGTAAATATGTTGAATCAAACACATATATAGAGTGTCCAGAGTTTGGATCAATTGAATATGATTTAAAAAATATATTGTTTACGTTAATATCAATCATTTGTAACTAATGTTATGGTTTTAATGGTAATGGGTATAAAATTATTATTGTAGTAGTTCAGAGTCTGCCGTAGTTGTGGAATATGCAAATAATAGCTGATAAATGAAAGGATAGTTGTTTTCTAACTAAATGATTAGATACGTGAATAGAAGTTTAACTCAACAAAAAAGAAAATTTGTTCAATTTCACTAAAATGTTTAAAATGATAGCTCCCACAAAAAAAAAAGATGTATCTCTGTCTTTTTTTTTCACTTTCAAAGAGGCAATTACTACTAAGCTGTTAATATAGCAGAATTAATGTTGTGATGCTATCTATTTTGTTGTTTGTTTCTGACAAAAGTTTCTTAAAATAAAAATAACAAAATAACGTTAAGCTCATTAATATCTCGAAACCTCTTTTTTATTTATGTTATTCCACATCAGTCCTTCAGCGGGAGAAACGCCAAAATTTTTGTATGATGAATTCTCTGTTATGCGCGCAACCAAAATTTCATAGTGAGTGCGATGCAAACATCTGTACACCTCTTTCTATACTGGTCAGGGTACACACATTAAGCTGTTTAAATTAATATCAATTGAATAAGTCGTAAGTTGTTTAGTTGACGTTGAGATAGTACTGAATAATACAAAAGCTAAGCAGACAAATTTTTTCGAATTGATTTGGAAATTTATAATGGAAAGTGATTGCCTTGTGTACCCATGTATGTTAAGAATGAAAAATTGGCCGAGTTATTCTAACTAGCAACATTTAGACGATACTTTAAACAAAAACTAAATAAATATTCTTGTAAATACAATAAATATATTACAAATAATTCTAGAAATTTGAATGCTATCTAGATGTCGCTCTCTGAATTGCAATTATAGAAGATATCCTAACTGCCACACCCCACCAATAACGTTATTCATTTGTGTCACATAATACATTGGTCGCAGTATTTTTATATTTTTATTAAAGTATTACTATTCTGGATGCAAGCTACCCTCCAAAGATGTTCCCTTCCGTTACCAAACTTTTGTAATACTAATTATAAGATCCTAAATTCTATTTAGAACGGATTTTTTTAATTCACCCGCTGGTTGATTATATGCAAAGGAACTATGCATAATCTGAAATGTATAGTTTCTACTCTGAAATAGGATCCAAAATAGAAATGTCCTAAATTATATATAGATTAGTAACCGCCTAATAATATTATTTTTCTATCTAGAATATTTTTGGCAACTAGGTCAGTTGTTATCTTACATTAATAGATCTATTTATAATTCGGCCATAACTTGAAATGCCACTATTGGATATTCATTTCTTTATATAATGGGCAGAAGGTATCTGATTGAAAATATAAATGTCAAACAAAAATTAAAAAATAAAAATTAGTTATAAATCTTATCCCTGTGTAGGTATAGTCTAAGATAATCAAATTGAATTTAAAATCCTTGACAGTTAATATGCTAATCACCTTTAACAATTCGAGAAATCCCCTTCAGCGACAAATTGCTTAAATTGTATCATTTTTGACGGAATCATGCAAAAAATTTCCAAAAAAATATAGAACTCCTCATAGGGGGCTCGAACCCCTGACATTTCGGTTATCCTTGCTTAAGTAGTAATTACTTAAAAGCCGAACGCTCTACCAACTGAGCTAACAAGGATGAGTTCTATGACTCCTACAAAAAATAAACATGGTTATATCTCAATCAAATATTTTAGCTAAAAATTTCTTTAATTTCTCTATTTCAGTGTGAGCAAGGGGTGTTTTGAACTAAAAGACATTATAACATATTTTAAAACGGCTACTAATTATTAATTGATATAATAATATGTGTTAATCCTTTTGTTAGCTACTAACTGAGAGATCAACTCAAACTAAATATAATACAAGCTCAAACATTATTATTCTATTCAGATGTAATAGTGTTGCTCATTGTTTTAAATAGTGAGAATAATGTAATTATTATTAATATGGCAGGTATGTTTAATATAGTTACTTGTTTGAGATAAATCATGAAACTTTAGTTGGGATGGAATGAGCTATAATAAAGGCTGCCAGTGAGGCAAGTTCAACCTAGTGATGTTAACAGGTCTTAATTCTTTTACCAGAATTGGTTTAACAGGTTTAATAAGTAAATAAGTGGCCATTTTGTCAGAGAATTTATAACCAACTATGTAATTAAATAAATTTGTCAGAAAACTAAGGGTAATTTATAGTAGCACTTAGTCCAAAAATGTTGTAAAGAAATAATTGACAATATCGGATTTAAGCCAGCACAATTATAAAACCCATCACAAAATGTAAAATAAATACAAAGCAACCATTTATGCATGAAAATTGTTCTGGGACGTTGAGGGCTTATATAAAAGTCACAACTGTAAAATACTGAATAATTTAAGTTAATTAATTTGTAGATTATATAATTTAAAAAAAACGAACAACTATCATAATAAAAAATGTCCAGATTAAAAATCACCAAGAAACTAGAATTAAATGGATCAATGGAGAATAAATCTCTTTGGCAGGTTCTTTACAAAATTATACCTATTTCTCCTTTCGGTGTTCATCAATAATTTACACTAGAATGCAACAAGAGTGCAATTTTCAGATTGATACTTTACAAAGCATTAAGTAGTTTTTTTTGTTTAAATAAAATTCTCCAAGTATCTCAGGCTACTCTACTTTACTTTTCACTTTTTATTCTTCTTCTCTGAGCCTACTAACGCTATTGAAGAAGAATTATTACTTCTCCAGTAACGTAGAACTTCAATGATTGCCAGACCGGAGCTAAACTCACCTTAATACTCTAATAGAACAGTTTGAGTTCAACGTCACAGAGGGATATTGTTATTTTAGTTTTCAGACATCAGACACCTAAACTCTCTTTTTTTAAAATTAGTTTTGCGCTTCTTTTATAAGCGATGAATATATTTTTATATAGTTTCTGAAATTTTCCCTTTTTATGTACGGAAAGCATTGGACTTGTTGTACAGATTGCTAATAAATGAAACAGAGGTATATGTTAGAAATTGGTGGAAATACGATTAAATACAACATTTTTATTGTGATTGAATGGTACTGTTTTTTTTTTTATATTTTTGGTAAATTTTGGGAAAATATAGTTTATCACTTTCGTTTTTTTGTTTACGTTTTGGTCAGTATTAACACATTTCAAAGTTAGTTATAAAACAAAAATATTATATAATTCAGTATAAAATAAAATATTTCAAAATATATAAGGTATCGATTAACATAATAAAATTGTGAAAGGAATGCACTTGTCAACTTTATGGATTTTATTTATAATGATGATTCATAAAAAAGCTCAGAGTAGTTTCATGCTCAGGAAGTAAACAGAAATAAACTTAGCTATAACATTACAGCCGAATAAAATCTTATACTATTAATATATATATATTCACACTACATATTGAACACACTAACATTAATGCAAATAAAATTCACACTTGAGATTTATTTTTGCTAACAAAATAATTACATTTTTGAAATCATAATTATGACCATGCTCCTTCAGTTAAAGCTTTTGTTGCAATTTATAAACCAGATACTAAATAATGTAGTAGTATAGAGCCCTTCAATACCATCAAATGTGTTTTGTAGCGAAGTAGCTGATACAAATTCTAGAGTGCAATTACCTAAAACACAATTTTCCTGAGAATTGATTGGATATGTTGACATTCTAAATCCTTTATCGTCAATAAAATGTGTCTTGTTTAGTTATTATAAAAATAAAATAACCATATTGTTAAACTCATGACAATTACTGCATTCTTTTATTTTTCATTTTCTCTTTTTTCTCTTCATTCTTGTTTCACCAGCTTCTTTGATGATCTTGTTTTTACGTTTCTTAGTAGGTTCATTAGTTATATTAGTGTCTTTTGTTTCTTCATTAATTGCCGTATCTTTGGGTTTTGAGAAATACTCATTAAGGGCCTTTTTGGTTAACTCTTTTGATATATTTTTCTGAGCAAGCTCTTCAAAATTCAATGGTGTTTTGAAAAGTGTTGGTTCATTATCGTCGACTTCCTGTCCTTTGACTGGCGGATCCAATTTCACAATACATTTGTCATTGTTTATAAAGTTCAACCATTTGATTGCCGCGAATCGTATCTTAAAAGATTTTTGTAAAATATCATTACTTGTTGCGATGAGGCTAGAATATTCATTATACGTAGCCCTCTTAAAACATTGTTCTAACAGTTTATGCTGTGGAAGAACACGCTTCCTTTTATTACGTACAATCTGATCATATCTATTCACAAATCTAATAAATACCTGGTACAAAATATGATCATGTTCTAGAAATTTGAATGTTTCACTATTACCAAATTTATCTCGGATCAGACTGATAGCATTCTCTTGAATGCCGTCAGCTGTTATACCATCCTCTCCACCAAGGGTAACTACAAACTCTGCTGTCCTCTTTATAATTTCAAGATCCGTACTTGGTATTGAATGGTCGTCATTATTGTTTATAAAAATGAATGGTAACGGTTCTTCAGGAACAGCATTAGCAGATTCTATTCCATTTGATTTTGGGATGATGTTAGCTTCGCCATCTAATATTGACAAATAGTAACTATGGTTCACATCCTGATTGTTTAGAAAAGAAAACTTATCTTCAGATTCTCTTAAGAGTCTGTCCTCTAACTCCCTGCCATGTTGTCTAACGTATTCAGCTGTCTTTTTTATGTTTGCCTGCAATTCAGCATCCATCTTGTTTCAATTGAAGTAATGGTTTTATTAGAAGAAAATTTTGTTCCTAAACAAATTGGTGAGAAATAATTTTGTTCCCTTTGGAGTTGGTTTCTTATCGATTTGGTCACTCCCAACTGAAAATAGACATTTGAACAATTATACTTTCAATATGTATTTTTTTTTTCTTTCGCTGTGAGCTCGGTCAGTCCTTTAAAGTTCTAAACCTTTACAGTTCTTTAAAATAATTCACCATCACAATTATTCATATAATCAATGTAAACTCAAATATTTCAAAAGGTACAGGAGATAAATGAATCATCGATTGGATTAAATCAAGTAAAACTATAGATATTGCCATTGTCCTAATTTTGTATTAAGTGAAAGGAGATACCAGTAGGAAAATATAAAATCACCCTTCATTTTTCTTTTAGAGTTGACTTATGAAACATAAACATTCAATTATAAACTTATAACACATTATAAATAATATGGATAATATACTTCAGGTCGAGGATATAGTAAAGAATATAGTGGCTAACCTAAATGCGAAAGATTATATTAATTTTAAATGTACAAGCAAGAAGGTATACAACACGTGGATTAGTAAAGAAACTGACTACATCTATTTCTCAAATAAACTGAAACAAATTGGTCTTGATGAGGAATCTATTGAAGAACCATCAGAAAACAAATTAATTGATGACGTAGCATATACTGATATTACTGTGATCAATGCTTTTGAAAAAATCAAGATATTCAACAAACAAAACTATTTAACAATCTACAAAGTTCTTTATCAAACATTCAATGATTATTGTGAAAACCTCTATACAAATAAACTTGCAAATTTTTTCCCAGTACAATATGAAAGTGATCCACTTCAACAGAGTCAAATTCTACAAAACATTATTCGTTTTAATGTCTCCAATAATAATGATTTTGAATATTTTACTAAAGTTGTGACAAATTTTAACATATTGAAAGAAATATTCATCAATTCGTGTTTAAATGAAATGGAAATAAATTACAATGAAACAGAATATGCAATTGTTGGGAAATTTACCAAAGTTCTTTTAACTTTTGGTGAACAAAATATGGTGATCGATTTTTTTAATTCTAAAATCGAATACCCATCACCACCTTCTCTACCTACGCCAAACGTAGAGACAACAAGTAAAACTACTGATACTAAAACTAATAGTTTTTCCGATGAAGAGTTGATCGAGATATCAAAACCTTTGAAAGAGTTTGTGAAAAAAAATATAAATGTAATCGATTTATTGTTTGAGGAAAATTATCCGATGTTCACCAATTTTTTTGAAACATTTATACAACAATCGTTAATACCTTTTACCAATGAAATATTAAAGGATAATGGAAACGAAGATACATTTATTAATGAATTCCCTTTAATATATTCTCATATTATTGAAGAATTCTGTACAAATTTGAGTTATTCTATAAACGGTAGCATGAATGAAGATAATTTAAACAAAGAACAACGAGATAAATTGTTCCATGAAAGAGTATATGATTTATTGAACGTTTACTTACAACCCAATATTTTAAAATATTTAGACCAATCAAGTATTCAATTTGAAAAAAACATTCTTAAACAATTCAATAATTTTCAAATCGAACAAAAAGAAAAATCTGAAAATGAGATATTAAATTTAACAGCTGAAAATTCAACTATAGATTTGAACGAAAACCAAAATAAGAATGGTGATAAATATAATTTCTTGGATTCATTTACGAAAGTTTTTGGGATTAGCAGTAAGACATCAAAGGCTGAACAAATGAATGATAATTTAACGAGTCTAATGAATAACAGTTTACGTAATATTAAAAACCTGATAAATTTAGAATTATGCCTGACTATTGTTAGACAAACTCAAACAAGGATTGATATTTTTTTACAATTCAAAGCCTCAAAGAACCTTACTTCAATAATTAACGAAAAATGTGAAAATATCTTTAGAATATTAATAAAATGTTTAAATGAAAACCATATTCAACCCGCATATGAAAAAGCTATTTCTTTATTACAAAGTTATGACATTAACGATTTACCCATTAATGATATATCCAAACCTTTAGACAGTAAAAAAAATGCTACCCAATCTGTTGAACCATTAGTTAATTTTGCAGAACTTATCAATACTAGTGATATTATTTTACAAATGATTTCAATTTTCTACAGGAGTGAAATGGTTACAAAAAAAATCATAGACCCAACAAAAGAAGCTAAGAAAAATATATTTGAAAGTGGATTATTACAAACTAAGAAAAATTTTGAATCCACAGTAGATAATTTCGTTGCTGATGGATTAAATATTGGTATCAATAAATTAGTTGATCAAATCAATCATACATTCAAGACTGTACAACTTCCTACAGATTATTATCCACCAACGCATAAAAATACAGTAGAGATTAAACCTACAGAATGTTGTAGAAAGACAGTTACTTTATTGGATAATCATTGTTTTTTATTAAATGGTGCCACAGATAAAGGTACCATTGATGTATATCAACAAGAAATTGGTAAAAGATTTTTCAATATTTTAGTAGAACATTTAAAGACCCAAATCATTTCTACTGAGGGGGCAATAATACTTATTTGTGATATGAATCTATATTTTGATTTTTTTAATCAAAAATTAAAACAAAAATCAATTATCCCATATTTTCAAGCATTGAAAAATGTAAGTAATCTATTTTTAATAGACGGTAAAGATTCCAAGGAACTGGGTAAGCTTATTGGAGATTTAAATAAATTCCAAGGTATATTTTCACAAGAAGAAATATATGAATTTGTACAAAGGAGACAAGATTGGTTGTCCGTTAAGAGAGACGTCGAAAAGGTTATGTACGGCCTCGGTCTCAAGGATTGTGTACTCATGTAACCTTTTGTACTAAGTTATGTAAGTACGATATATATGATGTGACAAACAATGAGACAGATAGATACCTCGAGATTCTTAAGTGAACAAATCCGATAATACGAACACTACTAATCACCGCATGTAAAAACGAAGTTCGATATCCATTGTGCATTGTTTCCCTTGCGAACCAGATCCTCCGATTCGATCCGATTTTCCTTGAAAACACTGCCACCTCCTCTCACCAAAGATCGACACAATGACACAAATCTCATTTGAAAAACAACAACGACAACAACAAATTTGTTACTAAATTAGGAAAAAGAGAATAACAACCTACGTCAAAATCAGTAACCTTTGCTGTAGCGATATTTTCCAATTCTATTGTTCTCTTTGGTCTGCTTTGTTCAAACAGTCTTTTTTCAATTATTCATTTTGTCATTGCGGCTTTTGTAATATTGCTTCTTGCTGAAATATTTTGTTATAGATTTTTTGGAAATTTCGGTTACTACGTAAACAACGCAAGAAACAAAGGACGAAAAACTGGAATTGAGAAAGGATGATTGAGGGCATCACAAATTGACCTTTCTGGATGAGTTCCTTGTTAATTTTTTTTCAGTATGGGAAACCAATACGTAGTTTAGAAGAAGTAATAAGAAAGGAAAAGGTAGAGCTTTCTTTCTTTCTTTCTTTCTCCTGGGTACTTGATATATGATTATTACAAGCCTATCTTAAATTATTTAACTTAAGAAAAGGGGAGAAAAAATAATATAAAAGTTGCACATAACTATCTATAACCAACTAGTGTTTTTATTAATATTGAGAGATGCCAGTACATGCAAAATACTTGTTTGGCAAATATATAGATACTAGTTTTGCAATTTTAATAGGTACTATTAGTTATTTTGTTTACGAAAAGAAAATAAATAGACCCAAAGATCAACAATTATTTTACTTATTAAAGGATAGATTTTCTGAACATAAAGTTATAAAAAACGTATCAGAAGAGTACTAAACAATTTGAAATCTAATCCTCTATTGTCCTTTTTTCTTTTGATTTGTGTACATCTATAAACTTAAGATGGTAGATTTCAGACCAAGGTTACTTGTATTATCTGCTGACAGTAAAACCAATAAATTAATTACGAAGAATACTCGTGTATCAAGAGCATGTTTGATCTGCAGAAAGAAGAAACGGAAATGTAATGGTTTAAATCCCTGTGATTTTTGTAGGAGATATTCTTTTAACTGTGCTTATAGTGATAAAAAATTTTCAGAGATAAGTAATGACGAAATCAAAGCTTTAAAAAAGAAAAAAGATAATGAAATCAAATCTAATGAAAAATTAATTCTTCAAGGATCTTCAACAAATTTTGATGAACATAATGATATTGATGATTATTCAGATTTTGATTATAAAAATATTGTTCAATTATTGATACCAAAAAAAGTTTTAGAAAAGATAAAAGATGATAATCAATCTTTTGAAGATAGAAATACATTTATGATTAATTTAATTAAAAAAAATATTAATAAAGAGAAATTATTACTAAATTTAAATTTTTTTAATGATTCAAATAGAATTTCATTACCACCAAGAGATATTGCAATTAAGTTAATTTTAAATAGTTGGAATTATTCAGGTGTTTTATTTCGATTTTATCATCGTCCAACTTTGATTAATATATTAGATTCATTATATGAAAGTAATGGATACCCGAAAAATAATGAAGAATTACAAGCACAATCTTTAATATATGCAATCTTAGCAGTTGGTGCACTTTTTTCAAAGGATGAAATTAATGAAAATGATGATAAAAGAGATAGAGAATTTTATAATGACGAAGGATTAAAATTTTTTAATAAAGCAAGAGATACAATTAATTTTAAAGAAATTTCAGATATTTATTCAATTCAAGCTTTATTTATGTTAACGATGTTTCTTCAATGTTCAGCAAATTTAAAATCATGTTATTATTATATCGGAATTGCTAAAAGATTGGCGCTTCGTGAACGTTTACATCGTAAATCATCCTTAATTGGTCCAACGATGATTGAAGATGAATCAAAGAAAAGGTTATTTTGGTCAATTTATAAAGTTGATATTTATTTAAATTGTATCTTAGGATTACCATGTAGTATGCCAGAAAATAATGTTGATCAAGAATTTCCATTAGATATTGATGATGAAAAGATAACTTCAGTAACCAAATTAAATGATTTTACAAAGACTTTAAATAATCCATTAAGAGTAATAAGTTCATGTGGTATGAATAATGAACATACAAAATTAATATTAATAATGTTAAATATTTATGAAAGACTTTATCCATTAAATTTAGAAATTTTAAATGTTAAACAATTCGAAATTTTAAAATTTGAAAAAAAATTAATTAATTGGCATAAAAATTTACCACTACCATTATCATTAGGTTATAATTATAATACAATTGAAGAACGTGATCATTATTTAAAACCAAGCAAATTATTACAATTAGATTATTTATTAACAAAATTAATACTTTATAAACCATTTTTCCATTTTATTAGTATTGATTTAACAAATTTAACATCAATGAATTATTCGAATAAAAGAGATTTAAAATTCCAAGTTTCAATGGCACAAAGATGTATTGATGTATCTGAAGAAATCATTGAATTAGCCACTACAATGATTGATGAAGATATAATTAATGGATCATACTGGTTTTCAATTCATACAATATTTCATAGTGTTGCATGTTTAACTGTCTATAGACATATTTTACAAACAAGAGATCAACAAGAAGAAAATAAAATTAAAGAAAATGAAGTTGAAAAATATTATCAATTAGGTTATAATGTTTTAGTTAAATTAAAGAGCAATTCAATTGCAAGTGAAAGAATTTATAATGTATTAAATGAAATTTTTGAAGAATTTGATAGTCAAATGATTAAATTATCCAGACAAGCCTTATTTACATTGACAAATGGATTTGATTCATATCATTCAATGATTGATATGAATTCAACCAATTCAATAATTGCATCAACTTCATCATCAAATAATAGTAATAATTTATTATCAAATAATACTAATAACAACAATGAGCATTCAATTGAAGAATCGAATTCATTATTTAATTTAGATGATCAAGCAATTTATGATGAATTTTTATTTGATCCACAGATTTCATTAGAAAAATTATTAGAAGAGTTAGGTAATTAAACTTATATAAATATTATTATTATTATGAATATTATTATTATGAATATTATTATTATTATTATTATTATTATTAATATATGTAATTTGTCTATTTCTTTTATAATTTAAGAAAAGAGAAGAGAACAAATAAAAGGAAGAGGAAAGAAGGTTATCATTATCATAATAATAGATAGGTCATTAGAAGTTAGAAAAAAAGGGAGGAAAGAACAGTCAGGCAGGGATCAAAAAAAAAAAAGACAAAAAAAAAAGAGAAATATTGAATTTTTTAATTTAAAAGATAACTCTTTCAGTTGATGGTAATTGCATTGGTTTAATAATTAGATAAGAATTTTGTCTATTTGAAACACCTGCATAAGCGTTATACCAAGCAATAAATGCAACAATAACACCAATAACACCACCTGCTCTCGTGACACCAATTTTACCAGAAAATTCACCGATACAAAGTAATAAAAATACAATGCTTAGTAAAAAGAATAAAGAGAAAAACATTACAGTAGATTTCATTGTACAAACAGTTAAACCAAATGTAAAAATTGTCCAGCCTAATAAATAAAACCCTAAAGCATTTGCTAATTGATCTTCTTTACCTTCATAAGCATCAAGAATACCAAACCATGGGATATGAATTGCACCAAAACTTAACCAAAAACCACCATAAGAACTTAAAGCGGTACCACCAAAAGTATTTTCCAAAGCAATTTCCCAAATACCTGCAATTAATTGAACAAGACCACCATAAAAAATTGCGCAACCAACGACAACGTTTGGTGTTTTAATACCTTGAGCTCTTGCATTAAACATTGAAAGAATAAAAGTTGTTAAAGCGAAAGCGGAAAGACCTAAAGGAGCGGGATTTGCAAACTTATGTGTTGATGGTGGAGCTAAACCAGGTTGCAAAGTACCACCAAATGCTTCATAAAGATCAGATTTTAAAAATTTTTGTCTACCAATATACATATATTCATTATTGTCACCCGTAGTATAAATTTTACCAATTGAGTCATTTGACATGTTATGTGGTTGTGGTATAGTTTCTTGTGGTTTTAAAGAATTTTCCACATCACCACCACTAGAATAATCTTTGTCGGACATTTTTTGTTTTATTAAAATTATTATTGTTATAAGTTAGCCTAAATAAATATATATTTATAGTATATTTATAGTATATTTATATTATTTATATTGTAATAACAACAACAAGAAGAAATGATGAGACTATTCGAGAGTTGAATTAATATCCAAAACACCTTGCCCTTTTATAGTGTTCTGGTTTTTCCATTCTCTTGAAGAAAAATGCAACAATAGTCCTCTCTTCAGTCCCAGACGAGGATCTCCACAAAACACAAACAACCCACGCACTAAACAAAATTAACCGCCAGAAGATAATCTTAATCTTAATTTACCCCAACAGCAGCAACATCTCACTCGCTCGCTCACCCCAACAATTTCTGTGGAGTGCAAACCCAGAAAATGCGAAAGTGTGACTACCCCATTCATTCATTCCACTTTCCCATTTCCTCCGTCAAACTTTAAAATTGGAGAATTTGTATTCGAAACGCCCAGAAAATCGTTTTGCTTTGCTTTGCTTTGCCGCCGTTGCCCGTCGTCGTGGTGGTTGTTGCCGCTGCACTCGTCGACTTCAGCTGATGGCATTCTTGTTTTTTGCGGGGAGAGAGCGTGTGTGTGTGTGTGAGAGTGTGTGAGGCAACGACGACCGTTGGAGAAATTAGTGAATTGTTGTTGGTTTCCCCAAATTAAATAACTGTCGTTGGAGAAATTTTAGTTTGGTGCGCGCGGTGACAGCCGTTCCCCCCGCAAAAATACATACACACATATTATATTATATTATATTATATTATATTATGTAGTATATACATATATATATATAGTGTGTGTGGGTGGGTGAAAGACTAGTATATTGGTGAACTATTTATTACAAAGTCCACTCGTCAAAATATACTGCTTCTTTATCATTATTTGATGGAGCGATACCTCTAAAATAGTCATAGACACAAAAATCTTGTGAATCATCATCATATATTGATTTATTATTAGAGTTCTTATCCTCTGTCTCTTCAGTTGTTGCTCTAGTACTAGTAGTCATTTTACCTAATTGTAAAAGACTTTGCAATGTTACTTTATAATAATCATGTTCTATACGTTCAAGTTTATCATCATAAACAAGGACTTCACACAAACTTCTAATATCCTTTGTGTTTAATTCAACATTGGCTACTTGTGCTAGTGATATAAAATCAAGTATTTCTTGTGTCGTTGAACCATTTGAAACAGTTGGTGCATAATGTACTTGTTCTTGTGTTTTATTTCCCGTATTAAATCCATCAGGAAATGTATTCTCAGCAATATATCTCCAAACAATCGTTAACAAACTATTAATAAATTCAACATCCAATTCTCCTTCTGTAAACCATGGCCCCCCTGTAACTTCAATTGACGGTTGCAAATTATACAACATGTATATTTTTCTTGTTGGAAATTTTACACTTTTAACACTTTTAACGTATCGTTGACTCTCTAAAGATTTTAAACATTTAGACACAACATGTTGATGTAAATTCGTCCTGGCTTTGATTGTCTTTGACCATATACCTTCACGTCCCGATGCTTCAATATACGAATAAACTAATGATTCTTCAGATGACATCGAAGATTTTTTAACAGCTTCTGTTATATCAACAGCTTGAAATTTTAATTCATTATTTTGTTTAACCAATTTTAATAAATTTCTATCAACCAATTCTTGAACAATTAGCATTATTTCACCTAATGTGGAATTCATTCCAATAAATTGTTGGATATCTTGTTGTGTGTATAATTTATTTTTATCATCATTCGAAATCATCTGATTATGTAATCGACTCGCATGATCGGATAACTTTATATCTTCTGTAAGTCCACTCATCTTTAATCCTTGCTGTCTTTGCTACCTTGTTGTATCTTGAGTTTGTTATATATAGTCCTGTCGTAATTTGTTATATATTCAGATCGATCAATGCTGCTTTGTTTTCATATATATATATATATACATACATATCTGAAATTTTTCAACTTTTTTCAAAATTTTTTTTGTTTTTTCACCGATGACTTCGTATTTATTTTTTTAGGGTATACAGATTAGGTCTATTTTTTTCCGCTTATATATCGCATTCATTCATTCATTCATTATCTTTGTTCAATAACAATTAATTTTAATGATAAATAACCAACAATTAAAAAAATAATATTAAATAAAAATAAAATTTTTAAATCAAATATTAAATTTTGTATCTTAAATCCAAATGTACTTAATATCGTTGCACCAGGTACTTCAATATTTAAACCAAATTTTTTCTCCTTCAACATTAAGGTTTTAACTTCATTGATTAATAAAGATTCATATGCATAATAAAAAATTGATAAATTTTTTAAATTTTTAAATACAATATTGGTTAATTCTTGTGTATTAATAAATAACCCACTGAAAAGTATTGAAATCAATAATATCATTACACTAACAATAATCGAATTATTAAGATTTTCAAAAATTATACCTAATGATAAAATCTCTAATGCAATACCAACATTAAATAATATTAATATTAAAATACATTTTAAAAATGAATTTTCATTATTATCATTATTTAATCCAATTAATGGATAAATTATTATTATCATTATTATTGGTGGTATAACTCTTAATGGTAATAAATCACTTATTATTTTACTAATATAATAAGCTAATGGAGAATAATAATTATTTGATCTTTCTTTTAAAAAAATTAATCTTTCTTGTGAAAATGAACTTAATCCAGTAAATGTAACAAATCCAAAATATGTTAAAATGAAAAAAAATAATCCCATACGATTTTGAAATCCACTAATATCAATACTAATATTATAATATAATGTTCCTAAAAATAAACTTAATAAAATTGTTAATAAATAATTGGCTAATAATAGCTTGGGATTCCTATAAATATTTTTAAATGATCTTGAACAAAGTATTGATAACTGTTGGAAAAATGTTGCAGGTTTATGCTTTCTTGGTATTTCAATTTGTTCAATTAATGATATACTTTCAGTATTATCAAAATTATTAATATCTGATATCTCTTGTAATAATGTTGCATAATATGGACTATCTTTATATTTTTCTGTTAAAAATTCAGTATTTGATAATTCTATAATATTTTCACCATTGGGAATTTCTTCTTCACCATCTTGTAACAAACCTCTCATTTCATCTCGATGTTCAGCAAAATGTTCCCATTCATTTTGAGTAGTACTTCTATTTAAGGAATGAGAACCTAATGGATTATTAGTATCATATTTGATGTTAGGTGACATGCTATTTTGTCCTTGTTCATCAACTTCAATAATTCCATGTTCTAAATCATGAGTATTAAGGATACTGTCAAATTTCTTATTAGAACCAAATGTAATATCAATTAAATAATCTGCAACATTATAATTGGGTGGACATTTAAAACCACTATTTAATAAATATTCATTGATACTAATTGTATCACCAGAATATATCATATTACCATTACTCAATAATACCAATTTATCAAAAAGATTAAAAATATTAGATCTTGGTTGATGAATAGATAATACTAATGTTCTATTATAATCTTTTGCTAATTTCCATAGACATTCAACAACATTGTTTGCATTATTTGCATCTAATCCAGATGTTGGTTCATCTAAGAATAAGATCAATGGAGATGTCACAAGTTCACATGCAATTGAAACACGTCTCTTTTCACCACCAGATATTCCTCTTTGAAATTCATCTCCAATGATACGATCTTTAATATCAAAAATTCTTAATTGTTCTAATACTTGAATGACTCTTGCTTGTTTAGCTCTTAGAGACATTGATCTTGGTAAACGTAATAAAGCACTATTCAAAATAGTTTCATATACAGTCAATGTTGGTAACAAATAGTTTTCTTGATCAACAAATCCGATCAATTTCGAGAATTGTTTACGAGGGACTTCAATACCATTTATTCTAATCGTGCCTTCTACAGAACCAGATTTACGTTTCATTGCTAAAATATCTAACAAAGTAGTCTTACCTGCTCCTGAACCACCCATAATAGCTAACATTTGTCCCGGTTTTACACATCCTGTAATATTTTTAAGTACTGTGGTCATTAATTTTGATTTTTTTGAATCAATCGATGGAACTGAATAATTAATATTTTCAAAACTAAATGTTGTTAATAAATCACTCTTTAAAAAATTATTATTATCATCAATATCTCTTGTTAAATCACTATTATCACCTAAGAAAATTGAATGTTTAAAAAGTGGAGAGTTAGAGATATAAAAAACAGTCATTGTAGCTATAGCTAATACAGTTATTGAAGTTAATGTTAGTATTATTTTACCTCTAAGGGTCATATTTCCTTGACCATCTGGTGATTTATAACCTGGAATTTCACTATAATGTAAACATTCTCCTGATTCACATTTTAAAGAAATATAAGGATCACCAAAAATCGTTGATATTAAATCATTCATTGAAGGTTCTGAAAAGACACATTTTTTATTTTCTAAATCGCAAGTAAAATCACCTGGACCTTTAATAGTTTCAGATAAAAATTCTCCAATATCAATAGATCCATTTGCACCACATAGCATTGTTCCTGGTAAACATTTGCATTTAACATTATCACAATTATAATGAGATGTATTTTTAGAGGTATCATAATTAAATTGACAAGTATCTAATTCACAATAAAAACTTTCGATTTGATCAATCCAAAACTGAAAATTACATAAATCTTTTTCTTTATCACATGAAAATGTTGCTTGTGGTAACTTCCCATTAAGAATTTGTAAAATTTTTTGATTTGTTACATTACAAGCTTGATATAATTTATTAACAATCATTCCTTTTTTATAACATGTACCTTTAAGACTTTTATCTGGCATAAATATATCACAAACAGAATCTTCTTCACAAATATTACAATTAATTCCACTCCAACCCTCATCACAAAGACATGAAGTATCATTTGAAGAACGTTGAGGTCTATTATTATTATTCTCGGCTAATGAACCACATAATGGGATAGAACAATCATCTCCTCCAAAACCATCAATACAATCACATCTACCACTAAATTCATTACATTGGGAGTATTGTTTACATTCAAAAATGGGTAACATACAATTAAAACATGGTGGACATTTATCATCATCACCATTATTATTATTTCTACCTAGATTTAAAGTTGCTTCTAAAATTTGAGAATTACTCTTTGGTATGAGTAAGCCACTATTAAATAAGGAATTATCATTATCATTATCATTATTATCGATATGAGCTAACACATTAAACGATAAAATCAAACATATTATTGTGGATGAAATTAATTTATCATATATATATAAATTATTAAAGTTAAACCTTTTCATCTTTCCATTACCAAATATGAGTAATTATCTTTTTTATAATAATTTATTGAGGTTAAAAAACAGATAAAGAACAAAAACAAAGAAACACACTAGAAGTAACCTTCAAAAAAGGAATATTAATCAAAGTCAAGGGTCTCGTTCCCACAAATTAAGAAATTAAATATGCCAAATTTCAAACTAGAATCAAAAATACACCCCAGAATGATGACTTAAATGCAAAAAAGATTAACGATTGATAGCTTTTGTATTATTTCTCTACCCTTTTGTTTGAACTTTATTAAATTTCTGATATTTCAAAATATCCAAATCAAGAACATCAAAATGATATCCTCTTTCTAATGTTATCATTCAATGTTTAATCAATAGTTCAAATCAACTTACTCACCCCTTCACTCCAATTTACACCTTTATCTCCTCTTCCAGTTTATACTCCCCGCCATTCTTGCCGCTAACTAAATATTCACACAGAAGTACAATCAATACGTAATACAATGCATACGCACATACACAGTGAGAAAACCAAACCGCGATGACTTTTTCACAGCTCAAAAAATCAATTCAAATAAAAATTTCAAAAAAATTAATTTTTATCAAAATATTGGATTTGGTGTTACCCGGGTCAGTCTGGGTAACACTTCTTTTTTGAATTTCCATTCACGTGCTCGGTCGAATGGCTTTCTTGCTCTTACCTGTCTCTCTCGCGCCATATTCCGTGCGAAAGTTGGCTGGGCATCCACTAAATTCCAATTTTTTTTATTTGGCTGGGAAAAGAAAGATCGGGGGATTCCTCTAAGCCTGAACTGTTTTTTGGGAACCTGTCTGCATTTATTGTGTATCTTCGTTTCCTAGGACTCTGTCCACAACAAACACCGCAGCCACATATGCTCCCTTTTTTCTCGCTCTCACCCACGCCCACAGGAAGAGAGAGAGAGAGACAGGAATCCACATCCACACATCGCAGAGAGAAAACGTTGATCTTTCAATAAATACATAGTAAAGAAATAAATAAGAGAATTTAGAAAATCAAACGCGCCCTCGAGAAAGTGAGAGTAAGACACTATTTCCCCCATATGGCTAACGAAACAATAGAGAGAGAGAGAGAGATATTGATTGAATAATCCTCTTCTATTCATTCCAGTGCGTAGAAAATTTAACACCAATACTAAAACAAATTAATGCTAGTAATTTCTCTCATCTTATCCCACTAAGAAGAGAATAGGAAGGTTGCAGAAAATGTAAAAAAGGGAATAATAGAACAGTAAAAACACCATTTACTGTGTGTGTTGGTATGAAATATCATATATATTTTCGTTGTCCTTTAACAATTGCTCATGTGAGACATTATTTCGTAACAATTCTCTGACCTCATTAAAAATTAGAGTTAGTTAATTTTACTTCTTAAGAACATACCAAAAAAAATGGTTTCCTTCCCCTAGGTAGTTGTACTCTGCCCTCATTTTAATTCTTGAATTGCTTGCTTTCCTAAAAAGTATATAAATAAATGTCAATTGTACAATGTAACTCGTTGTCTCTCTCTTTTTCTTGTTTTCTTTATAACCTTTAATTTAAAAACCTATATTTTGTTATTTTAGAACAATTGAACTTTTAGTCCTTCTTCTGTTTTATCTTTCTTGTTTTTAGTCTTGTTTTTATATAATTATTTTTTTTTTTTTACTTTGTAATTCTTGGAAAAAGAAAACCAAGCATTATTATTATATTTAACAATGTCTCTATCTTCCAAGCTAACTGTTAAAGATCTAGAATTGAAAGACCAACGTGTCTTCATCAGAGTCGACTTCAACGTCCCATTAGACGGTAAGAAGATCACTTCCAACCAAAGAATTGTTGCTGCTTTGCCAACTATTCAATACGTCTTGGAACACAACCCAAGATACGTTGTCCTAGCTTCTCATCTAGGTAGACCAAACGGTGAAAGAAACGACAAATACTCTCTAGCTCCAGTTGCTGAAGAACTACAAACTTTACTAGGTAAGCCAGTTACTTTCCTAAACGACTGTGTCGGTGCTGATGTCGATGCTGCTGTTAAGGCTTCTGCTCCAGGTTCCGTTATCTTACTAGAAAACTTGAGATACCACATCGAAGAAGAAGGTTCCAGAAAGGTTGACGGTAAGAAGGTTAAGGCTTCTGCTGAAGATGTTACCAAGTTCAGAAAGGAACTTTCCTCTCTAGCTGATGTTTACATCAACGATGCTTTCGGTACTGCTCACAGAGCTCACTCTTCCATGGTTGGTTTCGATCTACCACAAAGAGCTGCTGGTTTCCTAATGACCAAGGAACTAGAATACTTCGGTAAGGCTCTAGAAAACCCAGAAAGACCATTCTTAGCTATCCTTGGTGGTGCTAAGGTTGCTGACAAGATTCAATTGATCGACAACTTGCTAGACAAGGTTAACTCTATCATCATTGGTGGTGGTATGGCTTTCACTTTCAAGAAGGTTATTGAAAACGCTGAAATCGGTGACTCCATCTTCGATGAAGCTGGTGCCGAAATTGTTCCAAAGCTAATGGAAAAGGCCAAGGCTAAGGGTGTCGAAGTTGTCCTACCAGTCGATTTCGTCATTGCTGACGCTTTCTCCGCTGACGCTAACACCAAGATTGTCTCCGACAAGGAAGGTATTCCAGCCGGCTGGCAAGGTCTAGACAATGGTCCAGAGTCCAGAAAGTTGTTCGCTGCCACTGTCGCTAAAGCTAAGACCATCGTCTGGAACGGTCCACCAGGTGTTTTCGAATTCGAAAAGTTCGCTAACGGTACCAAGGCCCTATTGGATGAAGTTGTCAACTCCTGTCAATCCGGTTCCACCGTCATCATCGGTGGTGGTGACACTGCCACTGTCGCCAAGAAGTACGGTGTCACTGACAAGATCTCTCATGTCTCTACCGGTGGTGGTGCTTCTCTAGAATTATTAGAAGGTAAGGAATTACCAGGTGTTGCTTTCCTATCTGAAAAGAAATAAGTGTTTTCTTAATTAAGAAAATATTACTTCAATTTCTTTTTTGTATAAACTAAATAAAACTAACGCTTAAATAATGATTCATAAGTTAAAATGAATACAAGAGGAAGCTATCAACGTTTCCTTCTTAAAAAAAACAAGAACTCGTATAGCACTGATTTCTCTTTAATTTAAACAGTCGGTACGGACTATACAAACATATATATCTTATATATTATGCGTCTCCATTACATGATGTTCCCATTGTCCCTCTATTCTACTACGAGGCTCAATGTACTTCAATCCCAGATGTTTGAATATCTCCCTTTCATCGTAACTCTCTATTAGTTTATCGTCTTTGAAAAGGCCATGTTGTGTAAGACTGAGGCCTTGAGATATGGCTCTTAGCCGTATCCACCTATTGAACTCTTTAGAGCCAATATAATGAAGTTTTGCAGCTCCTAGTTCAGACCACTTGCAACAGAAGAAATCAAGTCGCCGACATACAGGTAAAGCTGATGCATTATTAGAACTTCTTGACATATATTTATCGACATTTTCTAGCTTTTGATATTCTTCATTTAGTCTATGTGAATAATATTGTGCATATTCATGTTGGGTCAGCTTTACCCCAAGAAAATATTTCTTCAGGGTTTTATCTTTTCTCCAACGTCGACTGATAATTTTTGGTACTTGTATTCCACATGTCTTGAATAAACCTTGTATTACTGACTCCATATATTTCCCTATTTCTGGATTCATCTGCAGAGTGCATTGGACATATTTTTGTTTTAATAACTCTAAAACAACATCGCCCATCACTGTCCCTAATTCAGCCGTGTCTTCACAATTTTCGCGAAAGAATAATAAATCAATATCACCACAATTCTCGTTTCCTCTTATGTAACTACCTAATATCTCAACCTCGTATTTGGGTGCGATTAGCTTCAATGTCGAACGAACGATCTGAAAATGTGCTTCACACTCTTTACGAGAGATTTTCTTACCCCAATCCTCGTAATACGCCCATCCTAAGAGGATAGACCACTCATGAAACATGTCTTGTGGAGCTTTTTTTACAACGTCATCGAACGTTTCAAACTTTAAGGTATCCCAATGTTTTGCAAGATTAGCTCCTACCCCGTAACAATTCATAAAATAATTCAAGTGACTTGATAATGCCAAGGTTTCATTTAAACCAGCTAAATACCCTTGATCTAAAATAAGCTGTATTTTCTTAGCAATACTAGGTCCAATGTGTTTCAGGTTCTTTCGAGCATCGTCACCAGATTTAATTCGAAAGGGAGTATTCTCAATCGATGCCTTTGCTAATTTATAACTACGTGCACGGAAAACGTCACCTTCAGAATTATATTTTGTAAAAAGATTATCCATAGCATCAACCAAGAGACTATTGTCACCCTGAGGTAGTATGGGTTTGAGTTTACCATCACTCTCTTTTTGAGTTGAAGATGGGCTTTTAGATTCAGTAGATTGATGGACATTATCATCAGTGGTATCAGGGGATACATCTGTACTCTCTTCAGAGGATGTTCCATTTGATAAAGGTACCGAATCATCAGATATATCAATTATTCCAAGCAACTGAGAAATCGTTGAATATTGGTTTAAATCTAGTCTATTTTCTTTCAAACATTTTGCTATCGTGCTTGTAGGTAGGCATTTCAGACCCTTTTCTTCAATTAAGTGAATTACTTTCTCGTACTCAAGCGTAAATTCTCTTTTAAATATTTCTTGACGTACCAGTTGACTCCTCTGTGGATTCATATAAGCATCATTTATTAGGACCACTGTACATTGGTCAATTTCATCACAAGTTGAAATTATTTTCCCACCATCTTGTGTAATGGATTTTGATATTACACCTATGGATCCGGTTTCATTGTTTGGAAGAACCAAAAACTTTAGTCTATCAAACAGCATATGACTATCATCAGATATTACTTCTGCCTTACCCCAGTAAGATGTATTTGAGTAATTTAGGGATTTAATATGCATATATGCATATGTCTCTACCTTTTACCCGAAATCATTTCTTTTTTGAGGAAAGCATTATTTACAAGAATCACTGTCTAGATTAATTTTAACAGAAAACATATTTATGACGTCCGATCACTTGAGAATATCTACTTAGCTTGATGTCATTTTTTTTGGAATAAAAGAGAACTTCCAGTAAGATAGGAATAATATAAATAATATGCTGAGACAAAGAACAGAAATTGCTGTCAGATTAAACAACCAAGTATAGTTCGTATATAAGAAACTTGAAATAAGCTCAATTAGATTATATATGTAAGCACTCTTCTATACCCGCCTTTTGTAGAAATCCATAAAGGTTGGCTCAAACGGTGTTTTTAATTATTCTCTGCCAAATACACACCAGAAAGGGTACATGTACCCTATCCTTCTGAATCAGATGATACTATACAATGAAGATCATAGCACCTTTTGAAACATGACTTGGCATTTTTGAATGTACCCTCTTTAAAACTTAAAAACAAAAGAAAACTTCATAATATACACAACAAGACACGACATAAGAGCCATCATAATTCCTGTTCTCTTTATATAGTGCCACCAAAGATAATTTTTTCGTTTTGCCGAGAAGGCAAAATTTTTCTATTTCAAATAATAATACGTTAGGTCTTTTATTAAAAAGTGTAACGTCCTGTATTATTTTCAAAAAACTATATAACCTTCGTTTAAGGAATCTAAATATACATATCTTTGTATTAATATATATACATATTGATTCAAATTACATAGGGACTCAATGGAAGTATCTAGGTTCGTCGAATACGTGATAATGATGACCTCTTTCACCCTCACCTAAAAACATCTCTGGGAATTCCATATCTTCAGATTGTCTTTCATTATCAAACTCTGTGTTATAAATAGAATCACCTTGTTCGTGCAACTGTTCAGAGTTTAAAACTTGGAATTTACCAACTTGTAATTCAGTATCTGTAATGGTACCCCTAGAAACTCTAGCATAACCAGTTCTCTTGATATCCTTGTACAAAATATATTCACACCATCTATCATCGTCTGATGGGTCAATGTCATGCATACCAGATGTCTCACTGACATAGTTGTTATAGTTATCAACTAACGGATCGGTGACCAAATAACTTAATAAGATGGCTGGGCGATCTGAACTTCCCATTATCTTTGCCATACCTTCGGATTGCAATCTTCTGTCTTCTTCATCTTCTTCTTGACCACTATGGAAAACGAAAACATCAACTAAGATATCATCGTAAGTTAGAATGGTAGCATGGATAGCTGGAGCCAATTCACCAACGGGAGATGGTAACAAATGATGGGTAGAGTTGATAATTGGGAATTTAGACAGTAAAGCGCAGCCCCATGTATTCTTGTTTGGACCCGGTCCAAAATCAGCATACATATTCAAATCATGTGCAATTTTATTAGTCAAGTCTCTATTACCCATTGTAATATGTTGAGTATCTGTTTCTAACAGACCAACAATATCAAGTTCCATATCGCTAAATAACTCTGACATACCATCTTCGGAAGCCCACATGTCATTATCTAGCCCAAAGTGGATCGTCCAAATACCTGCAGTAATTAACTTAGATTCAGGGTGGTAAGGTTGTGGGATACCGTTAGGTCTAATTTGATATGAAAATCCACCAATAGCGCATGCAACAATTAATGCCAAAAGCGTCATTAACCAATTAAATTTCCTGCTCATAGTGATTGGTTCCTTAGATTTAGACATAGAAGAGAAGAAAGTCCCTATTAAAATACCTCCAGTACCAATAGCTAACACCACGTGCAACCTCTCTCTCAATAACCAACCAAATGGAACAAATGCGTAGGCAACAGTCCATACATGAGCCAAGACTAGAATGACATATAACAAGAAACCAAATACAAAAACAGCAATACTGTTTGCGTCCGATGTGGCAACGATAATATTTGGGATCAACCACACAACAGAAACGACATAAAATAAACCGCCAATAAACTTAGGCCATTCTTTAATATCACTAGAATACAATACCGCAGTAGATAACGTTAAAATAAGAGCAGGTAGTAATGGTCTTCTAACAAACACAAATGAAGTGAAAGCAGCAAATAACATTACAGCACAAGTTAAAGCACTCCAGGGCCATTGTAATGGACCCTGCGTCTCTTGATTGTAACCTTCCCAAGACCAGTAAATAATTGTCGATGAATCAACAAACATTTGATGAATGCTGAAAATTAATGAACCGAATCCAACGGCAATGAAAAACTTGGAGAAAAAGCCAATCTTTGGTCTAGTTATGGTAGATTTAACAAAGTTAATCTCATTAACATAAGGTGTGACCATGCTGGAAATCAAAATTAAAAGTATGGCCTCTTTATTCCAACCTTGGTTTTCATCATGTAAAATTGGCCAGATTGGATTATTAGAGTAGAATCTCATCTTAATAGCCACTGAAATGACAAGACCGTATACCCAAGTTGATACATATGAACGTAAAACTTGATAATCTGGTATTCTAATCAGATTTAAAGCAAAATTGGCCATAGTAATAGCAGTACCGATAGAAACAGTAATCAGTCTTGACTCTGGTTTACGGATTGCGTATGAGCCAACACCAATTATTGCACCCAGCATAAATCCATGCTTACGAATAATGGATTGGACGAATGGTAAGTAAAGAATGATTGGGCCGGTATATCCAATAATAGCTGCTTCATAACCAGAAATGCCCATGTACCATAAAGGAAAGTGCCATATACTACAAACCAAAGCAGTCAAATTTGACCAAAAAATGAATGCGTTGAAAGTATTAACTGCAAGGTATAGACATGAATCATATGGAGTCAACTCATTTTTACCTCCTGATGATACCACCTTCTTTTCATTAGATGATTGAATAGCTTCCGATCTTTCTTTCTTAATTTTTATATTGTCTTCTTTGATTCTCTTTTCTCCCACATTAGTTGAAAAAAAAGTAGCACTTATTAAACCATCAAGTGATAGATTGATATTGATCGTTTTAAAATCATGGTAAGCAAGAGCATCAAATCCAATATCCAGAAATATTAATGACCACTCAAAGTAAGCATATCTAGAATATGCACCAGGAACAATCATAACTTGGTGTTGATAATACTGATAAAGCATTGGAATCAATAAACCAAAAAAGGTACCTGCCATCGTTATCTTAGCTTTCTTGAACTTAGATAACCTTGAGATTAAAATATCCCAAGGTAATGTTAAGACAATATATACAATCATAAAAATATCATGAGTGTCATGATCGTCTGTGCTTGTTATGTATACCCAGCCACCACATGAAACTGTTCTCAAAGTCCCTATAATTAAAGTAGTAATACAGCGATTGATATAGTAATGTCCTAATAACAATAGAAATCTTGGGAATGCAGTCAATGCAATCAGAATCTGAAAGATGGATCTCTCCGGATATCTATCACCTATTGTGGCAGAGACACTTGGGAACCATTCATCAGGATATCCATAATGAGCGTTCCGAACAATTTTATGGAAATGTAGACTATAACCTGTAGCTAAAGCTACCAAGAATGCAGCAGATGCACATATTGTGTGTGTTAAAGGAATAATCTTCCCATTAACAGTTACCATTTCACCTATTATCAGTCAACGAAACAAAGTACTAATTTTCCAATTTTTGTTTAAACAACTGACTAAAGGATGCGAAATATGAAATTTCTGTAGTGCTCTGTATTGCTGATCTATTCAATTAAATGCTCTTTGTTGTACCTATATTTCGAGCACCCTAAAGAAGATCTTTCAATATATTTCTCAATATCGATTTTTTCGATTTTTTTTTTTCGATTTTAATTGCCTTTATGAGAGAGGCGTTACGTGATAATTTATAAAGCAATAACCGAAAGGGGAAAAAAGCTATCGAATGATGCTAAAGGTGCTAACGTTGTTCGCAAAAGAGAACTGAAGTTTAACCAAAAAAAGCTGTTAAAAATATAACCATGGAGTACTTATGTTCAATTAAACTACAAAAAAAAATACAATTTTCCAAAAAAGAAAATTAGCGCCGCTCGGTTTCGATCCGAGGACATCAGGGTTATGAGCCCTGCGCGCTTCCACTGCGCCACGGCGCTTCCAATTTTAATAAATATTGTATTTGAAACAGACTAAAAGTCAAGTGACACTTTGTCACGTGCTAAAGAATGACGACTCAAAAGAATCAACCAATTAGGTTGAAGCATATCTAAAACCTAACAATGAACTAAAAAGGAATGATTTACAATGACTAAGAAATATGAAACAAGGTAGACATAACACGGAATTAGAGGAGTTAACGAGATTAACTATATTGAGTATATAAATCTATATCTTATATAAAGAGAGCTTATCTCAGATTATGAGTCTCTCGCTTATATAATGAATTTATATAGAAAT